GTCTTATGCTAGATTCTCAGCTCGCTCTTTGCCAAAACGACCGAGATTTTTAGGTCGAAAGTTGTAGAAAATGTGACATTTTTTTGAAATTTTTGTCATGAAAAGTTCTATGCTTATTTCTACCGTAGAGAGTGATGTTTCCACAAAAAACCAATTTTTTCCACTCAAAACTGGCAAAGATACGGCCAAAAAGAGTTTTTCTCTGACCGCTCTCCTCATTTTTCGTACTCTCTCGGCCAAAAAGTCCGTTGAATATCTCGGCTCTCCCTGCGAACCGCGAGCTAAAACTTTCACTAATTAATATATGACCTAGGCCTAATATGTATGCAAAATTTGAAGAAAATCTGAGCGTCGCAGTTGGAGCACTTCTCAATTATTTCAACTCCACTCATTTCGCCCAAAAAGAGTTTTCTTTTCGTCAATTTACTTGGGGTGCCTCTAAAGGAGAACGTAAAATAACGGCGCAATGACATTATGCCCTCGATTCTCTGCAATTTTTGCGCCCTCCGCCTTCCCTCGATTCCAATCATAAAGTTTTTTGGCGGCGAAATTAGGTAGTCACTACCTAAAAGTCACTACCTTCCCCCCGCCGTCGTCGTCGTTCTAATTGTCTCGCAAAGGCGACTTGTCATTTTTTCGGTGGCATGCGAATTTCTATAAAGGGGATTTGAGAGAAAAGGATACTGTAATATGGTCTAGGGGGAGTTTTGGAAAAACGTTTTTGGGGATTAACAAGTGAAATTCCCCAAATGCGACGCTCAGATTTTCTTTAAATTTTGCACACACTTTGGGCATAGACCACATATCCATTCCTGAAAGTTTTAGGTCGCGCTTTGCTTGGAGCGCCTAGATATTCAACGGCCTTTTGTAGCGAGAGAGTACGCGAAATGCGGAGAGCGGTCAGACAGAAGAACAGTTCTTGGCCATATCTTTGCTAGTTTCGCGCGGAAAAAATTGATTTTTTGTGGAAACATCACTCTCTACGGTAGAAATAGATACAAAACGTTTCATGCCAAAAATTTCAAAAAAAGTATCACATTTTCTCCAACTTTCGACCTAAAAACCTCGGTCTCTTTGGCAAAGCGCGTGCTAGGAGTCTCGCATATGTCTCAGAAAAGATTATTCCAAATTTGTACCAAGTTTCATGCAAATCTAAGCGTCGCACTTGGGGTTCCTTGCGCATCGCAGAACTCGAAATCTTCTAGTCGAATATTTTTAAAAAATCTGTTTTTTGAGGCAAAAAAATACGATACTTGCTGTAATAGTCTAAGTGGATTACAAATCAACCCAACAAATTTTATGTTACGCGCTAAAATAGTGATAAATCATACTTCTTTCATTGGCAGTCTCCTTACTTTTCCATAGCCCCTTGTCTGCAAAGATCGGTGAATATCTTGGCTGCGCCTGCAAACCGCGATCTAAAACTTTCAGCAATTGATTTGAGGACTATATGGAATATGTGTGCAGAATTTGAAACAAAAATCCAGTGATGCCCTTTGAGGTGTGCCATTTTTAACTCAAAAGTCTTATTTTTGCCAAAGTTACCGTAATTTGGTCCCGATTTTTTGGCGGTGCATTTTTTCAAGATTTTTGGAGTCTATATACCATCCATAAATCTTAGAATTACGGATTCTTATATCTACTTTGGAGAAAAATTCAAAAAAACTTGATCTTGCAATCAAAAAATTTTCTTCCATATTTTAAAATTTTTTATTTTTTCAAATTTCTACTGCTCAAACTGCAAGTTAATAATAAGTAGAACGGTTTGCATGATCTTTCCTTCAATATTACCCCATCGCCACTCCTCCACAGTCTCCTCCGATCCACGAAATTGCACGCCTTTTCCAGTTCATGAACCGAATTCAGCCTTGCCCCGTCTTTTGTCATCAGCACCGCGATCTTTTGTCGAAATTTAAATTAATTTCGCGGCGCCTCCTCTCTTCCCATCGCTGCTCTCGCGCATTGAGTAAAATGAAGAAGTCGGCACCCGCCCGAAACTTAAGGAGAGACCATAAAAAGGCAAAAGCGAATGGGGGAAGGGGGAGAGAGAGAATTAATGACATGTCGAGGTTCGGCGCACAAAAGTTGGGGGGTTACCTGGGCGGAGGCACGTGTCATAACGCCCTCTGCTCGTCCCCCCACGGGTTGGTGTAGTCAATTTGGGGGTGGGGACGGGTGAACACGGGGGGTGATTGTCACCAAAAAAGGACGCCACTTGAGACATTCGATCGAGACCGTTCGCGGAAAACTTTGAAAAAGTTGTGACTAGAGTGTTAGGAGCGCTCTGGAATTGTAACAAGTAATCTCTAGTTGACCTTGATGACTTTTGGAACGAAGAGGTTTAGTCATCACTTTTACTGCAAGTCTTTATTTTACAATTTTATATTGTACTTGGGATTAGTAGCAAAGGTTTGGAAAATATGCATAATTATGCAATATTTTGTATAAGCTTTCTCTAAATGGGCTCAGAAATATCCGTGATATAATGCAAAATACGTAATGGAGAATAAAATTGCTTTTTCTTTCCTGAAGCTTGAGATTTGATGTTAATGTAGGGAAAGTGATAAAAATGTTCAATTATGCAAATTTTTCGTCTAGAACAAGGACAGATGTGGCTTTGAATCAATCAATTATTATACTGGTACAGTAGGTCTAAACTGTAATACCTTAACAGCCTGATTTTTTTGGCATTTTATATTAAACATGAGCTTTGTGTGGCACCTGTTGAAGAACTGAGAAAAGTGCAAAGATATGCAAATTTTTATCATTAATTCATGGTTGGTTGGTTACTATATGTGCAGATATATTATACAGAACGATGTTCTTCAACATTTTTGCCCGAGAAGTCACTTAGTTCTGCAAATTTATGTTACACATGACACTGAAAAGCGAGGTGGGAAAATGATGACCACGGCCTTTTGAAGCTAAGATTTTATACGACAGAGAAGATAGAGTAGCTACAAGCTCTACTATTGTATTTTTTATTGTCAGTTTTGTCCTCGGTTAACGCTTTTCCCCCGAAATATCCAAATCATCTTTTATGCCTGCTACAACATCAAACCTCATTTTCTGGCCCTAAAATTACCTCGAGCTCTAAGCCGCAGTAACAAACACCTCTTTCATATATCTTCTTCCATTTCTCGTTACCGGCATGTTCTATATGATATCAACGCCCCAGGGAAAAAGAGTTCTCTGACATGATGACTAAAGATTACGCAATAGTTTGGAACGCGACGATTTCGCTATTTCCATGCAGATTATAAATTTTTTTCTGTAGTGAAGGTTTTGGCTGCCATATTTTACAATAATTCTCGGTTACTCTCTTGTTTTGTGACCCGGAAACGCGATTTTTTTGAATTTCGGGGAAAAATTGAAGGATTTTTGAGATTTGGTGATTTTTTGATGTTTTCGGCCTTAAGGTAACATGGTACACACATCTATTACGTCAAAATAGGAATTTGCTGGTTTATCTTAGTGATCAATAACTTAGATAGACCAGATTTTAGGTATTTAAGGCGAATTTTTAACTCTTTGCCTTTTAGTGTCATGTATAATATAAAATAACAAAATGTACTAATGCAGGGAATTGCAATTGGGTAACAAGTATTCTAAATCAAATTATGATACCTAATTCGTCTTCTATGATCTTATTTTTGACCAAAATTTGCATACTTTTGCAGTTACGACCTTTTTTTGTCACCTTCCCCATTAACCCCAAGTACAATATAAAATCCCGAAATTTCGCTATCTATCTATCCCACAGTACGACCAAACGTTGCAAACGCGCAGAGTACCTCATAATCTTTAATGTCTGACCAGCAACGTTGGTCCGTGCACTTTTTCCTCGGCCATTCTGCCGTTTGTCCTCATTATCTCCAACTCCAAAAAAAACTCTTTTCCCTTTATGACAATACGCTAAATATAAAACTATAATGACATCTCGCATACATTTCCCCAATGGGTCCACAATGTGAAGGCACTCAGGGACCAATTAAACCAGCCGCAAAGGTGTAATGCCCCGAGGCAGTTTTTCGGCGCGTCTTTGTCGAGATGGCAAAAGTGGTTTCCAAAAGTCATAAACGCGCTTATGTCTGTGTCTTAATTAGTGGATTCGAAGAGATTCTGCAGTTGTTAGAGGAGTTTGGCCAGATACTTCAGTTTATATTATACTAGACACTTGATGGTTCATCTGAGGTCAAGTGTAATATAATTTTTTGATTTTTACATTTTTAATAAATGCTAAAATCAATTAAAAAGCCTCGGAGGCGTTTCTCATCAACAATTTCATCAATTTCTCGTCAATTTCGCAAATTCTTGGTAACAGAGAAACACTTGACCGATTTTGAGTCAACTCTTCCATTGACGCTAAAACAATTTTTTCTGCAGAATTCTTGTGACATTGCACAAGAATTGTCTTTACCACAGCGTTCTCTTGCTTATTGCTTTATTTCTGCCATACTTTAGCGTTGTTTTGGACATTTTTGTCTTATTTTAGACATTGGACTTGATTTCTTGATGGTTGAGGAGAAATTGCTGCCTAAAAATCACATTTTATAGGTCCGGAGCGACTTATTAGGTGACGTGAGGGTTCTTCTTGAATTTTAGTACTAGTATGATTGTTATTTTACTTGATTTTTTTGATTTGGAATGGGTTTTATCATGTGTAATATTGTTTTAGAGGAATTAGGAAATTTTCTTGTATTTGTAGTATAGAACATGTGGCGAATGGTTTGGAAATGTGTGGTAGAGTGTCTTCGTTAATTTGGGGTGTCAACCGATTAGTATTTTCCGATTTATATCTCGTTTTTGACAATTTTGCCTAGTACAATGTAATTTTTGTCGATTTTTTTGGAATTTTCTTTGATTTTGATGGCTAAATGACTTCGCAGTGTCTTGTAAATCTTTATAGGCGGTTTTTATTGCATTGTTAGCCTTTTTTATCGAGTTTCGACCGTGTTTCAACCCATCTTATCCTTCTGCATCTCAGGTGCCGAATCTCAATGTCAGCTTTAAAAGAGGAGTGCGAAAATGAGTTGGCCTCGACTTCATTGGACTTCAAAGCGGATGCGAGTTGTTCGGAATTCCTCTCTCAACTCTGCAAGACCTTTGGCAACGAATCTTTCTCCTCGCTGGCGGAAGAAATGCCAAATCTGAACGCCGAGTCCCAGCCAACGCACGGCGTCCTAGTGCCGTCGAAGAAGAGGACGAGTAGCAATTTTGCCTACACTATGGCTCTACAGGACTACACGTATCACGTGTGCTATCGGCGTCAAACGCCGCGCGGCGAACGGGTCTATTGGCGTTGCCAGCTGCGTTCCGGTTGCAAAGCGCGCCTGATTACCGACCTGAGCGGGAAGATTATGCAATTCACGAACCCCGAACACACTCACGACCCACCAAAGGGCGGGAAGATTGACAAAACCTCGATTATGAATTTCTCGGATATTAGTGGCAAGAAGAACAAATTCCCTCAAGTTTCACCTCAAATTCTCGGAAACATGAACCCCGCATTGTTCGCAACACAAAGCCAAGCGCCTTTGGAGATGGCCACGGAGAAAACGAAGGAGATTTTGAGCATGTTCAACGAGGAACCGACCGATTATTCGGCTGTACTACAACACATCTTGAATATGGGCGCGAAGGAGGAGTTTGATCAGGATTTTGTGAAAGGAACGTCGACGAATCAAACTCCCGAGCCGGACGACAGCACAAGCTCCAGTGATCAGCATTCCAATTACGACGACGTTAGTGGCAGTTTTGATAAGGTAAATGATCTAAAATAAGGTGGATATTGGGGAGGATATGCGGGAAACGAGTTGATTGTTGATGCTTCTTGTCGAATGAGGATTGAGCTTACTGTTGAGTGAGTTTCTAAGGCTTTGGGAGCCATTGGAGGTAGATTTGACCTTATTTTAGACTGGTAGAGGTAGAAAACATAAAATAAGGTGGATATTGGGGAGGATAGGTGGGAAACAAGTTGATTGTTGATTTTTATTGTCGAATTAGAGTTAATATTTATGTTTAATGAGTTTCGAAGGGTTTGGGAGCGATTGGAGGTAGATTTGATATTATTTTAGACTGGTAGAGGTAGAAAACCTAAAATAAGGTAAGAATAGTCAACGCCAAGGGGAAAACTTGTTGAACATTGGTGCACATTGTCTTTTGAGGGTCATTCTCGCTAGTTATATGGGTTTTAGGGGAATTATAAAGGACTTATTACACTTCTGACCTTATTTTAGACTGTTAGAGGTATAGAACCTAAAATAAGGTGGAAGTATTCAAAGCCAAGGGGAAAACTTGTTGAACATTGATGCCCATTGTCTTATGAGGGTCAGTCTTTCTATTTATATAGTTTTTGGGACAATTAGAAAGGACGTATTACACTTCTGACCTTATTTTAGGAAGCCTTGGGTAAACCACCTAAAATAAGGTAGAAATTGTGAAAATTATGATGGAAACTGGGCGGCTGTGTATGCATATCGATGAACAGGGGATATTCTTACTATACGTTGAAGTTGACAGGGGTAAAATACGCTTTCGGTTGGGTATACAATTACTTTCAAGAAAAGTGATGCATAAACAAAGTTAAAAGTGCAAACACGATTGATTGTGGATGTTTTGACGTCTAGAAAATATGCACTTGGCTTTTGTTGATTGACAGTTGATTATTTGGCGAATTTAGGGAGAGGTTTGGTATTGCTTTGAGTAAAAACATGACTTTGATACCTAAAATAAGGTCGAAATGGTAAAATACGACCAGGATTTTGTAATCCACCTAAAATCTAATCTAAAATAATGTGGAAAAAGTTTTAGTAAAAAAATCAAAAAATCTTTTATGAACAAGATTGCTACTGAGATTACAGCGTCGTATTTGACAATCTCAGAGAGTAAAACCTAGAGCTATTACCAAAAGGTTTTTAAAAAATCTAATTTTTCCAAAAGAAATACCCAAAAATTTAAGTTTTTTTCAAATTTTTTGGCTTCATGGAAACTCGGCAGATTGGAAGTGGACAGAGTGAAACTCGACAGAAGGAAATTGGACAGAGTATGGAAATTGGACAAAGGGAAACTGGAGAGAGAGAAACTCGACAGATTTTTTTCACTGCAATCTTACGAAATGTCACCATTGAATTTTTTCGTATCAAATTTTTTGCAGTGAAAAAAACCCTGTCGAGTTTAACTCTGTCTAGCTTCCCTTGGTCCAATTTCCATACTCTGTCCAATTTCCTTCTGTCGAGTTTCACTCTGTCCAAGTTCACTCTGTCGAGTTTCCATGAGCCGAAAAATTTGAAAAAAACTTTAAATTTTGGGTATTTTTTTGGAAAAAGTAGGTTTTTTAAAAATTTTTTGGTAATAACTCTATTTTTTACTCTCTGAAATTGTCAAATACGACGCTGTAACCTCAGTAGCAATCTTGTTCATAAAAGATTTTTCGTTGGAAAATGTTACCCAATCTAATGTAAAACGTTTCCAGCCCTCTCCTCTGTCAGCCGACGAACGTTCCAAGTCCCTTCAGCCTCTGTTGGACGCGGGTTGGGCGCTGGTTTCGGGCCGCGACGCCATCAAAAAGCAGCTCACGTTTGCGGATTTCAATTCCGCCTTTTCCTTCATGACTGCCATCGCTTTGCACGCCGACAAGCATGATCATCACCCCGAATGGTTCAATGTGTATAATCGGGTAAGAATTTTGCTGATTTTGTCGTCGAAAAATCGATTTTTTGGAGTAAAAAATGATAATAATTCCCTCTCAATTCCAGGTAGAAATCACATTGAGCTCGCATGATGCGAATGGCCTCACTCAACGCGACATTCGCCTGGCCAATTTCGTCGAGTCCACGTACAAAAAATTCCAATAGAAAGTATAATATTGCACTGTGCAAAATTCCACTCTGAGTACTATCAAGCAAATAAATTACTGAGTCATTTTTTCAGATTTTGTTTGAAAATTTGAATAATTTTGAATTTTTTTTTGAAAAACATGTCATAATGACACATTTTGGTGTCCAAGTTGGTATCGCACAATTAAGAAAAATTTATCAAAAAATTATTTTTTTTTGCAAGCATTAATACTTGATAATATTTTCAAGAATTATCAGTAAATATTCGGAATGCTTCGGACAGTTTCCTTGATATGACAGATTGTTTTACAATAGATCTTGCTGTTGATAATGGCACCATGGGAATTTGCGTCGACCATTGCATTGAAAACGTCTTGTATCCGATTACAGTCCTGATTTCGGACATGGCAGTAGTTTAGAGCCTGAAAAAATAAAGTGTACATATACGTAGTGGAAATACGATATGGTCAAGAAACAGGTGATGTGCCAGAAGTAAAACGCTCATATTTTGATAAAGCTTGGACCAAATTTAGAGGTTTTTTAATAGCTTTTGGCCCAAAAATAAAAAAAAAATCTCGGTTGTTTCTGCAAAGCGCGACCTAGGAATCTAGCATTTGTCTTAGAAGGGAAGACCTCTTATTGATACTAATTTCCACTAAAAAATAGTTTTTTCCGCCCAACACTGTCCAAGATATGGCCATGAAGTTTTTCTCTCTGGCCGCTCTCCTCATTTCTCGTACTCTCTCCGCCGCAAAGATCGTTCAATATCTCGGCTCTCCCTGAAAAACGCGAGCTAAAATTTTCATAATCTGATATATGCCCTATACCCGAAACGTGTTCAAAATTTAAAGAAAATCGGAGCGTCGCACTTGGAGCACTTCCCAAAAAGCTGAATTGAACCTCTCCGCTTACATCTTCATATTCGGCCAACTTGATCTCCCTGTTAATCCCTTTCTCTCTCTCCTTCATCGTCACAATGTTCCTGCGCTCCACCAGACGTCGGCAGTACCGACAGTTGTAGCCCTCTTCCTCCGCAGACGCAAGAATAACGAGCGTGAGAAGAATTGAGCCGATCAGCCGTCTCGAGGGCATACCGAACACAATAATGAATGAAATGCAAATGGTCCAAATGTATTTCGTTCTAAACGACCGTTGCTTTTATTGGATCTGATGTGTGTGTTATATCGAAACAATTGGGAACGGTTCGACAAATATTTATATTGGAACAACGCGTGAGGTCAATGCGATTTTCCACGTTTATTGTTGGAAATGATGAGATAAAATGCAGTTGTAAGAAACAATAACAAGAGAAGAGTTAAGAGTTCCAAGTACGTTACAGGCCTCGAAAGAATTTTTTTTACATTAAATTTAGTCTAGAAGGAAGGATTTCCAAATTCGACGCTCAAACTTTCTTTACACTTTTCCCGTGCGCTATGCATAGGCCAAATATCAATCCTTGAAGGTTTTGGAGTGTGCTTCTCAGATGCAGCGGACTTCTTCGAGGATCTTTACGGCCGAAAAAGCATTTTTACCATAAAAGGGCAAAGCAACAAAACTGCACCGGCGGTCCAAATGCAAACCCCTAAAAACGCTTCCCATACTTTCCGATTGAAAAAAGGCCTACTTGAGAACAAAGCACAAGATGATTTATCGCTTTTTGTCAACTTTCGACTTGAAAACCTCCGTTGTTTCTGCAAAGCGCGAGCTAGGAGTTTTGCAAAGGTATTGGTAAAAAATGTTCTAAATTTGTATCAAGTTTCATCAAAACCTGAGCGTCGCACTCACAGCACTTCCCCCGACAGTAAAATCGTTTCAAGAATTGCCACAGTTCGTTGTTTTGCATGTTGTTGTTTGCCTTTCACTCCGAACCCAATCCACCGTAAATCCACGGTTCGGCGACAGTTTAACACGGGATTTGTCGCCGCAATCCGCGGCGGATTACTTTTCACTTCCTTGCGCAACGGAAAACAAAACATGAGGTAACAAATTGGCAAGTCATTCGGGTTCTCTCTCATGCCTCGGATATGTTCTTGCTGATGGTAACGTTGACTTTGTTGTGCTGTCCTACATCATCATGCACTCCGACGCGATCAGTGGCGATGAGACGGTTTCAACGTCGGGCATTGCCACTTGATCCCACGGTGGAGCAACATGACACGGTTGGGGAGTCAGCCGCTTCATCTGGCAGTGTCGCACGCCCTCCGCCGGAGCTTTTACGGCCGCCTTCAGTCTTCAATTTCCAACCGCCGCCCGGTTTCAACTTCTCCAACATCCCACCTGAATTTCACAGGCCTCCACCAGGCTTCAATTTCCCGCAACCGCCTGACGGATACAACTATGCACAATCGTTGTCTGCGCCGTTGACTCCACCTCCGGGCTTTAACTTTTCGACGCTTCCAGCCGGCAACCTTTCACATCCCCCACCTGGATTTTTTCCTCCACCGCCGCAGGCCAATGATCAATCACCGCCCGGGTTTAATACATCCTCACCACAGCCTAATTTCCAACCACCACCGGACTTTAACTTTTCAAATATTCCAGCAGAGCTCCTGCGGCCTCCGTCGGGATTTCACTTTCCTCCACCGCCTCCAGGGTACAACGACACACAACGTTCGCCCAGCTCTTTGACGCCTCTGCCCGGATTCAACTTTTCGAGCCCGGGTCTTGGTGGTTTTCCTCCGCCGGGCTTTAACTTTCCACCTCCGCCACCCGGTTACAACTTCACAGCTCAGTCGGGAAACTCGTATCCCCAGTTCTTTCAGCCGCCGCCAGGTTTCAACTTCCCAAATCAAAGCTTCTCAGCTACGTCAAACAATAGTTTTCCAGAGCCTTCAGGCTTCGCTTTCTACAATGGAACATTACCACCCGGCAGCAATACGGGCAGCGGTTCGTACGGCTGGTGTTGTCCACCAATCCCACCGCCGACAACGACCCCTGCACCGCCGCCTGTTGGTCCTTGTGGAGGGTAAGGTTAAAACTCGAAGTTACATAGCTTAAAATTCCAAATAATATATATCACCATTTTAGGTGCCCTTGGTGTTGCGGCGGCACGACGACGACCAAAGCCCCGGTAACGACTACAACCACCCAACCTCCACCAACTACAACTCCGGCACCTCCGCCGCCGCCGCCGCCGCCGCCGCCGCCGCCGCCGCCGCCGCCTCCTCCTCCGCCTCCGGCACCAGTTGGACCGTGTGGATGGTGCCCGTGGTGTTGTGGCGGTTATTACCCTCCACAACCTCCGACAACAACCTCACCACCTCCGCCTCCTCCTCCACCGCCACCGCTACCGGTAGGACCTTGTGGATGGTGTTGGTGGTGCTGCTACTATCCGCCCCTTACGACCACAGCCGCTCCTACCACCACTACCACAACCGCGAAACCGACAACAACGACAACTAAAGCGCCGACAACAACGACCACGGCCCAACCAACGCATATTTGCGGTTATTGTTGGTGGTGTTGCTATTATCCTCCACAACCTCCGACGACAACACCGCCACCTCCGCCGCCACCGCCTCCACCTCCGCCGCCACCACCGCCACCGCCGCCACCTCCGCCTTCACCGCCGGTAGGTCCTTGTGGATGGTGCTGGTGGTGCTGCTACTATCCGCCTTTCACAACAACATCAGCCCCCACAACTACCACCACAACCGCGAAGCCGACTACAACGACAACCAAAGCGCCGACGACAACGACAACCGCAACACCAACAAATCCATGTGTTTCCTGTTGGTGGTGCTGCTATTATCCGCCGCAATCGCCAACAACGACGCCGCCGCCGCCTCCTCCTCCACCTCCTCCGCCGCCACCACCAGTAGGACCTTGCGGATGGTGTCCTTGGTGTTGTGGAGGTGTTTACCCTCCATTCCCTACGACAACAACCACCCAAGCTCCCGCAACAACCACAACGACCGCTGCCACAGTGACGACAACTGCAGCTCCGGTAGGGCCTTGTGAATGGTGCCCTTGGTGTTGTGGAGGTGTTTATCCTCCACAGCCTCCGACAACAACCCCGTCGCCTCCTCCTCCATCTACTTCGCCGCCACCTCCACCTCCTCCATCTACTCCGCCGCCAGTAGGACCCTGTGGATGGTGTCCTTGGTGTTGCGGTGGGGTTTATCCCCCTCAGCCCCCAACAACCACCGCTGCTCCTACACCTCCACCATGCGGGTGTCCCACTTGTTGCGGCGGAAGTTATCCGCCCTTCCCCACCGGATTTTCTGGGCTTCCTGGCGCTGCTGCCCCTCCTGGCTCGGCTGCGGCCTCTGGATCCTCCACACCTCCTGGATTCGCGTATCCATGGTTTTCCAATCACTCCGACTGGGCTGAAATCCTGCAACATGTCCGCAAACCGCAGCGAAGTCCCACCGAGCCAAGCGAAAGCGATAAATTGGCCATAAAAGACTTGAAAGAGGATCTAATCAGAAAAGACCCCAGTTATTATTGGTACCCTCGAATTCCATGGCTTATTGATTTTGCGCCTATAACGTCCACCTCAACTACCACCACATTAGAGCCGAAAGAAATTCCGTTTCATCCAAAACTGCTAGCGCTACAAGTGGCAACTCCAACGCCAATTGTAACCCCAGTTAAACCAGTGAAAAGCTCGGTGTATCAAAGGGATATGGACTCGATTGAAGGGAATCACGTGGATTCCGGTATTCCCGAAATGGAAGACGAGGGGAATGAAAAGAAATTGGGAAGGGTCGAAAATGGTAAGTTGTAAGAATAATGTTAGTATCTCCGACTATTGCTTTCAGCCACAAAAGGCCTGGAAATTGTTGGAGTCTCGGAAAACTCAATCGTCTCGTCGCAGCCAGCTAAACCAATTGTATTTCCGGTTGAATCGCCTGTGAAATCGCAAGGTGTAAGTTTAGAAACGGGATAGATGTCCATGCACTTTATGAAAACACTAATAAACGGTTGCCGTTTCACGAAAGTTCATTTTACAGAACTTTTACTATATATGAGCATTTCAGTCACAATTTCCATTCCTGACCAACAGCGCGGAAGTTGAAGAAAACAACAACCATAGTCGCACCTTCGAAAACTCAACGATGGACTGGCCATATCCGACCGCTTATCGAATAATGTTGCCAAACGAATAATGTTGCGTAGCGCAATTAATAATTCGAGCCATCTTCTTGTTATCATAATGTCATCAGTTGAGGTGACTTTCAATAAATACATCATATTTCATCCGACAAGGCCTTCAAGTGCGACGCTGATACTTTCTTTAAACTTTGTATACATTTCGGGGATAGGCCGCAAATCGATTTCCTAAAGTTTTAGCGCGGGCTTTCCGAGGTGGCCGAAACAAAATGCAAAAAAGAGTGTGATCAGAGAGAAAAATAGTCTTTTGGTCATACCTTTGAGACCGCATGTTGCCAGTTCTGTGCGGAAGAAATCTGTTTTTGTGAAACATAACCAAAGTTATTCAAAATTCTAGTTTGGGCTTTGCAGGAACGGCCAAGAATTATCAAAGGTCGTTGCCGCTGAGAGAAAAATGAAAAAAAGGATTCGACTAGAATCTCTGTGGTTTCTGCAATGTCTAGCATCAGTCTTAAAAAAAATATAATCTGAATTTGACCCAAGTTTCATCACAATTGCGTCGCATTTGAGGTGCTTCCCTTGTAAGAATTTTTTGTCAAGATTTTCGCTTTCTGCAAAAACCGGAGTAATGTTCTCCCTCCGGTTTTACAAAAGGCATTGCCGATAAAATCTGGCTGTTTTCGCGGGATAACTTCCGGATTTTTGCGGGAAATTGAGAAAAAATTTTAGTCCGACGTTATTTTCTGATGATTTTGTATTGTCTACGGTGAAATGCGTTTGAATTCCGGGGAATTTGATTTTGCAAATATACAAAGGTTTTTTCATTTACTTCAGTTCAAGCTACGGCGGATAAATCGGCGGCAAGGTGAGAATGTTTTTTTTATTTTATTTTGCAAGGGAAGCACGACGCTTACCGGCAAAGTATCCCAAGTGCGACACTGAGATCTTGATGAAACTAGGCATAGATTTAGGTTAATTTTTTCTACGACATATGCGAGAATCCGAGCTCTCGGCTTGCAGAAATGACAGAGATTTTTAGGTCGAAAGTTGGGAAAAAAACTGACACTTTTTTGACGTAAAAAGTTTTGTTTCTATTTCTACCGTAGAGGGTAATGTTTCCACAAAAAATTTATTTTTTCAGCGCGAAACTAGCAAAGATACGGCCAAAAAAGTGTTTCTGACCGCTCTCCGCGTTCCGCGTACTTTCTCGGCCGCAAAGATGATTGAATATCGCGGCTGCTCTTGCAAAGTGCGAGCTAAAACTTTCAGGAGTTGATAGATGGCCTATGCCTAACATTTGTTCAAAATTTGAAGAAAATCTAAGCGTCGCATTATGAATACTTCCCCTGTCAGCAAAATTCAAAGTTTCGTATTTTACAGCTCTTTTGATCTTCTCAATTTTCTTCATTTCCTACCTGTTCTACACCGTCTTGCATTACGATGAATCCTCTGCCGAGAAACCCCCACAAATCCTCAATTTTGAATCCGACTTGCCGTTGGACACGTTCCAAATGAAATTTGCGAACAAACGACGAACCTACAAGATGCTTAGGGCCGATCCGAAGGAATGCGAGGGAAAGGAGATTGCGATCATGGTGATGTCAACGGGTCACGAGAATAGTGCCAAGTTGAGAGAGGCGATGAGAAAAACAATGTTCCATGAAGTGAGTGGAATATCATAATATTTTCCCGACATACTGATATTTCTATGTTATTGTAAATAACATTTCAGAGCCCCAAAGTGCTGCACAAATTTTTTATCGGCTATGACAAAAACTTTCCCGTCTCTGCCCTCCTCGACGAGATGAACGAGTTCAAGGACATTGTTTACTACGATGGTAAAGGCGATTACCGCAGCAACTACCTCAAATGGTACGCAATGTACCAATGGCATGCAACGTATTGCCCAAACATAAAAATTTTTGTGAAGCTGGACGACGATACGACTCTTTACCTACCGCGAATGCAGCAATGGATCCAACGGGGATTCAATTTTGTGACGAAAAAATTGGATGACTACATTATTTGCCAGGTTTATAATGGAATGCAACCGTTGCGGGTGAAGAGTAATCATTGGTGAGTGGTGCGGAGTGCATCAAAATAGGAGAGGGCTTCAATTTGCGGCGCTAAGACTTTGACGAATACTAGAATAATTTGCGCTCTGCAGAAACAACCGAGATCTCTTTTCTCGCGTTCTTCTTGCCGCACAGACACGCGGACAGCGGTGAGAGAAAAGACCACTTTTTTGGCCGTTATTTGCCAGTTGAGCATGGAAAAAGATGATTTTTTATGAAAGCATTACCCCCTAGGTAAAAAAATAGGTAGAGCCCTTTTAGGGCAGAATTCGAAACAGAAGGCATTTTCGCCAACTTTCGACCTAAAAATCTCGGTGGTTTCTGCAAAGCGGGTGCTAGAAGTCTTGCATATTCAACGAGTTTTGCTGCCGAACGAGTACGCTAAACGCGGAGAGCGGTCAGAGAGAGAGAACACTTTTTGGCCATATCTTTGCCAGTTTCGTGCGGAAAAAATTGATTTTTCGAGGAAATTTTACTCCCTAGAGTAGAATATCGCATGAAACTTTTTTATGGCAAATCTCGATGAAAAAGTGTCATATTTTTCCAACTTTTGACCTGAAAATCACGCTCCTTTCTGCAAAGCGCGAGCTAGAAATATCGCATATACTTTTGAAAAAATAACTTTAAATTTTTGCCAAATTTTATCAAAATCTGAGAGTCGCACTATGGCAATTTCTCTTCTCAATTTTTCAACTTATCCTTCAAAAAAAATTTCTTTTTCATTCAACTCAAAAAAAAATCAAAATTTTAGGTACATTTCCCCCGCCGAATACCCCCATCGTTTCTGGCCCAGCTATTGTGTCGGTTACTTTGTCTTGATGCCCAATTCCACAGTAATCCAACTGCTGAAAGCCGCCGAAAAAGTGGACTGGTTCCCGATGGACGATGTTTTGTTGACCGGCGCCACTTCCGAAGCCGCCGAAATCCCGGTCATCGACTTTGAGGGGGTCCGTTCCGACCCGCGCCTCAAGTTATGCACCAAAGACGGGTTGCATTTCGCTTTCATGCGACACAACTCGAAATTTGCGCATATAATCGAGGAGGATCATGAGTTTTTGAGGAAGTTGAAATGCCCGACGAACCCGTTTGAGGAGGCTCAATAAATTTTCTGATTTAAAAATTCGTCTTGAAGGGAAAAATTGGGATGCCAATTTTGGATTCTTGGCATTCTGCAACAAGATGTGTTTGTGGCTCGATAATCAGCGAAAAATATTTTGTTCTACGAAATGCTGCTGGAAACGATAAAAGGTCCTTAAAAAAGGCTAAAAAACACAATGCCAAAGTATTGCCAAAATGGCGGGAAAAATATTCAAATTTTTTTTTTTTTTTTTTTGAGGCCGGGTCAGGCCTGGTAGCACCACATGGAGCAAAAATAGAGCTAAAATCCATGTATAGCCCTTAGAAAATTGTATTCTTGAGTTTATCCAAGTCAAAATTGGAGTGTAAAAAAATCGACCAAAAAACCGACCAAAAAAATTTCAACAATTTTATTCAACTATATATACAACAATCTCTCAATTTTCCCACTCCTAATAGCGACTCAAATGTTCTCGTTCATGTTCTTTGCAATCAAATTTCTCCCTTTCCAAGGTCCCTTCGGCCCGGAGGCGATTCCATTCCACGTACGGAAGGTTAACGTAAAAGGCCTCGTCGATGTAGGGATTGCGTTCGAGATGCGTTTTATTGTACATGAACTCCTGCCAACAGCCAATGGCGCCGAAATCCACCGACGGCATCATTTTGTTCACCGTGAACTGCGGGCGCGTCATCATGTTCGGGCGCAGGTCGCCCATTCCCATAATGCAAACGTGGTGGCGCAGATGGCGCGAATGGCAGCCACGGCTTCCCCAGTGGGTGTATCTGAATTTTTTTAGGGGTTTTAGTGATTTTTTTCGTGAATTTTTTGGAAAAAAAATAATTTGAAAAAAAGTTTTGGACTTACAAAATTGCCTCACAGGGGAAGCACTCCAAGTGCGACGCTCAGATTTTGATAAAACTTGGCACAAATTTAGAACATTTTTTTCTAAGACATATGCGGGAATCCTAGCTCGCGCTTTGCCGAAACAACCGAGAATTTTGGATCGAAAGTCGGCGAAAATTTATGACTTTTTGCCGAATTTCGGCACGAAACGTTTCATGCCTATTTCTACCGTAAAGGATAATGTTTCTACAAAAAATCAAAATTTTCCGCACGAAACTGCCAAAGTTATGGCCAAAAAGCGTTTTGCTCTCTGACCGCTCTCCACGTTTAGTGTGCTCTCTCGGCGGCAAAAATCGTTCGATATCTCGGCGGCGCCCGCAAAGCGCGAGCTAAAACTTTCAGGAATTGATATTTAGTGCATACCCGATGTGTGTGCAAAATTTAAAGAAAATCTGAGCGTCGGACTTGGAGTACTTCCCCTGTCAGATTGTCCTTCGTAAAAAAAATTATTTTTCAAGTTTTGTTTTAATTTTCGAAAAATATAAAAAAATCTCACCTCACAATGGTATCCACATTCACTTTGTCCAGACAATGCGTTGTAAATCCGCCGGGGATATTGAGAAGTTCGTTCGCATTTAGAGTGCTTGTGAACGACTCATGTTCAAAAGACTCTCCATTCATTATTTCCATCAAATTTGAGACGCTTAGATTCTGAAAAAAATATTAAACTTTTTTTTATTTTTAGAATAAAAAAGAAAAAAAATGAAAATAGATTTACATTTTCCTAATTTTTTGCCAACTTTCTTACCTTAAAAATGTATTTTACAGCCTCATTGGTCAGAGCGCTTGCTGTGATGCTCTTGGCAATGGCAAGTTCACGGCTGGGGTCATTTAAAGTGTCTAAAAAAACTAAATATTATATAAGGAAGCAAAAAAATTACTTGATGATTGAGTACGGAAAGGTCCGCTAAAAAAAGGAAAGCGGAGGAGGGGAGGGGGGAGGTTTTCGATGGCGCTGATTTCAAAAATCATATTAATTTTTTCTGAATTTTACAATTTTGCTTAAGCAGTAGTGTCATTTTCGCTGTAAAGACGAAAAAAGCGTCATAAGTTTTCTCACAATATCATACAAGTTGACCAATTTTTTACCAAATAAAACATTTCTTTTAAAGAATTGAGGAAGGTAGGCAAAAATTCGGAAGAAATGAATACGATTTTCAAAATCAGCACCACCGAAAACCCCTAAATCCATTACTCAAAAAAAAATTTTTTTAATTCCTTATTAACACTACTGCTTAAGCAAAATTGTAAAATTCAGAAAAAATGGATACGATATTTGAAATCAGCGCCATCGAAAACCTTCCCCTCTCCCCGCCCTCTTCTTTTCTTTTTTTTAGCGGACCTTTCCGTCCTTCGTGCATTTCGGCCATAGGCCACAAAACCTTTCATGGAAAAAATTCGCAAAATGACGTCACATTTTCACCAAACTTCTGCTTAAAAATCTCGAAGGAGTCAGGAAACCGTGTGTCTTAAACTTTTTCATAAACTTACCGTTTTTGAAGATCTTCAGCTTGTCCAAGGTGAACCTCCCGGGTTTTATGAATGCCCTTCGGAAATCGGCCATTGAGTCTGGATGGAAAGCACCAGCGTCATTTGCTCCTTGATATAATTTCAGTATCCTCACAAGCTCTTGATTTGTTTTGATTAGAATATCGTGGTTCTGCAGGAGCAAAAAAAATATTAATGGTTTGGAAATTTTATTCCGCGTTATGCAGAAACACCAAAAAAATTTACTTCAGGCCATGATTTTTGTAAAAAAAATTTATCGCGTTATGCAGAAACATCCAAAAATTTCACTTCAGGCCATGATTTTTTTGAAAAAAAAGTTATCGCGTTATGCAGAAACATCCAAAAAATCAAAAAATTTTGTTTTTTAACCTCCAAAATATTCGAGCAATACCCGAAAAATCCCAAAAATCTCCTCACCTCCAACAACAAAACGTATTTCCAATCCTTCTCCAGCAGCTGTTCCATACAGTAATATTGGGCCTGGTTGATATTCCTCCCTCTCGAAGACATTTCAAACTCTTTATCGGCGACAATAACATTCTCAAAGCAGGTGGAGAGAGCTCTGACGCGAGTCTTGAAATCAGCATCCGCCTTGGAGTCCAGTACAAAGCAGTAAAAGTTGTTCGGATTGTAATGAGCGGCCAGCTCCATTTCCAAAAGAATGTAATCCTAAAAAAATGGTTGTAAAATTTTTTCGACCAGTCGGATTTTTTTGAAAATTTGGTACAAGAGTCTGTATAGGTCTCAGATTATATTCTTAAAATTTTGGCCAATGACATGCCAGTTTAGCAAAGATATTTAACGATTTTAAACACTATCTCAAGGAAATTGTAGTCCTGAAAAAAGTGGTTGTAAAACTTTTTCGACCAGTCGGATTTTTTTGAAAATCTCGCTCAAGAGTCTGCATAGGCTTTACATTATATTCTAAAAATTTTAGCTCATGCTACGCAAGTTTAGTTCGGGTATTCAACGACTTTTAGCGCCGCCGCAAAGAGAAGGTAGGCCTAAAGAATTGGGCGTAAAATTTTTTTGACCGGCCGGATTTTTTTGAAATTTTGCTTGAATAGTCTGTATGGGTCTCTTATCATTTTCTAAAAATTTTAGCTTACGCTAAACTAGTTGAATTAACATATTCAACAATTGTTTTTCGGACATTGAAAATGATGAGAAATCAGCAAAAAAAATTTTTTTTTTTGACTTTTCATTTTGAATTTTTCTGGTAAAACATTGCTTTTGGGAGAAGTATTTCTATGGTACTCTGATCTCAGGGACGGATTTTAAATTTGGACCTGTTTTTGATGTTTTTTGCGCTATTTACCCAGCTGAATCTTCGTATCATATTTTTGGATTTTACGTATATTGAAATCAATGTCAAATGAATCAAAAATGTTTCTCGCGAATCGATGAAACGTGTATTGTTGTGGGCGAATTGAAGGAAGCAGCTTATTCAGGAGATTTTAATAAAAAAAATTTGAAAATTTTCCCAGCTCACACCCACGAAAAAAGTTGCATATTTCAGCGAGGTTTGCGAATCGTGAGCTAAAATGTTGAGGGATTATAACATATACCTTGTGGCACATTTGGGCCAAATTTGAAGGAAATCGACCAGTCGATCTTTGAGCTATCCGATTTTGAACTTTTTTCGCCAAAATTAGTAATCACTGTTTAAAAAATCTCAAAATAAATGTGTTTAGCTTGAAAAGCAAAAGCTAAAATTTCTAAAAATTAATTTGAGAACTGTTCAGGCAATATTTTCGCAATTTGAAACAACAAATTTGGCCAAAAACCCCGAAAAATTCGAGATTTTCTCACCTTAAAGAGCGCCCGCACGAAAGCCAATGGGAAATCGGCCTCTTCGGGATAAGTGATGTTCAGGAAATTCCTTCTAGCTTTAATGTCATCACAACTCATTGACAGGGTCTGCGGATCAGCCAGTCGACGGGGAATATAGACGGGAGCATCTTCTTTCATGTATTTTTGACAGTCTAGGTTGACCAAACTTTCATGAGGTTTGTAACGGGGAATTTGCAGTGTGTTCTCTGGAAATAAAGAATATACTTTTTTAGAATAAAAAAATATTTTTGGGTGAAGGAAAATGACGGAAAAGATTAATTAAGAACTTTTTGAGCTAAGATTAAAAAAAATATTTTTTTAGAAAAAAATATTTAAAAAAAATATAGTTTGAAAAATCAAAAAAATGTATAAGAATAAATTATTAGCCAAAAAAATGAAAAAAATTGAAAATTGAAAAAAAATTAAAGACTAAAAAATTTAAAAAAACAAAAAATAAAAAAAAATATATAAAAAAGTAGGGAAAAATAAAAGAAAAAAATCCCAAAAATTGATAAAAAAGTTAAAAAAATAAAATTATCTCAAAAAAATAAAAAAACTGAAAAAATAAAATAATCAAAAAACTTCTTTCTCAGATCAAAAAATTCAAATCTCACCTTCCTGAATCGTCAGCCGATCCCCTGTTAAATCCATGACACTATAGAAACCGAGGTACAGAATCCCGCAAAAACATACGACTTGAATCCCTCGGACCGACCATTGGATCATCTTGTGGAATTGGAAGGCAAGCTGAAAAAAATTATCCCTTACTGGTTAAACTATAAAATTGTGAATTTTGAACAAAAATGAAAACAGGATTTTTTCCCAATTTTAAAATTGCCGAATGGTTGTCAAGAAGAATTATTTATGTCGTCAGCCTCAAAAAATAGAGACAGCAAAGGGACAAGGTCTATAACATCCGTTGATAACTTTTTTAACAAAAATTTACTATAGCCAATACCTCTGTGCAACGTTTTTTTTTCCCCAAAAAAACCATTTTTTTTTATTTTTGCCCACCCCCACTCACATGCTCCGTCATCCTTGTACTCACAGCACACCGCACACAAAGAACTGGCTTAAACAATTTTCAACGTATCCTTATAAAGAACAACCGGCTTCTGACATAACAAGTCAGAGCAGATCTGAACGCCACGTTCAAATACTCGGCCCACAATGGGCCACAAGTCAAAGCCGTCGCCCGTGTACCCCGACATTGTTTGCGGAGCTGTTTTGAGTGGTAGTACGTAGACATATACATAGATGACTTATGTCAAAATCTGTGTGGGAAGAGGTGGAGTTTTGAATGTATTTTAAGGGTATATATGTTGTCATTGAGATTTTTTTTGAGAACAAAGAAAAAAAAATTTTATTTGAGACCGATCAAAAGTCATTACTAAATTTGTAACAGATCCGTTTGTTTGAAAAAAACATTTTTTTGAGGAGAAAGATTCATAAGAGATCATTGAGACCAAAAATTGGTATCAAACCATTTCCATGGCTACAGCTATGCTTGAACTGCGCTTTCTACGGCCTGAGGAACGAAATATCAAAAAAGTTTTTTGTGTCCAGTCGCGAAATCAAGGCAAAATTGCAAACCGTAACGTAATTATTGGCAAATTGCAGAACGTTATTTTTCCCGTCGCTATTGGTACGGTGGACGAAGAAAGCCCAGTTTTGAAGTTGCTTCGGCCCGGCCCAAAGAAAATATTGTGGATTCGTCGCGGTTTGGAATCACCCATTATCGCTTTGCGACGGCTAGCCGCGGCCGGAGATTTGGTGCGCGACCGCGACGAGACATGACATTTCGCTGCGGCAGATTTACATTATTTTCCCGGCAGACTGATACTTGTCGCGGAAAGAAAAGTCCTGGGAATTTCTCGCGGCTAGACATGGCTAGCCGCGAGTGGGCCGGGCCGAACGAGTTTTAAAGGCCCCCGGCCGGGCCGCCAGGCCGCCAATTGGCCCCCAATGACTAAAATTCTCAGTCTCAACGCGAAAATTAGGGTTGCCAATAAAAATAAAACGCAGAGCCAAGAACCGATTGGATTTTTTGAAGTGCTTTAGGCAATGGTTGGTAATTGTTTGTTTTAAAAATTTATTGTCGATGGTTATAACAAAAAAATGTGTTACACCCGTAATCAATGCGGTATTTATGTTTACAGTCCGGCCCCCGGTCGGCCCCCCGGCCCGGGCCGGGCCGGGAAAATTTGAAGGGGGCCGGGCCGACCTCTTCCGGCCCCCCAGTCATGTCTAGTCTATTCATGGCTCCGGGCCGGGCTTTGCAAAATTTTCCGGCCCGGGCCGGGCCGACTAATTTCTCGGCCCGACTCCGGGCTTCGATTTTTAGGCCCGGCCCGGCCCGGGCCGGCCCGGTTTTTTTGAAATCTAAGTTTTGCCCGGAAAAAAGGAAAAAATATGCTTTTTCGATAGAATTTTTCATTTTTTCGAACACACTGCTAATAGCGAACGTAAAGTGACCTTATGTACCTAGGTTTTGGTAAATTCTTCTTTACATTTTGCGAAAATTTGCCATAATTTTCCTTTCATTTCCCGCTTTCTTTCTTTCCAACCTAGTATAAAATTTGCCGGGCCGAACCGGGCCGGGCTTTCCAAATTTTCCAAGCCCGGGCCCGGGCCGGGCTTGGAGATTCAAGCCCGGGCCTGCGGCCCGGGCCGGGCCGGGCCGGGCTGGCCCGGTTTGCAGCCATTCTTAGTCTAGTCGCTATTGGTATTTAAATTATTTTCCCGACAGACTGACAATCGTTTTCGGAATGCCATGCGACTGCAATCAGCAGCATTTTTGACCGCTGTGTCATGTCAATAGCTTAACGTGGCACCCACAACTCTCTACAAAACTTGTGTCCAGCTTATGCGTTGTGGTTTTGTAGCTTACAAGACACAGTTATGTATGAACAAAAACCACATACGTAAGCCCAGAGGCAGAAGCGGAGCTTTGTTCATTCGGGCTTGTAATACAACAACTTTGCTCTACAGAGGATTGTAGTGGATTAAAGAAGCTGTACGCTGAGCAGTAGACATGGCTCTTGGGCCAAAGGGGGGCGGCCCGCGATTTTGAGCAATGAGGCAAAATGCACTATGCGTCGCGACCAAAATTGATGGAAATATGGATCTTCGTTTTTTGCCACAAATTTCTTTTACACGTTTCAATAAACCGGGCTAAAGAAAATTAACGTTTTAAATAGCTAAAATTAAAAAAGCGGGACATTATTGTAGCGGATATATTGTAGATCCTCCCAAAGTCACCACTGAGCCTTCGCCGAGCGTCCGCCGGCCATTCGACGGCTTTGTGAGGCCTCCTAAGCACTCTCTCAACCTTTTTTTGGGCATCCACCTGCCCTACACCCCGCACGGCAACCCAAAATCGAACACAAATGTCTCCCGCCCACTTTTGAATTTCGTCCAAACGAAGTGTCAAAATTCACAAAAGAAATAAAATAATTCCGAGAAAAATATTTTTCGGTCGGAAAACCACAAGAAAAATTCATTTTTGACATTCCGTTTGAATTCAGCCGATACTAGGTGGGCGAAGTTCCGAAACGAGGCGGGAGACTCCCTGGGTTGCCGTGCCCCGTATCGATCGATTTTGTGCCGACCCGAACTGTCAACGACCCGAAAAGTCGGGATGCGGCAGTGTTTATTCACCAACAACGTATTCGCATAACAGCCAAATGTTTATAGTATACATTTATCGGTGTATCAGTCTGTCGGGAAAATAATGAGAGCTCTGTCGCAGCGAAAATTGTGATCGCCGCCGAGAAAATGAATTGTGTCGCGGCAAAATCAAATTGCTTTTCACTTCGGCAACACAATCGACGCAACGACATTGTGCGCGTTATTTTCCCGACAGGCTGATATTTCGGCTCCCCAGCCTTGCTATGACCGCCTTTTACTTACCATCATTTATAAGCTTTACCACACTGAGCAAATCACAAATCGAACGAACAGCATAACAAAAACGCCGATGACAGAATGAAATTTATTTTCAGCGATTACATAATACAGAGAGATTTGCATTGTAATATCTGACTTTAAGCGCCATTTGTTGATGTCGATCTGAAGCTCCGTTTCCGTTTTTGGAACGTTGAATTACTTTCCACCACAGCAGCCGCCGGCTGAAAAAGTAAGGCCAATTTGGCGCAACGTATTTTTAAACAACATACAGTAATACCATAATACGATAGATTTATTTATGCAAAAAAATTCAGACTTAATTACTTCCCATTTAGAAACGGTGACATAACTTACAAGCATTTCCACCGCAACAACCCTGCTGCTGGGTCTGCTGCTGCTGCTGGCAGCCACAGTTGGCGCAATCGCACTTGTCTTTTCCGCAAGGACAGGTAAGCTGCATGACGAAGGTGGTTTCTGAAAAGCGAAATTAAAAATCCATTAAAAATGAAGCTCAGCGATTTCAACGCGACAAAAAATGGTGAGGTTGGAGGGTAATAAAAGGATCTTATCAAGTCATCAAATTCGAAGCGAGCAAGGTGGGCGGTAACTGCACTAAAGACGTCTAGACATGGAGATAATATATAATTTCTCATAGCTCTATGTCCTTAAAACTGCATAACAAGGCGTGCGGAGTGTGGTAAATATATTTTCTCGCCAAATCTTGACCTAAAATTCCGTGTCCCGGCTTCTCGGGTTGTTGACAGTTCGGGTCACCACAAAAAAGATCGATGGTGTAGGGCAGGCGGAGAGCCAAAAAAAGATTGTAGGAGGTGTCCACGAGGCCTGTGAAAGCCGTTGAAGCCTCGGCGGAGACTTGGCGAAGACTTGAAATGTGTCCACGTTTTGCAATTCTAGCTATTGCCAACCCTAGTTTTCTTAATTCTGAGTTATTGCAACATATAAAAAAGACCAAAATTTATGGCAAAAAAAAAGATCCGTAAGTTTCATCCCAGTATTATAGCAGCAATATACACAAAATGGCGCTACGACTTTACGGGTCAGCGACAGTCCGGGTCAACGACAGTAGGGATCGCTTCTGTTCGTCGTTGTATGCATGGAGAGACTAGGAGAACGCTTAATTAAAAGAAGTCAATAATCAATAATATTATCAGATAGATCGTGTCCTAGGACAGCTTATCACCTATTTTAAGGTATTTTACATGTACTCACATCAGCAATATCTATATAGATAAAAGTTGCGGATCTTCGTTTTTTGTCCGAAATTTTGGCTTTTTATATGTTACAATAACTCAGGGTAAAGAAAACTAACGTTAGTCATGTTCTAAAACTAGAAAAAGTTTGCATATTGCAAGCCTTCGCCAAGTCTCCGCCGTGCCTTCGCCGAGCGTCCGCCGAGCATCCAACTGCTTTCACCGGACTTGTAGGAACTTTCTTCAACTTTTTTTGGGTATCTACTTGCCCGGGTTACTGCCCTTTCGGGGTGGGCCCTTTCGGGGTGGGCTTTTCGGGGTCGCCCTTCCGGGGTGAGCCCTTTCGGGGTGGGGCCTTCCGGGGTGGGCCCTTTCGGGGTCAAGGCAAATACTGGGGTTTCCGGGTCCCGGAGCATAAATAATTATACACTGCTCCACGAAATGATAGACGCACCCTGTTTTTAGCGGTTATCTTCCTTGTACTAAGTGATATCGAATAATGTTCAACAGATGAAATGTGACAAATTAAACGAGAAATCATGTCCCGTAGCAATTTTGGAACAACATTTTGTCTTGACTGAGATATGACAATTTTCGACTTTTTTGGGGTCCACAAAATGATAGACGCAATTAAGTAATTTTTTGATTATTTAAAAGAATTTTGAGTCAACCTTCTCTTATTATACTTCCTCGTGTTCTTTGTAGTATTAGAAAGGTAATTACATTTATATCCGCCGTACTTCATCGACGCAGTGGCCTTATGAGCCATTTCCGACCTTGTACATGAGGTAAATATTCGGTTTGAAAAAAAACTGTAGGTTATGCTGGTTTCTTGGGCGAAAAACTAGCTAATACCATCACATTATACGTGTAGATCTCACTGATAAAAACAAACGGCTTGCTCAAGGATCCCGAGCATTTTCTTGGCGTATCATCTTCAACATGTAGCTACCTTAATACTTTTAGACCCCCGAAATACCAAGGCGAATAAAGAGAATGACAAAATTTAATTTGCAAATTCGAACTGAGCATTCCTGAAAACGTAGTGTTTTAATCATCAGCCGTTACAGAATAAATTTGGTCGGTAACGTCGTTCGACAAAAAAAAGTCACCAAAAATAGGCTTGTTTTTACACGTTTATTTTTAATCAATCATCTATCAATCATTATGACATTTAAGCAGGCAATAAGTTGCGGTTTTAGGTTTGTTGACATGCTGAGTTTGATTTTCTGAGCAAAAAATTGCCATCGATAGTAATCTTCTGTACTTTTAGAGCCTTTGAAGGTTACTGTAGAAGGTATACGGTAACTTAATGGTCGATTAAATGACTTCAAGCGAATCGGTATTGGTTTATTTTATGTCTTATATTTGCTACTAGTAATCTATGATGGTTTAAGATGGATTTTTGGCGAAAGCCAAATTGTTAATCAATTTTTTTTTTAAACCGAATATTTACCTCATGTACAAGGTCGGAAATGGCTCATAAGGCCACTGCGTCGATGAAGTACGGCGGATATAAATGTAATTACCTTTCTAATACTACAGAGAACACGAGGAAGTATAATAAGAGAAGGTTGACTCAAAATTCTTTTAAATAAACAAAAAATTACTTAATTGCGTCTATCATTTTGTGGACCCCAAAAAAGTCGAAAATTGTCATATCTCAGTCAAGACAAAATGTTGTTCCAAAATTGCTACGGGACATGATTTCTCGTTTAATTTGTCACATTTCATCTGTTGAACATTATTCGATATCACTTAGTACAAGGAAGATAACCGCTAAAAACAGGGTGCGTCTATCATTTCGTGGAGCAGTGTATTTTTTTAAACTACTGATTAATTTTATGACGTAATTTTGTAAAATTTTTGAAAAAAAATGATAAAACAAACACCGAGATTGAAAATGTTAAAAATGACATTTGATAAAAGTTTCCTTGTATGCATATTAAAAAGTTAAATTCTTTGAACGCCAGATTCGGCGCAATGCAATCAAGAATATCTGCAATAAAAATATTGTCTCCTTAATTTTGAAAAAATCTCAAAAAATGAATGTGATTTTCGAATTCAGCGCCGTTGACACACCCCACGAGTCGGTTGTTTCCAACTTTTATCAAATGTCATTTTTAACATTTTCAATCTCGGCGTTGTTTCTATCATTTTTTTCAAAAATTTTACAAGATTACGTCATAAAATTAATCAGTAGTTTCAAAAAAATAAAATTATTTATGCTCCGGGACCCGGAAACCCCAGTATTTGCCTTGACCCCGAAAGGGCCCACCCCGAAAAGCCCACCCCGAAAAGGCCCACCCCGAAAGGGCCTGCTTCCCTACTTGCCCTGCTCCACATATCGAACGATTTATTTTGTATTGACCCAAACTGTCATCGACCCGAAAAGTCAAAACGCAAAAGCAAAAAAAGCCCGGCCCGTCAGCCATGTCGGTCCCCAAAAATAAAAACAAAGCCCTCTCAACTGAACGTCCTCCCCAAAACACTCCATTTTATAACCGACAAGATCCTGAAATCTTCTGAAATCGTCTTTGAAATTCGATGAAATCGAAAACATTTCCGATTTCTGAAAATTTCTTTTCTGCCTTGAAAAAATGCGATTTCAGAAAATTTCACGCCAAAATAACTGTTTACGAGCAATGAGACGTGCGCACGCCACGAAAAACGTAAGGCAAAATTGGAAATAGAGATGTCGAGCTGCGCCCAATATTTTTAATCTTTTTTGAGCGCATGAATATTGTGGTAGATATATTGTAACTCTGAGAGTTGGAATAATTTGGGGATGAATAGTACGTTAAAAATTACGCTGTTGTCAGTTCCAAGTGTTGAATATAATGGATGGGTCCATGGAGGCCGGCCCATCGCGCTCTGACGCAAAAACTGATTCTCCACCTATTGATGTGTCTATAGAAAAGGTAAGATCTCTCTTTTTGTATCCGGTTTAGGAACAACGTAGCCAATCCTTTTGTGTGAAACATCCTAGCGGACGTTTTAAAGAAGAAATCTGGAAATTTGACAATGAAAAAATGGCACTTGTCTTGACGTTATTGCATAATTTTGCAGGAATCGAAGGAGACACGCATGAAACCGCTGGAGAAAGCGCGTGCAAAGCTGGCGCAGACGAAGCAAATGAATATCAAGTTAGCAGAGAACTGCAATAAGCTTGCTTTGAATATAATGGATGAGTCCATGGAGCCTGGCCCATCGAGCTGTGATCCAAACATTGATTTAGCAGCTATGGAGGTGTCTGCAGGAAAGGTAAGATTTCTCTTTTTGCATCCGGTTTAGGAACAAGGTAGCCAATCCTTTTGTGTGAAACATCCTAGCGGACGTTTTAAAGAAGAAATCTCGAAATTTGTCAATGAAAAAATGGCACTTGTCTTGACGTTATTGCATCATTTTGCAGGAGCTGATGGTGTATCCAGAAAATGTAAGTTTTCTCTTTATTCATCCGGTTTAGGGACAAAGGAGCTGATCTGTTTTGTGTGAAACATCCCAGCGGACGTTGTAAAGAAGAAATCTGGAAATTTGACAATAGCAAAAGGGCACTTGTCAATAGATTATATACATCATTTTGCAGCAGCTGATAGTGTCCCAGAAAATGTAAGATTTCTCTTTTTTCATCCGGATTAGGATCAAATTAGCCAATCCTTTTGTGTAAAACATCCTTGCGGACGTTTTAAAGAAGAAATCTCGAAATTTGTCAATGAAAAAATGGCACTTGTCTTGACGTTATTGCATCATTTTGCTGGAACTGATGGAGAAATGCGAGAAAGGGCTGGAGAAGGCGTGAGGAAAGCTGGATCAAAGGAAGCAGACGACGTTCAGAACATTTCAATGTAAGTTTGTGACGTTGCCTTTTTGATTTTTTTGTTTTTCTAGGCCATTGAGCTAACAATTTTCTCTGGTTATACCTAAAATAATATAATTGATATTTCAGCCGGTCCATGCTGAAGTAGAATGTGAAAGCCAGCATAACGTACCAAATGGTGTGGAGATGGAATTCCGAGTTCAGATTGCATCCGGCAAATTCGATGGATTGTCGAAAATTTATGTAATTTTAATTATTCTTATTGGTTTGATATTTAGGTGGAAATAAAGAAGATTTGATGAATTTCAATTTAGTAGTGGTGTTTTGTAGCAATATCAAAGCCCTGCTAGTCTTGTTTACCCCCTGAAACGCTCGAATTCGGTCAGATTCGTCGATTCTGATCCAATTTTACCTAGTACAATATAACTTCTTTTCTCTTCTTCGATCAATCTGAGAAGTTCGGGTTGCACCTCCTTGAAGCCTTTCGATGCTTTCTCGTTGGTTTCACACGTAAATTGTTGTTTTATTAGAACTTTGGGATCATTTTTATTATTTTATTTGTAAAGGTTTCAGCGTATGAAATATCGAAACCATTTTCCCGCGAATTTCTCTATTTCCACTTTTTTCGTGGCGTGCGTGCGTTTTCCCACAAAAAGATAAAAAAAGACATGAGAAAAGAGGGAGTGAACGGACCTTGAGTTGGGGCTGTAAAGAAAGAGAAGGTCCAAAAAAGAAAAAAAATAAGATGAAGAAAGACGTATACATAGAAGCTTCGAGATGGGAAATGGAGCAAGGGCCATCTGGAATAAGAAAAAACATATTTTTTTTTAATTTTGCATGGGCATGGTGAAGATTACGGTAGTTTTTCTCCGAAAAATTAATATCGTTGGAATTTGATGAAACTTGGGAAAAATTGAAATTACGTTTCTCTAAGACATCTGACAAATTTGTAGCTCGCGCTTTGCAGAAACTGCAGAGATTTTTCAATCGAAAAAATAAAAAATAAATAAAATTTTGCGTTTTTTGAATTGAAAAATAGAAAATTATTTCGCATTGGGAGTAAAATTTTTTCACCAAAAATCAATTTCTTATAAAAAAATTGAACAAAAATATAGTCCAAAAACTTCTTTGTCATGCCATTTCTCATCATTTTCCGTAATCTCTCGTCCGCAAAGATTGTTGAATATCTCAGTTCTGGATGCAAATCGTGAGCTAAAATTTTCAGTGAGCAATCTCTAAGCTCTATATACAATGCCTGGAAAATTTCAGAAAAATCGACCAGTCGAACTTTGAGAATTTCAATTCGCAAAAAATCGCCCAAAAATTGCAAAATCTCTCATTTTTCTTCGAAAAAATCGGCAAATAAATAAAAAATTTGCCTTTTCCCAAACTTCTAGGTCATTTCCAGCCCTTCAAGACTCCAAAAACAGCCATTATATTACTTTATTCATCAAAATTTCCCAGAATTTTAATAAATTAATACTAAATTTACATATTGCTTTTCTTCAAGATCGGAACGTTAGTGAATCTGAATTCGGGGTACTCCTCTGCTTTATAAAACTCGGAGGTGTAGAAAATCCCATCAACAAGTGATTTGAGGGTGAATCTGAGGAGGAATGCTTGTCCGATCAAGTAGGCCATCACGGATCCAAAGAAGAAATTGGCGTTGCCGGAGCCGGTCTGGACCCACTGTTGGAGAGTGATTAGGGACGAACTGCATGCCAGACTGATCAGGGTGGCCAGGAAGTAGAAAAACACCGAGACTGAAACAAAAATTTATATTACACTAGGCATTCGGGTAAAAATTTTACATTTTCTGTATTTTAAAGATTCAAATTTCAGCTCAACCAATGAAAATCAAACATAACGCACCTCTGCAGGTATTTTAAAGCCACAGACACAAAGGTACAACATAAAAATTATATTACTTTAGCCTCATACAGCTATTTTTGAAAAATTGAGGACTAACACTTCAATTAAGCAAGTAAAAACTGAGACGCTGATGTCGATTTCGTATTTTAAAACCGAAAAAAGTAAGATTGGAAGAAAAAATTATATTACACTAGCCATCAGATCTAAATTTTCGTCATTTTCGGCCCGTTTCAAGCAATTTTCTTGACTTAATCTTGTCGATCCGTAAACTTGACACCACTAACTTTACAAAATAGTCAAAACAAGGAGATTTCACTAACATTTTTATATTACACTAGACATCAAAACAAAAAACTTTTAAAACTCACAATTTTTCCTGGACTTTATGGTCGTCAACAGCGGTAAGAACACACAAAACTCAGCGTAAGATGGATATGACGACAAGACAGTTATTAATTGAAGAAAAATTATCCACATTCCAGTTGGCACCACCCTGAAGAAAACCTAATAAAACTTTGCCAAAAATCAACAAAACCAGTCGGCAAGCGGTTTCCCAACAAAGCAGACATCCTATTCTTTGTAATCAACTCACCAGAACACCCGATAAACCGGCAGAACATGAACAAAAGCCAGAAAATGTAGGATGGCCAGGAAAAATGAGCGATATTGGACGAAAATCAGGGAAAACAGATACCAATACATACCCATGTTGGGGGTGTAGTCCTCCAGCGAGAAGCTGAAATTGTTTTCTTATAAAAAATTAAAGAAACGAGACCGTATTTTACCCGTGTTTTTAAAAAATTGACAAATTTTTGAAAAACTGACAAAATTTCGGGGTTTTTGATGAAAAATCGAAAATTCAAGCTGGAATTTGGATATAAATTGATCTCAGGAGGATCAGACAGAGTATTTAGCGAATCCTGAAGCTATTTGAAAGCCTTTCACATCTATATTCATCTGAATTTTTTGAGAAAAATAAAAAAAATGAAAAATTTGACTCAAAACATCAAAAATTGACAATTTTCGCTTGTAATCCAAAATTTAGCTGGCAATAACAACATTATAAGGCCGCAAAAAATTCTTAATGCCCTCTCTCATCACACAGAGGTCATAACACCACATTTCCCATCAAAATTCCACTCAAAACTTACAAAAATCCGATATTCCCCTTGATCACCTCTCTCCAATTCGAGACCACGAAATTACTGCTGTATAACACGGCAAATGCCGCTAATTTAAATCCCAGATGTTTTGCCGTCAACGAATACGAAAACTTCTCGCGGCTTTGTATGGTAAGTCTCGCCGCAATGATGGGGAATATCAGCTGAATGTAGTAGATGTTGAGCTGCGCTGCGATGCACACAGCAATTGTAGCGAGACAAAGTTGACCTAAAAACCGAACATACAAAATATCAAATGACTTACGATGCACTAGACAGTAAAATCCAATGCACAAGATCATGTTCAACAAGCTGCTCAAGTTCATGCCAACGCAAACTCCGATGGTCAGTGGGTTGAGTAAATACATGGTTAACATCCGCTTCGAACCTTCGGAAGCCTCATCCTTGTCTTTGAAGACTTTCGGACCAGACCAGAACAAGAAAATCGAACCCACAACATCAAACGCCTGAATTTCGATATTAGTTTAGATAAAAGTGGATAAAAACCGAAGAAAAACTGGCTTACAATAAATAAAACCCGCAGAAAATACTCGTAGGATAAGAATGGATAAAATGCAATGGCAATCCATGGAACTCCATGGTATTTATCGGCGTAAAGACTTCCATTTTGGTCCCATAATGAGATGGCATCTTTGAGACGACGAAATGAAGTCCATGGAGAGGTAAATCCAACGTGATCTTGCAGATACTCTTTGAAATATGCAAAGGCTATTAGCCGGAGCAAAATTCCAAAAATTATCGGGCTAAAATAAGAATTTACAGCAAATTTTTGATATTATACTTGAGATTTAAAAGAATCCTAGAAAATCAGATAGAACTCAGCGGAAACTGAACAAAATCTCTTGAAATTTGGAGCACAGCTAAACTGCCTCATTTACTATGTGTCTACAAAAACGCAGGTCTTATTGTTTAGGTTCCCAAATGTTATATCCGATATTCAACATCAAGGCTAACACCTGCTATAAAATATCCCAAATCTCCATTGAAACAGCACCTAAAACTCGAAACGAATAATAAAAAGAAACCTACGTTAGTGCATCAACTAACTGAACCTCAACTTGGGCTTTTCCATCAGTTTTATCCGCTTTTACCAAGGGTTCTTCATCTGATACACTTCGTCTTTTGATGCGTCGAGTTACCGTCATTTATACCTCTAAAATGTAAAACCTTATGTGCAAACAAACTCGTCTTACCTCTCCTCGCACTCCGCGGCCACGAAAAAGATTATTCATTCAGAAATGGTTTCGATGCAAAGAATTGTTTTTTTATGTTTTCGTCGTATAAAATGGCAAACGCAAACTGCAAGCAGCTCGCGGCCTAATTTGGGAAAGAAAAATAATTTTTTAGCGAAATTTTTTGTGGAGATGATAAAGATGGATGTAAACTGGAGTAATTGATGCGAAATGAATGGAAATTTAAAGAATTATGCTCAAACTACCTCATTATATTATACTTGGTCGTCTTGGTCGAAATTTGTCCGGAAAAAGATGGCAAAGGCGAGGTTTTAATATATTTTTGTCTTTATTCTTTAGAAAACAGCATTTCATCAAATCTACAATGATCCAGGATGAAGAATTTTAACTTGTTTGCCTTTTTTTAACCTTATTTTAGGTTATATTATACTTGACCTTTTTCAGTGCAATTACAAAGTTATATGTGCCTCGTGTGACGCCTACAACTCAAAATCAGCAGCGTATTATCAAGTACAGCATTGGCAGACAGCATGGATATCAATTTAGCCCGGAAGAATATCAATTGTTAGATCGGTATGAGTTCAATGGAATCGAACGGGTGAATAGTAGTGTAAGTTACTTTGAGTTATTGTTTTTGTGTTTAGAAATCTGTCTGAGCTCAGGTTGATATCTGGATGACATCGTGTCTAAAACACAGGGTAAAATACGGGACGTGTCGGTATAGTTTGCTTGGTAAAAGGTCGGACTTTAATTCAAAAGATCGCAGGTTCAATTTCGGCTGGTGAAGAGCGGGAATTTTGGCAAATTTCTTATAGAAATCGGATAAGAATAAGGGTTTTTTAAACTTTAGCTTGTAGAACAGACTTTTTGTGAAAACGTTGACATCTTTTACCATGATTCAAGTGCTTTTTTTAGGAGTACACACCACTTCCCATCGAAATCGCCTTTAGCAAATTGCAAGAAGGCCGTCTGAGGAATCGATTTGTTAGTGCTGAACTCTTCTATGTCTATATTATCGTTCCACTACATAGGAAAGATGGTAAGCCACTTTTTGTTCTGTTTTTGTTACATTTTTAGACCTAATTTATATTGTACATGACATTTTTTTAAAAATTTTGAAAATTTTTTCCTTAAAAATTTTTGGAATGTACAGTATCCAAAGATCCTGTAATTGATTCAAAATGGATTTTTACATATTTCAGAGCTATTTGTCAGAGGTTTAAAAGCAAATCAAGAGTTCTACACCAAGATGTTTCGTCAATTTTGTGGCCCGGAAATGATCGATATCCCCGATTCGAAGAGAAAAATAATGTTGGAAAAGCTCGAAGAAGGTCTCAGAATTAATGGTGAGAGATTTTATGGCATTTCCAGACGAATTTGAGGCATTTTTTACTTTATTTTAGGCAAAGGCTATCATTTTTTCGAAAAAATCTGTTTTTTACCCAAATTTACGTTCTAATATGATGTCACCGTACTTCAGGAGTAACTACAGATAATTTTCCTGACATCTCGAGTCATAATTCATCTAGTGATGACCAAAAATCTCTTCAAAATGGCCAAAAATCCATCGAACTTGCGAAAAATGGGGATCTCAAAAATTTGAAGGAGTATTTACAAAATATAATCGTAATTCAAGAAGAAACGGGTATGAATAATTTGGATATGGACCTGGACAGCTATTTCGAAGTAATTTATCTACTTGGTTATACAACATCCACCAAAAATGATATGGACGACCAGGTGAACATGGAGAAGATGGAATTGATCAGATTTGTAAGTTTTTTGGTTTAAATGAGTAGTTGCAAGTAGAATGGGTGGTTTTAGGATGATTCTACCCGTTTTTGAATCTAAAATTGGTCGATTTTGGGTCTCGCCGCGAAATTTGGCATTGTGTTTCAATGGCTTATTTGGGCCGGAAACTGGCCGTAAATGATAAGAATAGAAGGTTAGAGAAGTGTAGAGGTGTTTTTGATGAGTTTTACTAATTTTCATTCTCTCCGCGGGCTGTGATTTTGGGTCTCGGAAAGACATTTGGCATTGTGTTTCAAAGGCTTATTTAGGTCGAAAACTGGTCGGAAATGGTAATAATAGAAGACTAAAGACGTGTAGAGGTATTCTTGATGACTTTAACTCGTTTTCCTTCTCTCCGCGAACTATGATTTTGGGTCTCGCCACGAAATTTGGCATTGCGTTGTATGCGGTGATTTTGATCAGAAAATTGTAGGAAACTGTCAGGGAACAAATTTTTATGAGATTTTAGTGGTTAAAAAAAGCTGTTCTACCATCAAAAATCAGTGTTTAGCACTAAAATGTCAAGCACAATATAAAAAAAGACAAAAAAATTAATTTCTCCAACTTTCAGATGATTTCTAACGCCCCACATTTCCCAGGCTACTTTAAGGCCCTCACCGCGCAAATTAATCGCCATATTGTGAACGAGAAATTCGATTCCGCTCTGGTTTTATTCGAAGATGTCACCAAAATTTCGCATATCTTGAAGACCGCTAGCAAGGATCAATTTATAAAGCAAAATATTGGACGATATGCTCGCAAAATTCTCCACACATACGATGACATTGAAATTGCCAAACTTCACGGTGCAAAAATTTATGAAACTTTTAAAGAGGCCTTCAATTTTTACGAGGAATTGTTATGGACAATTTTGCTCAGTGCCAAGTGGAAGCGCGACGGCAGGAAGCGTCTGGAACTGCTCAGAGGGATACTGGATATCGTCGATCCGATGAGAGAAAAAATTCAGCTGGTTTACCCACTTTTAGCAGAGTAAGTTTAGGTTGTACTTAATGGTGATAAAAAATTTGGATATATCTTGGTGATTTTGAGTGATAGATTGGGCTTGTTGTGAGTTCTGAGTGTTAAAAAGCATAATAAAGCTATTTTTGAACTTTTTGGAGGGGTGTGTCGACATGGCGCAACTGGTTTTGGGCTTGTCGGAAGTTTGGCCCAGGTTCGATTCCGGGTGGAAGAATTTGTAGAAATGATTAAAGTTTTATGCTTGCAAGGGACGATGATGGGTTTTAGTCCATAAATTGTAGTATTTCTGTGATATTGTTATTTTTTCCACTAAAATTGCCTCGTTGTAGGTAAAATTTTGATTTTCTGATTTTCCAAGTTGCTATAAATGATAAAATAAAGTAATTTTGAGATGAATTTTGTTTGCATTTTATATAGAATCCGGCTTTGAAGTTTTTATAGGGGTGTGTCGACATGGCGCAACTGGTTCTGAGATTGGTTAGAAATTTGGCCCAGGTTCGATCCCGGGTGGAATTTTTTTCGAAACTTTGCGCGACTGGGTTTTTGTGGGTCTTTATGTGTTTTCGATTACTTTTGGATTGTCTTTTTTTACATCAAAACACCAAAAATTACCTTATTTTAGCTGTAATTTTCTGAAAATTTTTCGTTTTTAGATTAAATGACCGCAAACATGACCCACAGTTGACGGACCAACGCCTTGATGTTCTTTCTCAATTTCTGAATATGGGATACAAGGATTTGGAGGACTTGGACCCAACTTTTATGTGGAATAATATCGTAAACCCGGTTTTGAGTGAGTAATCGCATAATTTTTGTTTGATATATTGTGTCTCAGACGAAGCGGAAGCCGAAAATGCCTCACAGATCCTAAAAACAGCCATTGATCGGTTCGAAAAGCATGGATTGAGCGCCGAAGTTCTAAATGAGATGATACGAAATGCCAAAAATTCGACGTATTTCCGGCCGGAGATTGTCGCGGAACTGGATGGATTCTCGAGATATAACAGGTATGTTGATGGGATATTTTTTTGGAATTTGGATGACGGATTTTTTGGAAATTTTCAAAAAAAATTTTTTTTTTTTTTTTGAAAATTTTTCGTATTTTAGGTCTGTTTTTTTAACTGGTCCAAAAGACATCATTGATAGGTTTTTACATTTAAATATGTCATGATGACGGATTTTTTGGAATTTTTCAAAAAAAATTTTTTTGTAAATTTTTCGGATTTGAGGTTTGAAAATGTTTTAAAGTGATCTAAAAGACAGTTTTATAAATTTTATAAACTTAAATATGTCATGATGACGGATTTTTTGGAATTTTTCAAAAAATTTTCTTTTGTAAATTTCTCGTATTTTAGGTTTGCAAAATTTTTAACTGGTCCAAAAGACACGTTTGACATGGTTTTTTAACATAAATATGTCATGATGACGGATTTTTTGGAATTTTTCAAAAAAAAATTTTTTTTTAATTTTCGTATTTTAGGCGGAAAACTATAAAAATGTCGCAAATTTTCAGCTTAATCCAAAATTCGACGAAAAAATCGACCGAGATCAGAGATCACTCCACTTTTGACCCGAAAATCTTCAGCCGCTTGGTCTATGAAAAGAGGTGCGGAGAGGTTTTGGAAATGCTCCGAAACTGTAAAGGATTCCCCAGAGAACTCAACATGGCTGCTGCTACCGAACCGTTGATTCAAACGTTCTTGGAAAACGCTCGTTTGGAGGAAATCGACGAAATTTTGGAGTTTTTGTAAGGAAATTTTGATTTTTTGTGCGATTTTTTGCTGATTTTGTTAAATTTTTTGGATGTTAAAGGAATGTCGAGGTGATGTAATTAGGACCAGTGGGATTTCTAAGAATTTTCCAGAACTTTGTTCCCGAAAAATTAAATTTTTTCCTTCTTTTTGGCAAAAATCCTCGATTTTTCATGAAATTTTCGATTTTTTTAGATCCGAAAAAGAAATCAGCTCGATTCCGGCGAGACCAACCGATCAGCCCACCTCATCCGTCACCTCCATCCATTTGCTCAACGTTATTGCCAACAAAGCGGCCAAAAATTCGGGAAATTTGACCTCGGACTTGGTCAACTTTGCCCACCGACTAAAAGAGAAATTTCCCAACACGTTTGACCATCCAAAACAGTATCAGACCTCTATTTCGGCGGCCCGGAATTTGTTTCAAACCATTTTGGGCGGAGAGGTCACGCTTTCGGACTTTGATTTGGCCGTGGACTTGATGGTGAAGTTGATGATGGATGAGCTGCTTTTGCTGCATGAAAATGAAACAATTAGCACTTTTATTGTTAACAGAGCATATTTTAAGTAAGTAGGGTGATTTTGGAGGGGTTTTTGACGTTTTGAAAGAAGTTTTGAGAGATGTGACGAAGTGTCAATATTGATTTTTTTGAAATTGAAAATGTAAATTGGGAAAGTTTATAAATAATGGGGTTGTTTATGAAGTTTTAAGGCTTTTGATGACTTTTTCAGAAATTTTTACACCTTTGACGAAATGTCACTATTGATTTTTTTGAAAAAGTTTCCTGATTTTAAAATTATGGAGATTTTTGAAAATTGGTAGTCTAAAACAGTGTTTATAAAGTATTTTTTACTGAATTATATCTGAATTTTGAGATTCAAGCCGTTTTTTTCATCAATATTTAAAAAAAGATTTTTTTTTTTAATTTTTGACATTTCGTCCAAAATTTTTTCAGGCTCGGCTGGACCCCCGCCGTCTCGATTTGGCTCAATTTCCAGAATCAGCGCGGCCTCAGCAACGCCCTGTTCAGCCTCCTAGAGTTTTCCATCAAAAATAACAGCCAGGCGAGGCTGGATTTCCTCTTCCATCACGCCCGAACTCATATCGCGGAGCACCGCTATAACTCATTTTTGGCCGCCGCATACGCCGCTCAGAGGAAACCAGAAATCGCGGAGAGCATTGTGAAGAACAACCAAGTGCCTCCGGGCGGATTAGTCATGCTTTTTCGGCTGTGGATGGCCTTGCATCCGCCGGACATGTGCACGGTGCAGTTTTTGGAAATTATTTTTAAACATACGACGATTTTGGAACGGGAACGAATGCTGAGAGTTGTTACGGATGAAGCAGAGAGAAAATTCGGTAAGAATTTTACCGATTTTTTGGACGAATTTGGAATTTTTTTGAAACTTTTTGGGATTTGAGCAGTTTCTCGAAGATTTTTTGGTGTAACGTCGTTATATAGAGGTTTCAAAGAGTAAAATTTTGTTTTTGAGAACGTCGAAATGTCAGAAATGAAATAAACTATGATTTGGACAGGCGTGTCGGAATGGCGCAGCTGGTTGCAGGCCGGACAAAAAAGGTCGCAAGTTCGATTCCGCCTGGACAAATTTTAATTTTTAGCTTGAAAAATGATAAAAAGTGGCGTGTTATAAAATAAGAAAGTATCTGTTGAGAATTATAGTAAGTATTCAATGTATTGTTGGCCGTTTTTATCTAAAAAATCCATAGTTTTTACCAATTTTTTGATGAGTTTCACTTTCAGCAAATAAAAAGAACCCCAATCTGATCCGCGCATATCTTCAGCTGGTCAAAACCTACAATTTACCCATCAATCAAGCGGCTTTTGGCAGTTTTAGGACCTAGTCTAATATAAATTTAGTGTTTTTTTTTTGATTTTGAATTTGTAAATTATTGTTAAATTTGTTGGTTGTTATAAAAGAAAGCAAAATTTGAGAGATTTTCTAGATTTTTTTAAGGAAATTTTTTTAAAAAATTTTTTAAAAATAAAATTTTTTTTCTATGGAAAGTATTGTAAGCCATACTTTCTATAGTAAAAAAAGCCGTAACTATTGTTACAGAAAAAGTAAAATTTCCGATTTTTTTTTATTTTTTTTGTTAAATCGGGGCCTCCGATACGTGGAAAAAGCGTATTTGTCCATCTGGATCCCCTCTTCCCTCGTCGCTCAGACATCGGAAAACGCGAACTCGAATACATTTTTGATTATTCAAATAATTTGAATACCCGCTTTGGCCATGCTTTTTGCGTGTTTCGGCAAAAAACGGAAGAAGAAAATCGAAAGCGAAAAAACGCCGACGGTCTCGGTGATCTATGGAAATGAGGTGAGTTGTGTTTTATTTTATTCTGAGAATTCTTTCCTCGGGTTTTTATAAAGCTTGGCTTTAGATTCGTGATAAATTTTATATTATACTAGACCATTCGATCGAAATTTTTTTATTCTCCGGGAATTTCTCAATGTGCGATGCTTAGATTTTAATGAAAGTAGGAACAAATTGAAACTAGAATTTTCTAAAACATATGCCAGATTTTTGGCTTGCACTTTGCAGCAACCATTGAGATTTTTTGGCCGAAAAATGCCGGAAATTCGAGATTTTTTGGGATTTTCGAAATGAAAAATTGGTAGAATGGAACACAGCGTTTCTACAAAACGCCTTTTTTGTAGAAACATTGTAGTCCGAGACCAATTTTTCACTTCGAAAATCGCAAAAAATCTCGAATTTCTGGCAATTTTTGACCGAAAAATCTCGATGGTTGCTGCTAAGTGCAAGCTAAAAATCTGGCGTATGTTTTATAAAATTCTGGTTTCAATTTGTTCCAACTTTCATCAAAATCTAGGCGTCGCGCTTTGAGAAATTCCCGGAGAATAAAAAAATTTCGATCGAATGGTCTAGTATAATATAAAACTTCTCTCTCGAGTTATCGCGAATGGAATTTAGACCTATATCCCGTCGCAGAGCCCAGGAACGGCCTCATCTTCAGTTCAACCCATCCATGTCAGTATTCCGTTGGAAATAAATCATAACACAAACGCCTCCGGCATTCCGTTAGCAAATCTAGCCGATTTCGAAAGCGACAATGAGACGACTTCGCAAACATCGTCAGAGAAAAAGAGCAGTGTAAAAACGAGTGAGGAGTTTGAAATCATCGAAATCGATGAGAATTCGAATGAATCCGCCAAATTCCGAAAACTGGAAGATGTGGATGCCAACAAACTGCCCCGACCATTCTCACAATACGAGAAATTTACGGTTATAAAGCATAAACGTATGTTTCAAAACTTGTTTTCCTCAATTTTAGAGAGTAATTTCGACGGTGGAAGTATTTTTTGTGTCCCACCGCGAAAACTTTATTTTTCAGCCAATTTTTCGCTTTTATTTCGAAACTGCATTTCCCTTCCGACTTATTTGGATCAGATAGTTGTGAAACCAAGGCAATCCCTAAGGCCAATGGATGTGATTGTCACCCATCCAACAGATCCAATGCCTACAAAACGGCGTCGAAACACACGGATCCCGAAAAGAATGTCAAAAAGTGTTCATAGTAGGTTTTTTTTGCCTTTTCAGGTCACAATTTTTACTGAATCTTCGATTTTTTTAATATGCAAATTTTCGAATATGCAAGTTTTCGAATATGCAAATTTTTCGAATTTCCAGGTCACGGCGACTACGAGAAATTGCGTCGAAACATTTTGGGCCGAAAATATTTACTGACGAAAACAGCGGATGGCAACGAATGGGTCCGCGTTGGCGGCGGATTCGAATCCTCAGACGCGTTTGAGCGCCGAAAATCTCGATTAACCATGGGACGGAAGAAATACGGAACGTCCCCGGATATATTTCAATATAAAATAATTACGATTAAAAAGAAGTAAATCGAATTTGTGAATTGCTTACATTTTGAGCGCAAACTTTGTAGAACTTATTGTAATATCAACTTTTTTTGAGATTAGAAATCTTGTTTACTTCTCTAAAACTGATTGTTTTGCAGTCATTTCCTGAAATTTCCTCCAACGGTAAAACGATTACTCCAATTTGCGAAGATTTCCCTGGGGACTCAGTAGGAGTGGGATTGTCATGTACCCAAACTTTTTTTATTCTCGGTAGACAGAAGGGGTTTCGTTGAAAAAATCAGCGGTGAGTAAATGGAAGAATCAAATGATACGTCCACAGCTCAAAATGTTGATGCTATCAGTCTGTCGGGAAAATAGTGAGCAATCTGTGGCATCAAAGCATTTCCTGGGGCAGGCGAAATTCTTTGGCTGGAGCGCTCGTCACATTCGCTAATTTTACAACGCGAGTACAGACTGTATCTCCCTCGTTTCTACCAATGAGCATTATACGGGTCGGAGATGGCGAAACAAAGAAACAAATTATCCGTTTTTGGCAAGAATCTTCGTTTTATTGTCGCAAAATAAAATGTGTTTAGCCTGAATTGGTGCTATCGCCAAACACGGCTTCAAACCGAGCCGGCCCGGATGAGGAGCCGAAGAATTTTGCCTGCCCGAGGAATGCTTTGCTGCGAATTTATCAATCTGTCGGGAAAATAATGAGCACAAATGTCGCTACGCCGATTGCGTCGCTGAATTGAAAAACTGTTGTTTGATCTCGGCGGCGATGCGACAGAGTGATCTTTATTTTCCGGACAGACTGCTGGTATCAGCATTTTGTGAAGTGGACGTATCATTTGATTCTTCCATTAACTAACCGCTGATTTTTTCCCGATCTGGCTAGTGCGTGAAAAAATTTGCATGCTCTACGCGAAGCCATGCTTTGTTGCACGAAAATTTCCACATCTTTTTTTCCGCTTTTCAGCTCAAAGCCCGGGTCAGAGATCCCCAATGACTTCACGTTCAACTCATTGCGCATGTGTTTTCGTGTCTATCCAAATCTAATACCCCCTACTATATATACGCTGAAGAGAGGGCGTTAAAAAGGCGGCCCGCAAAAAATGCCTAGAGGCCTTTCCTTTTCGGTTGATTCAATTTTCGATTAAATCCGAAACCCAGTTAGCAAGAAAGAGCACGCGCTTGAAGAGAGACACCAGAGACATTGCGCTTACGCTACAACGATACAAAGTTAAGGATGAGAAAAGCGAAAAGACAAGTGCCTGCGGGCAAGAGACGTTTCCGGCCCTCCAGCGACGGCGGCGAATTTGTTTTCTACGCCGTTTTTTTTTTGAATTTTTTTGAACCTCGAATTTTTTTGGAAAGTTACGCAAGAGGGTTTCATAATCTTGTTTCTGAAGTGCGCGCGGTGGATTTTTTATGGACGAACATTTAAATTTAACTTGCTGTATAGGGGTAAATTGTAAGAGGGGAAATAATTTAGGCGTTAGAAAAGGGGTTCGTCGCGTAAAGATGCAAGTTTTACACTTTATAGCTCTGCAGATCGTGGTGAAATAAATTTTTTAGCCAATCCTGCCTGCAGTCGCCTTTTCCGCCCTTACATAATGTCCTGACAGTGATCAATGAGTAACACCGCCAACATTAGTCCCACTTTTTACTGTCCTCTCGAATGCAACGTCCGGCCAAGCCATCACCTATCGGGTATTCTAGCGTCTTTTACTATGCTCAATTCGTCTTCATCAACTCAGTAATTTGGCTGGCTGTCAGTGTGATGGAGTTGGCTCAACCATTGCCCTATGATCTGTCGGAATTAATGAATTCGACGCTGTTTAATCGGCAAGAAGACCAGGAGATTTGTCGTCGTTTCCAGACGGGTGGAATGGAGCGGCTCAGCGAGTTCGCCAGCCCCTTTTTCCCCTCGAAGTATCCGCCGAATACCGAGTGTATTCGGACGATTCATGCGCCGCCCGGATATGATATCGTGTTCCGGTTCAGTGATGTGTTTCAAGTAGGTTCATACTGTATATTACGAACATTATTTTCTATTATTCTCCGGCATTTAACGTGAATTTTTACGGCATCTTTTTAGATTGAAGCCTCTTACGAAGATTCGCTCAACCATCCAAATGCAATCGCGCAACATTGTCCAAACGATTTTTTGGTAAGAACAATTTAATTCGTGTCTTTTTTGGAGTTCGACGCTCAGATTTTCTTTGAATTTTCCACGCGCGTCGAGCATAGGCCTCAACAATACCTGAAAGTCTTAGCTTGCGCTTTGCAGGCGCAACCGAGATATTCAACAACTTTTGCGGCCGAGAGAGTACGCAAAGGCGATAAAAAAACTTCTTGCCGTATATTGGAAAAAATTGATTTTTTGTGGAAACATTATCATCTACGGTAGAAATAGGTATGAAATTTTTCATGCCGAAATTCGCAAAAAAGCATTTTTCATTCCGAAATTCGCAAAAAAGCATTCGCAACACTATCAATTTTTTATCAACTTTCGGTCTAAAAATCTCGGTTGTTTCCGCATAGCGCGAGCAAGAAATCTCCGTGCGTCTTAGTAATCGAATACAGCATTTCTCTTCCAACAAAGCATAACTGTATTTTAAAACTCAGTACCATTCCGTTTTTCGAAAGATGACGATGATTGCAGGAGATCCGCGACGGCCGTTACAGTTTTTCGCCGCTCGTCGGCCGATTCTGCGGGATGCGGCCGCCTCCGGAGATCCGCGCCCAGTCCGGCTACGCGTGGCTCAACTTCCATAGTGACGGCCTGATCGAGGAGCGCGGCTTTAGCGCTGAATACGAGTTTGTTCGCAAATGGAACCAAACAAATGCAGTGCAAACGAATGGTGAGTAAAGGGCGCCTTCCGGAACGTTCGATATTTAGATTGCCATCAATCGCATGTAATGCATTTGGACGGATATGTCAATGTTTCGGCGGTGCAGCTATCTTACTTGGTAGGTCCCGAAAACAATCAGCAGTCCGTTCGCGAGTCGCTGAAGTGATTTTTGCGACATGCACTGCGCGAAAACAAAAGTTTACCTCGCACTGTGCAATAGACTTTTGGGCTGTCGCTCGCACGTTGGCCTTTTTTTGTACAATGCAAACGCCAACAAATTATCCCTGTGACTTTTCAAACGGACTAATACAGTGACGGACCTGATCCAATGGCAAAAAACGTACCATTTTGCATCCGGGAAGTATCAAAAAATGTGGCAAAATACCTCACTCTTCAACTAAAAAACTCCGTTTTGAAGGGCGCGCCCTTTTCCTCACAAAAAGAGGTTTTGAAATCGAAGTTTTTTTCACTTGATGAAGGAGGTATTTGCCACATTTTTTGACACTTCCCGGATGCAAAATGGTACTTTTTTGCCACTGGATGATATCCGCCACTGTAGCATAAAAACCCTCGTTCCTTTAGAACTCCCATCCGCCAGACCAACCGTTGGAATGTGTATATAAAATACGGGTACCCAACACTCTGCATGTGGCTATTTTTATCGAGCAATTCGAGCTGGCCGCTCCAAATCAATGTGAGCAAAACTACGTGGAGATTTACAGTGGGCAAGCGGCAAGAAAGCCGTTGAAACGATTCTGCGGCATCATTGCAACGCACACTTATACGGGGCAGAGTGTTGTGTTTTTGCGGATTTTCGTGGCTAGCAAAGCACATGCGGACAACAGCAAATTGAAGGTATTCTTCTCGGCGTATTCGGCGTGTAAGTACGGGATTTTTGGGTAATTTTTTTTCATCTTTTCGAAAAAAAAAATTTGAGCAAAGGGACGAATGAAAATGGATCAATTCCTTCAAAACTTCGGCATTTTCTTGACATGCACAGTTGAGATATTCAGCGAGCTTTTTCGGATGAAAAATCATGGAAATAAGGAGAGACGGCTAGAGAAAAAACGTTTTTTAGCCGGATCTTTGCGAATTTTTCACGGAAAGCTTTTGTTTTTATAGAAAATGTTGTACTCTAGACTTCAAAAAGACTGTCAATTTTTCAAATACAGTGACGGACCTGATCCAGTGACATGAAACGTACCATTTTGCATCCGGCAAGTATCAAAAATGTGGCAAAATGCTTCCCTCTCCAAGTGAAAAAAAAACTCCGATTTCAAAAGCGCGCCCGCTCTTTTTGTGAGGGAAAGTGCGCGCCCTTCAAAACGAAGTTTTTTCACTTGTAGAGGGAAGCATTTTGCCACATTTTTCATGCTTCCCGGATGCAAAATGGTACGCTTTTTGCCACTGGATCGGGTCCGTCACTGTAAGAAGTCTGAAAATTGAGAGTTGGTTGAAGTGTAGAGTACAACGTTTTCTACAGAAACAAAAACCTCTCCGTGTAAAATTCACAAAGATATGGCAAAAAGACGTTTTTTCTCTAGCCGTCTCCCCTTATTTCCATGATTTCTGATCCGAAAAACCTCGCTGAATATCTCAACTATGCCTGTCGAGAAAATGCTGAAATTTTGCGGGAATTAATCTTTCGAAAATTTTTTTTTCTCATTTTCAACCTTTCCAGACAAAAATTGCTCTGAGCACTCTCTTTTCTCCTGTGGAGATGATGTTTGTATTCCTCACGCATTGGTTTGCAACAACCGTGCCAATTGTTTGTATCGGAACGACGAAACGTCCTGTAATCGCGGGCCAAATCCTATTTTGGATATTTTTTCGAACACGTACAGTCCACTAATGTTTACGCCCATACTAATCGCGGCGGTGGTTACAATTTTGGGACTATGGTATAAGCCGTGTCGACAACTTCCGCTGACAACGGAGGACGATTTACAGTTGGTTTGTAGCGAACCACGGCACGAAAACTTCAATATGGTGACATTTGCGGACTTGGGAAGTGTTAGACGGACGGGAACACCTAGTAGAATGACAAGTCTGGTGGAGTAAGTCGAGTTACTGCATCAAAAACGCAGAACGCTTTTTTAGCGAAAAATAAGTAAAGCCCCCACAAAATCTGTCTTTATAGACAAGTTTCACATTGCAAAAATATGAAATGAACGGTGCAAAATGGGGCTTTTTGCACGGTACGGCCCCGCAACAGAAAAAACCTCTACAAGAGCTGTCGTTATAGAGATTTTTGGTAATATTTTGTACAAGATGGGTGACTTGAAAATCCCTTCATTTTTCAGTTATTCCTCCGCCAATAATGGATCTGTTTTTACAAAATTGACATCAAATTGAAGCTGAGACGTTTTCTCGTTGACAAATTCAGTCTCAACTTCAAATTTGATGTCAATTTCGTAAAAACGGATCCATTATTGGCGGAGGAATAAGTGAAAAACAAAGGGAGTTTCAAGTCACCCATCCTGTACAAAATATTAGGTTGTCCAACAAATAATGACCCTCTTCGAAAAATTTACTTTTTTGGCAAAATTTACCGTAATAACTGCGATCTATTTAATCAAAATAATTATCATGTGCTTTATCACGCTTGTTACAACGTGCCAAAAAGTTTTTTATGTCTGTAGCTTAGGAACCCCGGCTTCTGGAGCCGACGAAACTTTTGAAGGCCTTTTCAAGGGTGTCTTGATTGTCGAATTCCCTACCACTGATGAAACGTGCTAGATTCTTGAACTTATGGTAATGTGTATAGGCCAGCTTTGACAAATAGGCTGGACGAGGGACAGTCTCGTATCTCTATTAAATCGGCTTATGGAGGGTCATCTTTCAAAGGGGAGGTTCCAGGTAGCCGCAAAGAATTTTTGGACTTCTGCGGCGCATCGTTGAAGACAGACGCTGCCACAAACTGTCTGTCTGGATACAGTAGGGGATGGTATCTACATTTTGGCCAGCTTTCAAGAAGCTGTATTGTACTATTCCCATGCTGCACTATCAAGAACTAGTCATCAACTTGTTTTGGGGGGAGTCGGGCTTTGACAAGGGCCGCAGTGTTACCCTCGGAGGACTCCGTTCAGTATATCTGGTCTATTTGCCCCAGTAGGTCCTCTTTTCATCAGAGGCAACGATTCGATCCAGGAAACTGCACGCAAACGCGAGAAATGTAATGCTTCCACTCTTTGCTTTGATCCAATAACATGGGAAAAAGTTGCCGAGCATTTTTTGAATTTCATCGACATCGAATGGTTAGCCGCCGATTATTTCAACAGCCAGACGATGTCAGAGACGCGTTGGATGTTGATTCTAGGATGTTCGTCAACCGACGACCTCAGGAAAAATTGATAAAGTTTGGATTCCGTATTTATCTTTGGGTCCCTTGCCGTCAAATCGTAATTTTTAAATCCATCGTTTCACCGTGTTCAGGCTCAGAACACACTAGTCGAACATAGCGTTGATACTTTGCATAGCTTCTGAAACTTTCGCATTCTGTTTTTGCCCGTAAAAGATGACAGCGCGAACCGACTTTTTTTTGATAATTTTCGATTAGGGCTAAATTACTGTAATTTGGTCCCAATATGACAAACGATACATCAAACGAAAGCCTGAAATCTCAGCTACAAGATGTTATAATACTTTGAAATTCCATCATCGCTTGCCTTTTTTAGAGGCTTTAAACTTTGCCCCTCTCACAGAGGGTCATTATTTGTTGGACAACCTAATATAATATCAAAACTCTCTATAACGACAGCTTTTGTAGGGGGTTTTTCTGTCACGAGGCCGTACCGTACAAAAAAACACATTTTGCACCGTTCACTTGACGTTTTTCCACTGTGAAACTTATCTATAACGACAGCTTTTGTAAGGGTTTTTTCTGTCACAGGGTCGTACCGTTCAAAACCCCCATTTTGCACAGTGAATTTGACATTTTCCGCTGTGCAACGGGAATATCGTTGCGGCGCAAAGTTTTTTCAACTACCCGTAAATTTGAGAGTGCAGCGGTCATGTACACAGTCCGAAATGGTTCAAAATGGCCCTCCCACCGTGCAAAAAGAGACAAAATGCTCCATGCGCACGACAAAAAGTCTACACACTTTTTAAAAAGTGTAGTCTTATTTCTCATTTCCAGAGCCTCCACGCAAACACCTCGTGTTCAAAAACACACCACCTTCGCCGAAAACGGGCACGTTCAACGAGAGCGCGCTGTAAATACCTCATCGCCGACGGAGATTTGGCATACCGAAGAGAGTTACTCCACGCGAACGCCATCAGTTCAGATGGAGAGTTTGAGTATTGATACCTCGTTGATGACTGTAAACGTCTAATAAATTTTATACTTTTGTTCTGCTTTGAGATTTGTCTGGGCCGCCAATTCATGGCGCCTACAATTTCATTTACTGCGCCATCAAACTATACGTCAATAACCTTGCGAATTTTAACATTCGTCGTTAAAAAATCAACAATAACAATGGACTTTTCGAAAAAATTACTTTCTAAATTTTGATATTATTAGTAACTCATATGTTAGGCTGCTGATCCTCGGAGCTTGTTCCATACGATCAACAGCGGTGAGATGCAAATTACACCAAGATATACGTTTCGTATTTTTGGGAAGAACGCGGCCGACCAGACGGCCGCGTTCAAAATTACGAAAGAAGTCGCGGTTTTGGTTAGTGGAGTCAATTTCGATGGGGTCTCAACTGGCTCTGGGAACGCCCCCGTTGCGTAGAACTCATCCAACAGTCTGAAATATGGCTTTATTTTCAATTTTCATCAATTTCTGATCTTTTTCCGCAAAAAACTTTTCATTTTCTCTCAAAAAATCGCTTAAAACTCTCTAAAAAATCATCTAAACACCACATTCAAGTAGTGAACATAATAATTTACACAAAAATATTTCAATTCCTGATTAAAAAATTGAAAAACCGCACGAAAAAGTTTTCTTCCGTTGCCGGGAATCGAACCCGGGCCTTGTGGGTGAGAGCCACAAATCCTAACCACTAGACCACAACGGAACACGACTCCTTCTCTTTTCTTTTCTCCCAATTTTTTTCGGCTCTCTTGATAAAAAGACGGGCGTTCGCTTTTTCGCTGTTTTTACTAAAAATCTCGGCTTTTCACTGGAAAATATTCGTATTTTACGTTCTCGAGATTATGACAAATTCTTGTCAAGGTATTTTCTCTCATTTTATCACCAAAAATTCCAACTTTTCCTCAAACTTTTAACTTTTTTCAAAAATCACCTTACTCTAGGTGTTTCTCCCCTAAAAAACTGACATAACTCCCTCCAAATGTCTGACTATTACACTAAAAACATTCCTCAAGACCTCTTCTCTCCTCATTACACTATTTTCCTCTAAAACCCATTCAAACAGCAGATATAACAACTTTTTTCTCAAAATCACCTTATTTTAGGTATGTCCGGTCAAAAATTACTCATAACTTTCTCTAAACCCCTCAGAAATCTCTGATATAGCCCTCATCTCATTGCTTATGACCTCCTCTTTCTCTGCATACCTATCTTTCTCTAAAAATCGTTGATGCAACCAGAGTTTGAGCTCATTTCCTTCCGTTGGGACCTCTTCAATTCCGATCCTTTTCACATGCATGTGTACTTCATTATGTCTCTCGCTTCTCCCAGTCACAAACTCATACATATTTGGAGCGTCATCCTGTCTATTCTCGTCCAATGTAACTCCATAGGCGATCGTGATATCATAAATATAATTTAAAGTTGGCCGCAGCTCCTCCACCGCCAGTTTGAAGCCGCCAATCTTCGGTACGAGGCAATGCCTCAACTTTGGGAGCTCACGCTTTCGGCAATACGAGTTGGCGGCCTGGATTTCCTTGGTGCGGTGTCGGTTGAATCTGGTGCCCTCCGGGAAAATGTGGAGCCAGTAGGGTTCGGGGAGGTTTTTGAGGTATCGGAGTTGGTTTTGCGGGGCGGTGGGGGCAAAATCTCCGAAACGGCGGACGTAAACAAAGCCTCGCTGAAAATTTTGAACTTATGCTACCATAAATTGTCATGGGTAATATAATTTTTCGTTTTTTCTGGGTAAAATACGGATCCTCAATCGCTCTCATGACCTAATTCGTCACTTAATCAACAATTTACTACGCTTGGAAAGCATTTTTATCCAATTTTCGACAGAAAGTGTCATGTGTAATATAAATTTTATTCTATTTCTTAAAATCCAAAGGAATACAAGAACTCCTGACACTCTATCTACACTAACTAGTCTATTGCCAACCTTTTAATGTCAATTACACTCCAATTTTTGACAAAAAAAGTCATGTGTAATATAAAATTTTCCTTTTTTCTCAAAATCCAGCGCAATCCACAAACTCAAACACCTCTAAACACTAATCAAGTCATAATCAATCTATTCACAACAATTTTTCCCCAATTTTAAATCAAAACTGCCATGTGTAACATAATTTTTCATTTTTTCTCAAAATCCAGCGCAATCCACAAACTCAAACACCTCTAAACACTCTAATTAACCCATAATCAATCTATTAACAAAAAAATTTCCCAATTTCCCATCAAAATTATCATGTGTAATATAAAATTTTCGTTTTTTTTCAAAATTCAGCGCAACAGAGAAACTCCAATACCTCTAAACACTCTAATTAACCCATTATCAATCTATTCACAACAATTTTTACCCAATTTTCCATCAAAACTGTCATGTGTAATATAACCCACCTGAAGAGTGTACCATCCATAAAGCGGTACGTATTGGATCACATGTTTGGTCATGAAGCGGAAAGAGTACTGTTGAGCATGTCTCGTGGCCAGCATGTTGATCATGACCCAGTCTGTGCCAGTTTGATGATTCGCAATCAAAATGGCCGAGTCTGCGGGGCCTTTAAAGGCCTCTGGGGTTCCATAGAGATGCAACTGGAGCGAAATTCATTTCTCTACTGATCAAACATACCTTTGTGGCATTACAGGTCTCAAAAACGAAGAGACAGGAGCTCATAAAAAGTTCGTACATTCGATTGTCCAGCCATAGGTACCACTTTTGCGGGATAAACATCGAAAGTCCCGCGCAAAACAGAGCGCCAGTTGCGTATGGGACCATCGTAGAGGCTAGCATGGAGGCTGGGAGCCATGCTCGCAGGTCTGTGGCCACCGTCAGCACCGATAAAACGGGCATTTAAGGAACGGAGACCTAAAGTAATATAAATTTAGGTAACAAATCAGAAAAAAAGGAATAAATGGAGGTAAAAAGCATTCTCAATGGTAAAACAAGGCTCTGTGATAATTTAGAAGTCCAAAAACCAGCAAGATTAGTGAAAAAATCGGGTCAAAATCACCTAAACCACCCCAGGACATAAACCAATATAAATTTAGTCAAAAACTCAAATAAAAACTAACAATAAAGTTGTAAAATACCTCCTAGACAATAACCATAAGCTCTATGGCTATTTCCGAGAGAAAAAAATCGCAGATTCACTAAAAAATTTGACCTAAAGCACCTAAATCACCTAAAGTAATATAATTTTATGTCAAAAATCCAAAAAAACAGGGAAAATGCAATGTCCGATATTTGTTACCACGGTAAAACTATCGTTTGCCCTCTCAAATTCTAATATTTGCCAGTTTTTCGCATTGGAAACATCTGCCCAATAAAAAAGCGCTCAAAATTCCGCAAAAATCGGGGCTCACTTGTCTTTTTCCTAAATTTTTGGGGCTTTGGAAGAAAAAGAAACTAGATAACGCCATTAACCGATGAATAAATTAATTTGGCAGCGATTTTCGGGATCAATTCGGGTGAAATTTTATTCAACATCGAAAACCTGACAATTTTTCCCCTAAATTTCAATTTTTTATATCTAAAACAACGTCAGATCCTCTTAAAATTTATTTCATAGTAATCAATACACTCTAATCTTCCTATCAGCCACTACATCCATTAAATATCCCTTCAAAATTATATTGCTTCATCAAAAAACCGTAAGAATCACCTAAAACAACATAAAAACCTTTAAAAATCGCTGGAAATTAATTGAAACCCTTCTAAAAACCACTAAAATACATTCCACACCTCTCAATACATATTTTTATGTCGATTAATCATATTACAACACCTGGGATATTACAATTGACATCAAAAATAAAAAATTATAAAAAACAATATTGGAATTCTGATTCGATACACTTCTCCGTAAGACCACAGAGGGAATAAAGAGAGATAATTTCCGATTCTACACTTTTTACACCTTGAAACATCCAAAAAACAAAAAAAAATCCAATTTTACAATAAATATGGGTAAACTGGATAAATTTAATCGCGGCGGCGTCTGTTTTGGTTGTCCGAGCGTTCCTTGAGGATGATCAGGAGGTAGCGGAACACGTTGACAAAGTCGATGAACAGTTCCATGGTGTGGAGGACGTAGTCGGTGTCTCCGTGGCGGCGCTTTTCGGCGATCATTTGGGTGTCATAGACAATGAAGGCGCAGTTGATCGCCAAACCTCCCCAGATCAAGACCGGGTGGACGGAGGGGGTGAAACGGGCAAAGATGCTGGTGATCAGGAGGGCGAGGAGGGCCGACGAGAGGATTCCTGTAAAATAAAAGTCAAAATTATATAAATTTAGTCAAAAAACGCAAAGTTTTGTGAAAGACCTAAAATTTCAATCACAATATCACATAAAAAACACCCCAATATGTTCTGAATAGCTTCCCCAACTCTTACTTCATCAATATCTTTCCCTTTACAAACAAAATTTGGAACTTTTTTCCTTATACCCCAAGCACAATATGACTTGTAATTTTTCATATTATATCCTTTCCGCACTTCCCAAAAAAAAACGTCTAGATCTAAAACAGGACTTCAACGTCGTCCACAAAGCTTTTCTCATGAAAACCTTTCCTTTCAACACCAAAAATTCAAAAAACTTCCACCCAATTCCTAATGGGTAATATCAGCTTCAATTTCTTCTGTACCTAAACTCAAAACACCAAAAAATACGTAAAATACTCACCTCCAAGATGCAGGAACTTAGTAGACTCGGCATGCAGAGCAGCCAATGAGAAACACCCAAACACAACCAAGGTGATGATGTAGGCATTGAACACGACGGATGGATCCGATGCTCCGACATACATGACCAATGGTCCAGTAGTGACACCGACAAGGAAGGAGAGGGCCAGGAGGTATCCCAGTCTTCTCTTTTCCGTCTCTCTGGTCGCTGGACTCGCTATTAAAGCGAAGGTCAGACCGAAGATACCAATGGAACACAGGAAGTGGAGACTGTACAGATTCAAGAAGTGATTGGCTACAACACCGAGGACGGCAGTGAAGAGGGCCACGGTGAGAGTGGCGTAGACATTGCGAAGATGCTCACGGACATCCTTCTCCCTGAAAAAAACATTGTACATGATGAGTGGGTAAAAATGTGAAAGAAAATTGTCTAAATCAACTAAAAATCTCTTAAAATTGCTAACACAGCAGATAAAGGGAATAATCTTTCATTCTACATCAAAAACAAATCAATTTGACTCCATCTCCCTTCAAAAAAATCGAAATTCCCATCGCTATGTGCCTAGTATAATATAACTTCCCGATAATCCAAACCCTCTCTACATCTTTACCCATTCCCTTGAACATCTATTTCAACACTAATCAACGTCATTCAACCTAAAATTTCACAATAAAACTCGAAAAAACTTACAATTTGTGTTCCAAGGAGGTGAAGACACGGCCAATGTTGCCGAGAATGTCGGATTCTCTGGGGTTCGAGGCCCGATTGTAGAACGAAGTCATTTTCTGTTGATTCTTGTTTTATTTCCTTACAACTGAAAAACTCAACCGATTTTATCTCGTTTTATAACGTTTTCGCGAAAGTTCTGGAGAGAAATCGGAGAGATCACGTATAAACAAGGGGAAAGGCGAATTTGTGTTCTCTGACTACTGATAGTTCTCAGTAGACTTTTTTGAATGATATCGTTTTTATTGGGAGCGTTTGGACTTTAGGGATTGAGAACTCGAACTTCCAACAAAGACTTTTTTTTGCTAAACAAAAGAAAATGCACCTTATGCTAGCCTGCAAGTCCATCAAAACAAATAAATCGGCAAGAGAAACGTGGTACAAACAAACATTCCCCCATTTTTCTCTTCTCCAACTTTCGAGTTGAAAAGTCAAAAACCGAAGATAAGAGAAGCCGAAAAAATGCTAAAAAGACCACGTGCAAGCAGCAAATTCGGTTTCATGGAAACTCTCGTAACGCTTTTCGATTCGTCGCCGAATTTCGATGCAAATTCTAGGTTGGCCCACAGCTGAATATTGAGTAGAAGATTAGCCCATATTGATTACATTGTTGACCAAAAAAAGTGAAGTGGCGCGTTATTGGGGAGTTTTCGGCTTCATGGAAACTCGACAGAGTGAAATTGAACAGAGTTAAACTCGACAGATGGAAATTAGACAGAGTCTGGAAATTGGGCAGAGGGAAACTGGACAGAGGGGAACCCGACACATTTTTTCACTGCAATCGTACGAAATGTAACCATCGAACTTTTTCTTATAAAATAATTCGTACGATTGCAGTGAAAAAAAATGTGTCGAGTTTCCCTCTGGCCAGTTTCCCCCTGCCCAATTTCCACACTCTGCCCAATTTCCTTTTGTCGAGTTTCACTCTGTCGAGTTTTCATGAAGCCGCAAACTCCACAATAATGCGCCAAATCACTTTTTTGGTCAACAATGTGATCAATATAGGCTAATCTTCTACTCAATATTCAGGTGTGGGCCAAACTAGAATTTGCATCGAAATTCGGTGATAAATCGAAAACGCGTTACGAAAGTAAAGTTTGAAAATCGTTGAATGGTCAGAAAGCACACATTATTCATCTGGCCAGGTGCTTCGGAGCAGGCTGGTCACTGGGAATTGAGTTTATGCCCGTTACCAAGAAACAAGTGGAATTTTGTCCGCCTTGAACAGAATCTGAACACAAAATAGAAGGAAACTATCAGATAACTTATGATTAGTTTAGCAATACAATAATCGAAACATCAGATATGAAAAAAGGGGTTCTAATCGTAAAATCTGACTTTGATGTCATGGATAACATAACTTTTTACCGTTAAAAGAGTCAAATCCCGCTGAGCTCTCAACCTCTAATCATAAGACAAATACGAATAATCTAAAAGTACATCTCAACCAAAGAATTCAGCTTGGAACACATTTTTAATATTACACTAGACGTCTGGAAAATTCAATAAATTTCCAACGCCAAACCACTAAATAATGCATGAAACGTACGAGACAAGGAGGCAAATACCTCGTGCTCTCTTTGAGAACTCATTTCCCTCCAAACCACATCAAAATCAGCCCATTCTCAAGCGATTTCTTTCACAATCGCCTAGTATAATATAATTGATCTCAAATTTTTCGTTTATCCCCTAATTGTGACCACCACCTCCTCAAACTCGGATAAATAAGACCCATGTGGCCGAAGGGAACGTTCTTGGAGGCCCAAAAAACAAATCTATAAGACGACTTGCCAGTGCACTGTGCGGCCCCGCAAAAAGAGTTTCGTCTTTTTACACGTCAGTTTAGAGGGAGAGAGAGAGAAGCGAGAAAGGAGGAGGGTAATGCGCTCTCCTTCTGTTTCGCAATAAACAACAAGAACCGTCAGCATTTTTTCGTGCAGCGTTCTGGTGACCTTGTTACAGAGATTGGGGTCTCAAGGGAATTAAAGTTTAGAATAACAAGAATTCTTGCCATATTTAGGGAAATAAATAATATTGAATAGCAGAAAAGGCCTTAATCTTCAAATTGCTATGCATTTCGACCCATTTTTGAACAAAAATTATATTATCCATGATGACCACCAAAAACAATATGAAATTTTTGCAAATTTACTGTAGAATGCCCCGTTCAAAATTATTACAGCCCCCAGTGGTCTTGTTTAAACAAAAAGACTAGAAAAATATTTATCACTTCATCTTTTTCCAGTGATTTTTCATTAACTTATCTATGGCAAGTGCAATATAAAAAAAAACTATCTGAAAATTCAAAACCTCCGCATTTTCCACACTAACCAACTATCTTAACAACAAAATAAAGGCTCAATATAGGAAAACTGCGGTAAAACTGAGAGATCCTCTTAATTTTTTAGCTGATGTTATCTATCACCAAGTACAATATAAAAATTTTTTAAAAATACTTGACCTTCGTACAAATTGTAAGTGCAGCTACAAGAACTATCTAATTATACGTACTCTCATGTTTGGAAGAGCACACAAAATAACTTTCACCAATAATTTCACAAAGATATTATACTTCACCACCCGAAGAAAGAAATCACCGTAAAATCATGTCTAATCTAGCTCATTACAGCTCACATTTTTCTCAAAGAGTATCTAACTTCAGGAAATTACATTAAGAATTTTTAGGAATCATAAAAATTCTTGATGCTTGCTCTCTAAACCAACGAAAGATAACAAAGAAGGATGAAAATACAATTTGATAATTTCTCGAGGTAAACACATTCCATTCGAGTGGCATGCCCTCTCAAAACCCATTAGAAAGTCAAGAAATACAATATGCGACCAGCAACAAGTGTTGTGGACAACAAAAATTAACTTCACATGTTCCACATGTCTTGTTCAATATAATCAGGCAAATTGAACAAAACACGGCCGAAAATAGATGTAAAAGCAATGAAACAACATCTTTCGTCGACAAGACGAGATTTCAGCAACATTTTTTCCGCAAAATGCGTGCAAAATATAAGCAAATCAGAACGCCAAAATTGAAATTTCGTGGTGAGACGCAAATGGGATATTGTAGTAGCCGGAAAATAAAAAATTTGATCTGCCAACTTTGTAAATGTAAATAGACCTAAACGGTCACACTCTGCACAGATCGTTTTATTTCAATGAATCCCAACTTGAATTTTCCTGGATTTCGCCAACCGATTTTGCAACCTTATAGGCCTTTGCAAAAACAAGCCTGGCTACAAAAAGCTCCACAGAACCATGAATACAAACCTGGAGAACCTATACTACGCCCATTGCGTTCGACGTTTGGCGGTAATAGGCATGAAAATCGATGTTATTTTCCTATTGTCCCGGCCAAAAGAATAGGTAAGAAATTTTATATTTTTGTTGGATTTTAGACTTGTAGATAGTTGCGCAAGCTGAAAAAGGCATTTTGCAAGGTGTTGAGTAACCGGTTTATCGTTGAATTGCTTGATTTTACCTCTAATCCGAAAAAATTTGTCGTTTTGCCTAGTGCAATATAAATTTTTCCGCTAACTCAAAGAATCCTTTTTCAGAGCAGAAGAACGAAATTCCTGGCTCCTCAGGATTTATTCATAAGCTTGATCAACCTTTTCCAATTCAGCCGAAGCTTTACCAAGCTGAGAATCAAGCTCCGGAAACAGTGGAGCAGAAGAAGGTCTTTCCTTTCCGAAGGAACGAAGATGGTTCATACGTATTTGATCGTAAACTTGTAGACAAAGGCTCTGTGGTCCTGAATCCGAAGGAAACGGAGGTTTTTGGACTTACTCGTTTTGGGAGACCGTTGCCATTGGTCGAAGCATCAAATCCGGCTGTCAAACACCTTCTTCGGTCAGTCAATCGTAAGATTTTGAATTTTTTGTTTTAATTTTAGGCTGGGAAGGAAGACAATGAGGTAATGAAAGTGACCCAACTCCTTATTTTTATCTGTCTTCGTTGCAATATTGATTTTTAGACTAATCTTACTTTAGTTCACCTAAAATAATATATTTTTGTCAAAACTCAGCGAAAATCATTTCAGCTCAAAAACGAAAGCATGGAGAAGAAAAGTACTCTAGAAAGGTTGTTCTCGGCAACATTTTTGATGTTCCGGATCAGAAAATTCTAGAGATCTTTCATTCTTATGAAGTGGTAGGTAAAGTCGTCCGCCAGAAAGGAAATGAAGGTAAATATCAGTCAGTCATCGATTCTAAACACTTGTAACTTCAGACTATTGCTTCTTGACTTTCAAACATCCTGATATTGTCGAGACGTTGCTCGAAAATTGTGTTCCTGACGAGTTCAACTTCAAGTACAAGGTGGATGATGATCTTACGGTAAGAATAGAAAAGTTTTGATTCAAAATTTAGAGTAAATTATGATCTTCGAGGTTCGTTCTTCCTGCCGAATGAATTTTTATTTTGTTTGCCGCAAATTTTGACTTCTCGGATATTGTACTAGACAAAAAATTGTGAGCAATTGTAATATTGCGTAAGAATTTAAGACGATTATAGCTAAATTGCAATGTTTGGACTTGGTTATGACTGTGGAAGCTCTATATCATGAAAAAAATTATGTTTCCTATATTACACTAGACAAAAATTACCTAAAATTGACGAATTTCGGTCTCAGATTACTCCAAATATAACGCCTTCAATTTTCAGATCACCGTATTTCCCTGGGCAAATGAAGATACCGCCTATACGTATGACGAAAATTGGCCAATTTTCACTCGGCACACGATTTTCATTGGATGTCTCCCAAGAATCTGCACTTCATCCTTCCTCTTCAACTTTCTGAAATTCAAACTGAAGTTCTGGGATCTTCTTCATGTTCGGATTGATTGCGATCCGCAATTATATCCACGAGGAGCAGCTCGAGCCGTCTTTCGAACTGAAGAGTCATATCGAAGGGCCTGCCAGATGCATGTTCAACGGTTCTCATGGTTCAACGATCGATATAGAGTATGTTTTTGAGCTTTGTTTTTGGTTTTTAGGCTGGTTGGTGAAGTGTGTTGACATGGCGCAACTGGTAGTGAGCCGGGTTGGCGAGAGTCGCAGGTTCGATCCCGGCTGTGAGAAATTTTTTGTTTTTTTGTTTTGAAATTAATTTTGAGGAAATTTTTGACTGAATAGAAGCAAATGAAGGCCCAATGACGATTAGAATAGCAGAAAATACATGAATTTGTCATGGATAATATGGTTTTTGGAAGCATCTGCTGTTTTTCTTCAAAAAAGGGATCGAAATATATTAGCAAGGCTTGTAAAATACACCGTAGTTATTTTCCTCTTTTTAAGATCGAATTCAAATCCTTTATCTACAAGGGATTTGCCTGCGAAAATTGCGGAGCCCAAGTTGTTACCAAGTTTTGCCCATCAGACGCATGTCTTCGCTATTATTGTGATGGATGCTGGCCATTGGTTCACAACAAGGAAAGTTTCCATCGACCTGTTTTGGGCCAATACCGCGATGTTCCGTACATAACCAAGAATTTCGAGGAAGTCAAGGCTTTTCATGAACAAAGGAAGATTGAGGAGCTCACAGAAGTCATGAAAGAGGACAGAGAAAAGTCTACTGTGGCCAAGGAGCAAGTTCCAACAAAGGCGAATCTATTTGAGACCGGGAGGATTCAAAAGACTAAATTTTTTTGAGGTTGCCCTAAAATTTTCTTGAATTTTTTGTTGTTTTTAGCGTTTGTATCGATTGTAAATAGTAGTAGTAGTCTAACTTGTCGAGTACGGTAGATATCGTAACGTTTTTAATCGCCTTTTCACATTTTTTTGTATTTTAGCCTGTTTTGATGTTGTTTTTGTTATTTTTTGTTGATTTTATTGTTAATTCTTGTTGATTTGTTATGTATAATAAAGGATAAATAAGTTTATGTTGTCTACAAGTTATAAATTCACTTTATTTTTGGAAAAACAACCATTTCTGAGCAATATATTCGTATACTAGACCAAGTGTAATATAACATGTAATTGCTAGGCGGAAAATGAATTGATGGATGATTCAGTAGATGTAGTCTGAAGAATAGAGGTTATTACTAATTTTAAAATACTAAACAGTTGATTTTTAACTTTAAAAACAAGATTTTTCGAAAGTTTTTATCTGATGACCTAGTACAATATAAAATTGATCAATTTTTCTGCTCAAACTTACTTCCTCGTCCGTAAACTCTCCAGTTTTGACTTTGATGACCTTCTCATCCAATGCAATAGACTTTTCGCAACTGCATTCATGAACCCAACCTTCTCCTTGATTCGTTTTCCACGGCACCAGCCATTTCCATCCGAATTCGCCGAAAATCACTTCGAAATTCTCTTTGATGCTGGTCTTCTTAAAACAGCTCTGATTTGTCGGATTCATTCCCGCATACGGGAAGGTCGACTTAAATGCCACAGCCGTGTTACATGCGGCTATGGTGCAGTTACTGTAGACCGCATAGTAGATGTAAAGGGGGAAAATGACAGTGAAAATTAGGGCTACCTGAAAGTAAAATAATAAAAATAATGTTTTTTTTCTCATATTTGTTTATACGACCGGTAAAAACAGCCAAGTTCAACGGAACTTGGAGGATTGGGGAAACCGAAAAGTATTATTTTTCTTCGATGCAAGTGTGAAATTAGGATAATCGAAGGCGCTGATTTCGAAAATGACATTCATTTTTTTTTTTTTGATCTTTATTTTTTTCCTTAACTAGTACTGTAAAGTAGTAATTTTTTGAATTTTTTTTTCATGAATCCCTCGATTTAGGGGGTTTTACGGAGGTGCTGCTTTCAAATCAGAAAAATAATGAATAAGATTTTCGAAATCAGCACCATCGAAAACCCCTAAATCGAGTATTTACGAAAAAAATCAAAAAATTACTACTTTACAGTACTAGTTAAGGAAAAAAGTAAAGATCAAAATAATAATAATACAGTAACGGACCTGACCCAGTGGCAAAAAACGTACCATTTTGCATCCGGGAAGTATCAAAAATGTGGCAAAATGATTCCCTCTCCAGGGCTCCTTCACAAAAAGAGCGGGCTTTTGAAATCGAAGTTTTTTTTCACTTGGAGAGGGAAGCATTTTGCCACATTTTTGATACTTCCCGGATGCAAAATGGTACGTTTTTTGCCACTGGATCAGGTCCGTCACTGTATTATTATTATTATTTTTTTTTTTGATCTTTACATTTTTCCTTAACTAGTACTGTAAAGTAGTAATTTTTTGATTTTTTTTTATAAATACTCGATTTAGGGGTTTTCGATGGTGCTGACTTCGAAAATATTATTAATTCTTTCTGATTTAAAAGCAGCACCGTCGTAAAACCCCTAAATCGAGGGATTCATGAAAAAAAATTCAAAAAATCGGTACTTTACAGTATTACTTAAGGAAAAAAGTAAAGATCAAAAAAATATGTAATAAATGTCATTTTCGAAATCAGCGCCTTCGATTATCCTAATTTCACACTTGCATCGAAGAAAAATAATAATTTTCGGTTTCCCAATCGTCCAACTCCGAGTTCAACTTACACATCCCATTAAAATATGGGCCAGACCAAAGTAAATCATCAAATAACTGTTATAAATCGGCGAAGTAAGCGAAATCCAAGCACCCAGTAGTAACATTAGGTTGTATTCGTGACCTGGATGGCCTTCGATGGCGATATTTCGGAAGTAAAGCATCAATCCGGCATTGGCTATGGCATAGGTAAAGATGAAGAATAACATGTAAAAGAAGAACAAAATAAACGATTTCTGATTTCCATAATGGATACAACGGTCTGAAATTATATATCCTATCATTTCAAATCCTCTCGACACTAGAAATAGTTATAAACATCGACTTTTTATATTCACCATGATGACTTGATCTTATTTTTGGTAAAAAAAAGGGAAATTTGATAACCAAATAGCTTGAAATTTTCCCAGAATATCGGAAAAGATGTCATAAAGATATAGCAAGCAAAAATTTGCAGTGTGTAGACCTACCAAGTACAACACAATGATGATCAAGTCTTGGGGTGCAGACGTTGCATAGCGAGCAATGATGGGCTCGTTCGGTCTTGATGATCCCACAGGTTCCACAAACTGCGGTTCTAAAACATATTTTCACTAATCTCCCCTTAGGCAGGTTTAAAAACACAATAAAATTAAAATTTTGGAAAAAATGTAGGCAAACTCGATTAACAAGGGAAATACTCCAAGTGCGACGCTCAGATTTTGATGAAACTTGGCGCAAATTTAGAATACTTTTTTCTAAAATATATGCGAGAATTCTAGCTCGCGCTTTGCAGAAACAACCGAGATTTTTAGATCGAAAGTTGGCGAAAATTTAGGACTTTTTGCCGAATTTCGGCACAAAAAGTTTCATGCCTATTTCTACCCTAGAGGGCAATGTTTCCACAAAAAATCAATTTTCTCCGCGCGAAACTGCCAAAGTTATGGCCAAAAAACGTTTTTCTCTCTGACCGCTCTCCACGTTAGGCGTACCCTCTCCGCGGCAAATGTCGTTCAATATCTCGGCGACGCTTGCAAAGCGCGAGCTAAAACTTTCAGGAATTGATACGCAGTTCATGACCGACATGTGTGCAAAATTTAAAGAAAATCTGAGCGTCGCACTTGGGGTACTTCCCTTGTAAATTCAAAAAAAAAGTTTTAAAAAAATCGATTTCAAATGAATGTAAAACAATGTAAAAAAATTGTATAAATATTTTACTCACATATGCCGAAGATTTGCGCCAATTTCGTCGCATTTTTCGACGACATAAAGCGATTTTTCGTCTTTTTCCCAGTAAAAAAAGTCATCCTCAACTTTGAGGTGCTGCGGATGCTCGGGATATGGCTCCAATATGGTGTAAAAAAGCGAGGAAATCACAAGGATTGCAATGACATGTAGAACGGACCCAAAAACCAGCTTGTACCAGAGGTTATAGGTGAAGGTGAAAGGGATAGCGACAAATGGCTAAAATAAGGTCAGAAAATGAAAAACTACAAACAAAAATTGTTGGGAAATACGACTCACAACATAAATTGCCAGTAGAAGAGTGGAGAACAGCACCAGCGGGATGTGAATGCCATATAATTTGGATTTGGACCTTATTTTAGACAACAGATTGGTCAAGCCGCCAAAAACCCGGAGAAATCCGCGACCAACGGCGGATAAACACATTCTACAGGGAAAATAAAGAATGTTCAAAGCTTTGACAACCAAATAAGAGCAAAAATAAAATAATAGCAAGCCAAAATTCTCGGAATTTGAATAAAATTAAAATTTATTTCCATTATTATATTACGCTTGAAAGAACTCGCAAATTTCAACTCATTTCGCCTCATTCCCGGCCAATCAACAAAGAATAGGCTTCGGCCTGGACTTGAATGCCATTTTCTGTCTGATCACACAGGCCACTCGGCAGTTATATTCGCCTTCTCCCGTTGGTTTTACTGATCTGGTATCCACGACAAGGAAGGGCTTCTCCAGCTTCTTCAATGAGCCTTCAAGCATGTAATGGCCAATTAGACAGACGGCCGTCGTTGGGTCCTTCCAGTAAAGGAATAGAACTGTTTTTCCCGCCGGTTTCATTGGGGGTTCAATTGCTCCTTGGACCTCGATCAAAATGTGCTCAGGAGTCGCTCTAAAATCAAAAAAAATGTAGGGGTTTTAACAACTCAAGAGCAAAAGGAAGACCTAATCTAGGTACTCAATCTAAAAAATGGCTGTATAACACCGTATTAAAACTTTTACGGGTACTTTTAGTTCAAGATCTCATGTACAATATAAATTTGTCCATATTTTTCCAAAAACCTGTTAGAGATTGAGTTGATCCTCTAAAACACCTTGATATTGCTCTAAGCTAACTTCTCAGTGATTTTCTCACCTTCAACTCTGATTTTCTTCGAGTAATATCAGTTTTTCAAAATACACTACAGCAATATGGGATGAACAAGGAAAACAGCCCAATAATCGTAGAAATGGTTTGTAAAGCTTGCAATAAACCTAAATATTGTGAGAAGAAGAATTTACGCAGTCTATCGCACCTTCTCCTTTAATTTTACCGTCAATCTAAACCAAGAACAATAATAATTTCGGAAGACATACCCAGGTTCGGCGACAAATTTGACGAGCATTCTGAAGGTAGCTAGAAGGGTTGATTTCGCTAGCTGGGGTATCAAGGAGGACGATGTTCTACACACGGTTCACGGCTTGCCCAAATGGAGAAAAAAACGTCCAAAGAAAAATTAGCGACATTTTATACGATGAAACGTTTCTAATCTTATTTTATATCAGAATGAAAGCAGAACTGTCGATATTGACAGGAATTGTTAGAAAACCCATTTTACATCAACGCACACATATTATTACCACAAAAATATTATTCTTGGTCATTAAATTTAATGAATTTTGGTAAACATGGATACTACATGTATGTCGCATTCACATCGTGGTTCAGAACGGACTTTGTTTGATAATAATAATGCACAAACTCGCATCGTCAATATCGGCCATTCTGACCTACATGCGCGCGAATACTATACTTACCACGCGCCTAGGGGCCAATGTCATGAGTTCGCCTGCGAAATCTCACAAAATCCGTTAAAAAGCTTAAAAATTGCAACGAGTGTATGCATCATTATTAGTACCCTGCGTAATCTTTTATTTCAAAGCAAACCGAGCCTTGTCCCCCGTCAATTGATTTCGGTTTTGATGTATACGTCAACTGCATCAATTATCGGGGGTACCTCAATATTTTTGAGTGATGCGATGTTGAAATTTGTCTTCGATTGACAAGGCTTGTTAAAAAATGCTATAGACACTCAGCAATATCTTACACCAAAGCTTATTTTAATGAAATTGCAAAATTTGTAATTTCCAGATATTGAACTTGCCTAGTGGAAAACGTTGAACATGGTCAAAACGTGGGTTTAGATAGCTGAAATTTGGACTATGTGGGCTTTAGACTTTTTCTGTGGGATTGTAGATAGGTTTTTCTAAATCCAGACATCAGCGCTTTTTTGGCAAGTTGCATTACAACTACATATAGTCATCAATATTCATTATATACAATTTTGAACTAAAACGAGGCGAATAAGCATCCATGAGCATGCTTTGATGTTTTTAGAACTGGGAAATTGGTAATCGACCTTCTTCTCCACCTAGGGGATCGCTAAACGATGAAATTCAAATGTACAAAATTTCACCTTAAATCAATGGGAAACGTTGAAGTTTATCAAAAAATTCTCTCAAAATCCTGAAAATTTGAGTATATGCCCTTTAATAGGTTTGTTGTGGAACTATAAGGAAACATTTGGAAAATTTTATCATTTGCGTGTGTTGTGGCATATTGTACTTGGGGACTTATTTGTCACCTTTTTACAAATTTTGGCAGAACTTTTTTTTTCGTCATTTTTTAAGCTGTAAAAAGTATAGGGCCTAATAGTAGAACGTCAAGGGTGTCAATTAGTACAAAGAAGCTATGAAACCAATAATTTTTCACAGAGCAATAGGCGTTCAAAGGTGTGCAACTCAGCTATTTGCAGTGGGAAACGTTCAAGTATATCAAAAAATGACCCGATTAAGATGAAACTTTTTCTGGAGCATCTTCTATAACGTTTGCATGGAACTGATAGAAAGAATCTCGTTTATCAAATGTGTTCGATCGTACACATGTTGTATAAGATACATCAAAAATGCTGATATTGAGGGCCTCGTATTTCCCGATTCAGAAATGGTACCGATACAAATAATAGCTTAAATAGATGACAGACATTCAAACAAAACAGTTATCAAGATTGTTTTATGTGATAATAAGCGCTTTGTACTTTTTGAGCATCAACTCTAAGGGGCACTTCACCGGAATTTTTCAAGGATTGGGCGCGAGCTGCGAAGGCCGTGTACGTTTTTTTCTCCGATTTTGGTCTATTTGGGCAAGCCGTGGGTTTGCCCAAAACGACAAAAAAACGCCCGAAAAGACTTTTTTAGTTTTTTGCGAAAACCATTTTATACGATCAAAGTTTTTAGCCTAATAATTGGTTTATTTAGTTTGTAAAGGGTTACGTGTACATTTTTGGATTATGAGTAGCTTACGAGACGTAATTAGAAAAGTTGGTAATATTTAATTCTGGAAAAGAGTAAAACGAAACAAATTAACGCTTTGAGGAGCGGCGTAAAAGCAGGCAAAGTCATCGGTCGCACCACCGCCGAATTTTTCAAGAATTTGCCTCCGGATTGAGATATTTATGATAACTACCTGAAATTGATGTGTTTAATATGCATTGTTCTTACAGAAAGTTCTATTCCTCTTCGGTTTCCTCCGTCCAAGCACACCTTTTTGTGATCTCTTGTTCCGATTCGGAATTCTTGAACTGAGTAATGTCCTGAAGCTCTATAAACTATTAAAATCTTAACCTACAACTTGACAAATATCATAAAGTGACGTTAGTCTCAACGATTCCTGAAGTAACCACTCGAATTGCTTTGCAAAGTCACGTGTAGCTACCCGGTTAGTTAGCCGTTTGAAGTATTTATGAGACCCCTCTATTCCTTGTTCACACAGAAATCCGAGGTCTCCTCGGCGCCTTATCTGTTCACGTCCATGTATTACTAAGGTGTGCAATTTGTGGCCTGGAAGGCAATCGGAAAGATTTGTCTTCATATGGAGGCCAAATTCATATAACAACTTATCACAACTTTCGATCTCGTCTTCCGTCAGCCTTCGAGAAACCATAAAATTCTGAAGTTGGCCATACAGATTTAGAGCAAAGACGCCTTCTGGTACCTTGGCGATGTCATAGATCTTGTGTTGCTTTAACAACTCGATTAACTGAAAAATTCGAAATTAGCAATAGAGCAATTTTAATGAATGTTATGTTAGGGTTACGTAGCCCATGGAATTATTAGCAACCAACATATTTACCGTATCAGTCTTAGTCACGATCAGCCTAACGTGATTGCCGGTATAGTCCTTAAACCAAGCTGTTTGATACGCGCCAAGTTTTTCAATACATTTATAGAAAATCTGGGCCATTTTTTTGGGTCGGGAAGCTTCCTTAATGTCCTCGAGTGCTTTCCTTTCTGAAATCAAGGTCGAGACAGTTGTGGATATTATTATAGTTATACATGCATTCTGAGCCATTACTAAAACCTACTTTTTTCAGCAGTTCTACGGCATGATTATATTCTTTTTCGACTGCTTGTAATTGTTTTTGGAGGGAATGCTTTGGGCGGACCGATTGGTGATTTCCTTTCGCTTTGTTTACCATGTATTTTGTAAGACCCAAGCATACACAATGAAACCAATCGTGGCTGTCGTCAAATTGTATATGATCCGGTACAACGTGACATCTTGGTAAAGGCACCTATAAACAGTTTTCGAGGTGTGATTATTTAAGTTCTTTTATGTAAGCATGTGTGCTGACAGGATTGTTGGCACCACATGAAAGAGAATTTACTTTGAATTGCCTGACGATGCAATCAGGAACGGCACACTGTTCTAAAGAGTTGACGGGCACTGCGAAGGATGGGTGAACAATTTCTACGGTAACGGCTTTAGTGTTTAATACATGGTAAATGTAGTTCCATCCCTCAACTTTATACACGGCACTTTCCTCTTCCTCTTCAAGCGTTGTTAGTCTTGTTGCAATTTTAGTGGTCACTTCTTTGTCGTCATCACGGAGAAAGTCAGGAGGCATTGAAAACCGCTCAAATTTATTAATTTGATCTTCCATATACTTAATAATTCGATTTACTATGCCCATTCCCACGTGTAATGTTGGAATTCGAATGTTTTTGACATCGATTTTAATAAGAGGATCGTGCTCCTGATCTACCGCAGGATTTATACCGAACATTCGTGGTGTTGTTGACCCCAAACTGAGGTCCAGTTGGCCACAAGTTGAAACGTAGGAGGCGTTGCAAAAGATGCAATAATGTTCGGCGTTCCCACCCTTGATTCCTAGCATCATCTTTGCGCATTTTAAGTCGGAGGTCATCGTGACTTCAACTTTGTAAGTTTTATGATTCAGAGTCAACAATGAGTCGTTGATTTCCTCCAATTGGGCGAGGATTTGACCAAAAAAATGAAGGAAAAGTTCGCGATCTTCATTTTCTCCGTAGATACCCAGTGTTGAAATGGAACAAAACTTATTGGGGTGTCTTAAAGTATTCATGGCAATTGCCATCTTTGTCGTCCCCTGCCCATGGTCGGCCATTACACAAATTTCAATACTATCTGTGTCGTTTATAGACCAAGAGCCATGTCGAATCTGAGCTTCAAGGCGAGATGAGATTAGATCCTTGACGTTTTTAACACGGCACCCGAATATTTCACGATCTCCAACTTTCATGTTAAGGTTTTCGACGTCGACATCAAAACTATGGCGTGCCTGGTCGACTTGTCGTCGAGAAGCAATGTGTTTCATGTCAAGACATCGATAAAATCTCCTTTCATCTTCTAATTGGTTAAAGCTCATCCGACACCTAAAAATGAAGTTCCAGCCGTCCATTAGATAAAATGAAAGGCAATGATTTATGATTTAAATTATCGAAAATTATTGACTTTAGGGTGGAAAAAATCATGGTATTAGCCAAAATGAACCTCCTTACAACAAGTTTAGGGTGCCTGACTGAATCGCAAAAGTTTCTAATCGTAAGTGCAATAAATGCTTAATTAACACCAAAAATTATCTCAAATTTGAACCCGCGGAAAACTTTTTTATTACATCTCCAACTTGACTAAGGTCTGTTCTCCTGACAGTTGTTTCATTGTTTGCGAGAAAAGCATTTGAGGGTACGTGTCCAATAGAAGCTGCATAAGGTCATCCTGGTTGTAGCTGAGTGTACTGTGCAACTGCTTTAAGTGCTCTTGGGCATGTCTTTTGTTTGCTAATTCCTGATAAGACTTTCGAGGCCGAATAGACGAGTGATCTCGCCGGTCAATTTGTCTATCCTTATTGCGAATTTTTTCCTTTACCTCATGGAGTTCTTGTCTTAAGTCATCACACTTTTCATCGTATTTTTGGTACAATATTCTGTACGTTCGTGCCATCTTTAATGCAGATCCTAACTGCTGCTCCAACGCTCTTATTTGTATGGTGTCATCGTTTCTCTTATTTCGCTTATACTTTTCTGGGTCAGTAATAGAAGCACTTGTTGAAGGCGGTGGTCCAACATTATCTGGCGTCCGCTGCCGACCCGCTTCAAAGCTTCGTCGATTTTGATCTATAATCGAAACCCTAACAACAGATACGCTAGAGTATAGGAATTGGCAAAAAACGATGTATAATAACAAATTTTTAGGCTAAAAAAACAGTCATCGCAATTAAGACCGAAAAAGATCTGTAATAAGAAAAAACTAATTCCTTCCAGCGTGTAGACAAAGAATTCCGCAACAAACGAAAATTATGCAACAAATTCGACGTAAAAATGCAGAACATGATTTGCACAATATAAATATGTTAACCAACCTTTTCGACGTCTATCGTTTAGAGCCGCTACTTTCATTTGGGACCTTGCCATCTTATCCAATCGGATTTTCCCATTGACTCTAGCAACTTCTTGGCGAGTCATGTCACCATCACCATGATGGGTTCTTTTTTGACGTGTCCATTTTCTACAGGTTTAGCATAGAGATCATTTATGACTACTTACCTTCCCATTTTGTAAGAAACTTTGTTTTACATCAAATTCTAGTAAGGAAAACTCCGCAATATTTTGCAAACTTTATTGGGAAACAAAATTTTGTTTTTTGACTACCGTATACCATAATGTTGGCTCAATTCCAATGACGGCACTTGCTATTATTGTTGAAAGATTTTACTTGTATTTTTTATAGAGGCTATGTGTCAAGGAAAGAAAACGAGGTTTCTGGATACTTTCCGACATATTTATATTAATTTAGTTTAGTTGATACGATGATTTCAGTGGGGTCCAGAAAACTGAATTAAATTTTACAGCTAGAATTGTGAAACTTTCCAGTATTTGACTCTAGTGTATCCCTCGTCTAACTGAATTAAAAAAATTTCGCGACCTTATGTTCTACAGTATCTATAGAGTACTGTAAAAGGCATATTTTTTACGATTTTTTCTTCCGTACAGCCCTTATTCCGATAACCCATGTTTGAAATCGTTATGTAGATGTGGAAAGTGCAAGTCAGGTTTGATAAATGCTAGTGACACTGAGACCAGACCGGTTGTAACGATTTTCTCGACGTAATGTTGTTTTACACATCAATTTCCAACTACTTTTTGGGCCCTTCATTGGGGTCCAGAAAATCGAATGAAATTTTAAAGCTAGAATTCTGAAACTTTCCAGTATTTGACTCTAGTGTATCCCTCGACTAACGGCATGAAAAATTTTTCATAATGTTGTGTTCTACAGTATTTATAGAGTACTGTAAAAGGCTTGTTTTTTGCGATTTTTTCTTCCGTATACCGCTCACTCCGAACACCCATGCCAGAAATCAATGGGTAAATGTGGAAAATGCAAGTCAGGTTTGATAAATGCTGGTGACGCTCAGACCAGACCGGCTGTAACGGTTTTCTCGATGTAAACTTGTTTTACACATCAATTTCGAAGTACTTTTTGGACCCTTCATTGGGGTCCAGAAAATGACCCTTCAAAATTAACCAAATTGCATGAAATTTTCAAGATATACTGTTCTGATAGTCCTGTAACTAACAAAAATCAAACATGTTGAATATCACCTTTAAGAAGCCATATATGACCCGCTAAAGGGCGCCTTAAAATTGCACATTTTCGAAAGCTCCTGGCAAGTCAGTGGTTCGACTTGGACGATGGGGAAACGTTCAATACGACAGAAGAAGTGTGCAAGAATTCATTTTTACTCTTATTTTCAATCTTTCTGTTAGTCTTTGCTGTCTTTTACATTCAAACTTTTACCCTATAATTCCGGAATTTTTCACGACTCGGGCGCGAACTGCGAAGGGCTCGGGCGTTTTTTTGTCGTTTTTTGTTCTATGTGGGCAAACCGTGTACAAGAAATTGAAAAAAAAATAAAGAAAAATCTTTTTTTTTCTTTTTCGAACAATTTTTTGGCGGGAAGAGGGAGAGTTGACCCGTTTGGGTCAAGTCTTTCTCTATGATGAGATTTCGGCCAAAAGCAGGGGTGGTCAGCAGACCCTATTTTTCCGATTTTCGGCCCGCGGCCCGGCCCGTCTAATTACCGGCCCGGCCCGTCTAGTCTTTTTCCAGGCCCGGCCCGGCCCGTGACGGGCCTGGCCCGGCCCGACCCGGCCCGTGCAGGCCCGTCTATAGAGGGCTCTGCGAACTGCGCCCAGGCTCGGGATCTAAACCGAGGCAAAAAAGGCGTTGATCTAGCTAGTAAAGGATCAATGTGATAGTTTTGTGGCTCTATAATGGAGCTATAGACTTGTAAACGTTTTAGAACTTGAGACACAGCGACTATAACAACATCAATTAATTTTCCCGGCGCGAAAACAATGAATGCCAACGGTTTGGCATTGTAATTTAGACGGGCCGGGCCGGGCCGGAAAAACCCCAGGCCCGCGGCCCGGCCCGGCCCGGCCCGTGACGGGCCCGGCCCGTTTGTAATTTTCCATTTTTGAGCCCGGCCGGCCCGTTTGGGCCGGGCCGGCCCACTGACCACCCCTGGCCAAAAGTGGTAGAAATCTTGTAGTAAGATGGCTGTTTGATTGATTTTTGATTCGATTCAACAATTTTTCTTGGTTTTGAGCTCCAATTTTTATCAAAAACACTATTTTTTCCAAAAGCCCTTAGGGCATAAAAAATTTTGCTAATTACATAGTCGAAAAAATCATGCTACTGGCTGTAATTCGGTCTCTTTCTTATGGTAAATTTTTAATTAGTCAAGGGGTTATAGCCAAAAAAAAATTTCGGTGGTGTCTAAATTAATATAAAAAAATTTTTTGCCGCCTCAAATTTTTTTCTCAATGATTTTCTCCTCCCTCAGGGGCCTCTTTTTGCAGACGTATTTTCCCATGAAATTGATGGTCGCCATCGCCGTCGTTAAGGGCAGTTAATTATTCGGTGATGCAACGAAAATTGTGTAGCCGCTAATTAGCAAATGGTTGGTCGGGGATTGCTGGAATCCAGCAGTCACAATACGATGGGAAATGGGATGGTATATACGACGAGGGGATTATGGGTTCCTTGTATTTCCGTCGTGTTGCAAGTCGAAGCGGGGGGAATTCGGCTTTTAGATGGGGTAGTATAATATAAAACAATATTTTCTTTGTCTTTGCGGTTATAAAGCAACGGCGATATGCTAGGTGGGTTGAAAAGTCTTGACATGTCTTTGCACCGCGCGGTCGACATTACGGAGTGGGTTTTTCGCGAGAAATAAACGGCACGGTGCAAACGAAAAATGCACTGTGCAGTTTCTGGGCCGAATGAAAAAAACGCACTGTGCAGTTTCTCGTCCGAGTGAAAAACGCACTGTGCATTTTTGTTCGCGCGACATAAGTCGCGACTGCACTTTTTGGAGACTCTGCTTTGCACCGTGCATGATCGGGGCGCACTGTTCATTTTGCCTCATCGCCGTTTGCGGAGATGCGACATGTCGCAGCAAACTCTCCGCACGGTGCAAAGGCATGCTTGGCGACAGACTTCGTTTTGCACTGTGCATCATCGGGATCGCACTGTGCATGGCCTGAACGCACTGTGCAGGCTCGAGGCGCACTGTGCAATGGTTTGAGCGCACTGTGCATTGCCTCGGCACTGTTTGGAGGGATGCGGCAAGGTATCTGCATGGTGCAAAGACATGTCAAAGCCTCTCGCCCCACCTATAATACTATATCTTACTCAAGACACTTTTTCCGGCCAATTTTTTTTTGTTTATCCAAATGAGTGCGAAATTCCGCGGGCGAAACCGGATTTTCCTTCGTTTTCACGGGTTCTTTGCATAGAAGATCGACAAGATAATCTCTGAGTGAGGAACGATTGATGAGTGTCCGGTTTATTTTACTTTTACCCGTAATTTTATGAGTGAATTTTCTCCATAAGACACAAAAAAAATCGAGAAATTGAAAAAATAGTTTAAAAAAATTGTGTTACAGTAACCTCCTTCGATTCTCTTGAAATTTTGAACACACACTCTGTGTAGGCCAAATATTAGTCCCTGAAAATTTTAGCCCGTGAATTGCAGGCGCAATTGAAATATTCAACGGTTGTTTTTTTTCGAGAGAGTACGGAAAATGGGGAGAGTTGGCAAAAAAAAACATTTTTTGGCGATAATTTTTTTGAATTTCCCTTGAAAAATACCGTTTTTTAGATGTTATTTCTCACTTTGAACAGAATACAAAATTTTCAAATTGAAAACCAAAAAAATTTTTTGTGATCTTTTAAACTTCCGAAGTAAAAAATCTCGTTGGTTTCTGCAGAACGAGAGCGAAAAATATTGCATATGTTTCAGAAGGTCCTAATCCAAATTTTTGCCAAGTTTCATGAGAATCTATACAATTTCCGTGGAAAATTTGAAAATTTCTCGGATATTCAACCAGTTCCGTTTCCCAAAATTCACTGTGTGTTTTGCAAAGACGAGCCTCATTCAAAAAAAAAGAGAAAAGGAGGGTCTCTTCTGGGGAGTCAAGATCAAGATGGTCAGCCGGCTATAAAGACGCGCGCTTAATGACCACTCCACGGGTTCTCGGAAGGCGTTTCGCCCCGAGGGCGTTCCGATTTTTATTCAATTTTGGGGGGAAGCTATCCAAATTTATACATTCTTGAGATCACCATGGGCATAGTCGCCAAAAAGCGTCGTATTTTTTGTGATTTTCGGTATAAGATTTTGTGGCAAGTCTTATCGAGATCTTGGCCAAAAAAGTGTTTTTTTCGTTCTGTTTGCTCTCCGCTTTTTGCGTTCTCTTTCGGCAGCAAAGGCTGTTGGATTTCCCTGAAATTTCCGAGATTTCGCCTAATCATTAAGCTTTCAGTCCAATGCTGGAGGCAAAACTCGTGGCCACCGTAGCGTCGGCCTGTTCCGGGCTCGCCATTCTCGTCTGCGCGTTGACCATCCCCCAGCTCTACTACGACATCAACGACATCTACGACGAGGTCCAACAAGGCGTCCAGGCGTTCCGCGCCGACACCGACAGCGCCTGGACCGAGCTGATGGAGGTCCAGCTGTCCGTGACGCCCGCGCCCAAGCCCCGACCCAACCCATTCCAGTCCATTTTCCAACGCAGAAAACGTCAGGATTACGCGGGGCTGCCGAGCTACTGTCAATGCGAGCCAGTGAAGCCGACCTGCCCACCCGGCCCACCTGGACCGGCCGGCGCACCCGGCCCCAAAGGAGAACCCGGACAACAGGGAGCGCCCGGGGAGGCGGGAGAAGCCGGCCCCACGGTGGATTGCCCTGCAGCCGACACTAGTTGTCAGGCATGTCCCGCCGGCCCACCCGGACCTCCCGGCCCCACCGGCGCCGAAGGTCCGGCCGGCCCAGAGGGCGGCAAAGGCCAACCAGGCAGCCCAGGGAAAGCCGGCCTACCAGGAGCCCCCGGCCCCATCGGTGAAGCCGGACCACCAGGAGAGAATGGCGCACCCGGCTCGCCGGGCTCACCAGGCCAAGACACCCAACGAGAAACCCCACAGCCCGGCCCCAAAGGCGCTCCCGGCCCCGCAGGACCCGCCGGAGCACCAGGAGAGAACGGAAAACCCGGACAACCCGGCACACCCGGCGCTCAAGGACCACCCGGAGCACCAGGAAAGCCAGGAGAACGAGGACCACCAGGAGCGCCCGGAACCGCCGGAGGACCGGGGTTGCCGGGTACGGACGCCGCTTATTGCCCTTGTCCAAGTCGATCGTCCGTTTACGTGCAACAGAACCAAAATTATCGGAAATTGTAGATGATTCGAGAATAAATGTTGAAACACTGCATAGTACATATTATTTTCTGTCGGGAAAATATTGAGCGCCCCGTCGCATCGAAAATTGTGATCGCCGAATTGTGTTGCGACAAAATCAAGTTGCTTTTCACTTCAGCGACGCGATCGGCGCAGCGAAATTGCAATCATTATCAGTGGCGGGAAAATAATGAGGATTTGGAGTCGAAAATGAAACTCCACCGTGCGTTCTCTTTTATTCTCTGTGCCGGTTGTTTGTCGGGAGAAGCCGCCTTGCGATTCCCATCGCACGATCCAGAGACATACCAAGGCTTTTTACATCCATCTATCAGTCTGTCGGGAAAATAATGTGGATTCACGGCGCCTTGAAACCATCCCTCATCGCTCTGCGATGGCTAGCCGCGGCTGAAGATTTGGTGTGCGTCGGCGCAGCAGCATTGTGCTCATTATTTTCCCGACAGACTGATAATCTTTTTTGTTATTGTCGGGAAAATAATGCGGATTCGAGGAGCCTTCAAAATCACCCCTCATTGCGACGGCTAGCCGCGGCTGGAGATTTGGTGTGGGGCGAGAAGTTTGCTACGACAAACTCACATTATTTTCCCGACAGACTGATACAATTTAAAAAAGATTATCGGTCTGTCGGGAAAATAATAACCACGATGTCGCTGCGCCAATCGCGTCGCTGAAGTGAAAAGAAATTTGATTTTATCGCGACACAACTCATTTTGCGATCGAAATTTTCGCCGCGACATTGTGCTCATTATTTTCCCCACAGTCAGATAGTAACGAACTTCGGCTTGAGCACGAAATTATTGTGACGACAAATGGTTACGAAAACACACATGTTTGAACACATGTTGCCCGAAAGCGGAGGGTTGGAATTGGTGTCTTCAATGGAACGCGAACAACTCTCATCCATTTTTGGAAGTTTTTTTGTAATCGCACATAAACCAGAAGAGTTTTTTTATTGGAACAAGGCAAAATGTAAGTTTTAATGAGTTAAAAAATGAATAAATAAGTTGCATGGAAATCTCTATCAGTCTGTCGGGAAAACAGTTTTGGCGCAAGGTGATGATGGGCGCGACGGTTCGCCGTTATTTTGCCGACAAACTGATAGTGAAACTTGGCGCAAATTCACCGCCAAATGTCTTCCATCCTGCCCCCAAATAGGAGCTTCTAAGCTAAAAATGCCCCCCACAAAAAATATTCGAGGTTTCAAGCTCATGCTCTGCAGAAACAAGCAAGACATTTAGGTCGAAAATGTGGCACATTTTTGCAAATTTTTGCTTGAAAAATTTTCATGCCAAAATTCGCCAAAAAGTATTGATTTTTTCCAACTTTCGATCTAAAAATCTCTGTCGTTTCTGCAAAACGCGAGCTAGAAATCTCTGATATGTCTTATAAAAGCTTACTACAAACCTGTGCCAAATTTCATCAAAATCTAAGCCTCGTGCTGGGCCCAATTCCCTAGTTAATACAAATTTATCACACTCATTTTTGCAGGCGTGGAATGGACCTAGCGCACATTCGCTACAGCGTCGTCAAATTTCTGTTATTCTTTTGCCTAACAGCCCTAATTGTCTTCCTAATACTGAACCCGAACATTGCAAAGCCTCCGGACGAAATGTTCATTCAAAGTGACGTCATCATAAATCGAGGAAAAGGTGAGAAATCTCCGGAATCCCCGAACAAACTGGATTTGATGGAGAATGAGGCCATGGAAAACGTTGTGAATTCGAATGAAGATCCGATTTTTGGCCAGAAAAAGGATAAGGACCGGGTTGATAAAGTTGACGCGACAAAACAATCTGTAGCCGAAAAAATTTTTACTCGGTGAGTTGAAAAGCCTTGACATGTCTTTGCAACGTGCGGTCGGCATCACGAAATGTCTTTGCGCGACAACTTGGTCCGAAGAGGAGCCCTAACGAAGAGGACACCTTGACGAAAAAGATGTGACAAATTAGACCAAGGTGGATTTTTTACGAGTGATTTTTTCGGGTTGCCATTGGTTTGCTAAAAAAATATTCTCTGATAGAAACATCCGCCTTGTCCCCCTTTACCATACCACTTTTCGGCAGAGCCAAAAAATCATTCTTAAAAAGTCCGGCTTGCTTCCCTCTTACCATACAATTTTTTCACCTGGGTCCCACGTCAATCCAAAATAAAAATAAAAATCCCGCCCCTTTTTGGTGATTCGTTCAAAACGAAATGTCACTATCGAAAAAACGCATTTTCTTATCTTTCTTCTTTCTTTTCGAGAAAAAGCAATTATTTCGGGCGAGAAAAGGTGCCGATAACTTCACGACATTTCGTCTCTCTTTTAAATCAATGAAAACGATACGAAGTTTCGAAACAGTTCAGGAAATGCGCTGGATTGACGTGGGTCCCCTATATTCGCCCTGGTGCCCTCTTCGCAAATCAACTATTTTGTACTGTGCGTGGTCGGCGTGGACAGTGCAATTCGCCTCATTGCGCCTTGCCGCGACGCTCACGCAGCAAAGGCATATCAAGAATTTTGGACCATATTTAGCAAAAGTACCCAGAACATTGATGCCACAACCACCTCCAAAGGCAATGCAGAAACAACGAAGAAATTAATGGTAGCAACCACTGAAAAGCCAGATACGACGCTAAGCAGAATGACAACCGATGCGACTGCTACAAAAACAGTTACAAAGGCAATGACACCGGCCATCAATTCGACAAAAAATTCGAGTGGTAGGTTTTTCCCCGCCGTTATTTTTCCGGCCGACTGATACAGGGTGGGGCATCTTTGTGGCTTGATTTGAATTGGCTATAACTTTTTTGGTTTTTGGCCAAATCTTAAAATTCTGTTTTTTCCTTGATCCTCAGACTGTCCCCATTTTGTTTAATACCAAATTTGTTATATATATATATACATACATATATATATATATATATATATATATATATATATATATATATATATATATATATATATATATATATATATATGGGATTTCCTTGTGAATAATGGAAATTAGAGCTTTTTGTTTGTAATAGTTAATTTTTGATGTAGGATAATAAATGGGTATAACATATGTGGTACTAAACAAAATGGGGACCTCTGGGTATTCAGGGGAAAAAGAGTTTAAAGATTTGGCCAAAAACTGAAAAAGTTATAGCCAATTCAAATCGGGCCTGTATTTTTTTCTCTTCAGAAACTTCCAACGAAGTCCGCCAATCTCCACTGGAGGTCTCCAAAAACTTTACCCGAATGATACTGGCCAGCCAGCCCAAATCGGCCAACTCCACCCAACTCCGCTCAAAACGAAAGCCGGAGGTAAAAATCACCGAGTTGATGGACAGATACGCGTCGGGCGCGCTCCGAATCGACGACCTGATGGACATTCTGGAGGGCTCTTCGCCCTCGACCGACGACGAAGAGGCGATTGTCGAGAAGCCGGAGGCGGTTTTGGAGTTCGAAAAGGACTTGAATTTCACACAAGTCGAGATGGAGTTCAAAAATTTCCGACTGAACTTTAGCATGACGACAAATTTGGAGAGCGACTGCGAAAACGCGACAGCGATCGTGATGATCATGTCGACGGGCGCGAAAAACGATTACTTTCAACGACTGCTCATACGGTACACGTACTTGGGAAAGGTAAAAAAATTTGTCCAGATGGCGTGTTATCGGTCTGTCGGGAAAATAATGAGCATGTGTCGCAGCGAAAAATGTGATCGATGCCGAGAAAATGAATTGTGTCGCGGAAAAAATCAAATTGCTTTTCACTTCAGCGACGCGATCGGTAAGAACATTGTGCTCATTATTTTCCCGACAGACTGATAAAAAAATTCGTAGAGGCTTGATCGCGGGGCCGCACCGTGCAAAAAACATCTTGCACTGTGCAACCGAAACATTTCCCGGAAAAAATTTCAACGCTGTCGCTGCGACGCGTCGATGAATAAAAATGCACAGTGCAAAAATTGTCCGAAAAGCCCGCAACGTTTGCTCATTATTTTCCCGGCGATCCTTTGCGTCCCAACTTTTCGGAAGGGTCGACACAAAATAGATCGATACGGGGGCGTAGGGCAGGTCGATACTCAAAAAAAGGTTGTAAGAAGTGCCTACAAATCCCGGCAAAGCCGTTGAATGGTCGGCGGACTCTCGGCGAACGTTCGGCGAAGACTTGCAATATGTCGCCTTTTTCTAATTTTAGCTATACTAACGTTAGTTTTCTTTACCCTGAGTTATTGTAACATATAATAGACCAAAATTTCGGAGAAAAAACGAAGATCCAGAACTTTTATCTAGACGTTATTGTTGTGAGTACATGTAAAATGTCTCAAAATAGGTGATAAGCTGTCTTAGGACCCGATCAATCTCATCATTTCTACTAACTAAGCCTTCTCCAAGCCTCCCCTATGCATACAGCGACGAACCGAGGCGATCCATAGTATCGTCGACCAAACTGTCGCTGACCCAAAAAGTCGTAGCGCCGTCACGAAAGCCGTATTTTAGACTGCTCCAAAACATGTTTGTCATCGCTTCGTGATCGGCTTCCAACCGGAGATGGATATTGCGCCCTTGAAAAAAGAAATGGCCGAATTCAAGGACATTGTCTACTACAATGTCTACGACACGTATCGTCGCAACTTCATAAAATGGTTCACAATGTACGCATGGCAGCAGAGGTATGCGAGCGACGTGCCGATTTTGTTCAAGTTGGACTCGGACACGGCGATTGACTTGAAACGGGCGTTCCATTGGATTCTGAGGAGATTTGACACAGGCTTGAATTTGGATGATGGATGGATCGTATGCGAAAAAATGGAGAATCAACAGCCGGTCAGAAGTCCAAAAACTAGCGCGTGGTAAGTGGAACCGCACTGCAACCCAGGGAGTCTCCCGCCTCGTTTCGGCACTGGCACACCCAGTATCGGTCAAATGCACACGAAATGTCACAGCAGAATTTTTCGTGTGGTTTTTCGACGGAAAAATCTTTTTCTCGAAATTATTTTATTGCTTTTGCAGTTGTGACACTTCGTTTGGACGAAACTCAAAAGTGGGCGGGAGACATTTTTTTGATTTCGGTTTGCCGTGCGCCGTCTTCTTCTATCAGTTTGTCGGGAAAAAAGCGGCCCCACACTTGCGGGCAGCCATTTTGTGGGCAGCTAGAAGAACCACAGAGATTCTGTGGGCATGCTTGGAAATCAGCTAACATTTGCTTACAACAGGGAGTTCAAACGATGGATCTGGCAGTTAGATGTTGCGAATGAAATTTCCAGGTGGCTTGAGGGTGCCCACTGTTTTCCCGACGGACTGATAGCACTGAAGCAACGTATGATACGATGCTTTCAGCCACTGCACCTGTCCCGCACTATGGATATAAATTCTGACCTTTCAGGTACGTTCCGGTCCGCGAATACGCGTATGACTTGTATCCTCCGTATTGCTACGGATACGCCGTTATAATGAGCACTTTGGCGGTGAATTTGTCGATCGATGCGATGAAGGAGGTCAACATGTTCCACATGGACGATGTGTTGTATACGGGGGTTGTGGCGCCTCTTCGGGACATACAATTGTACGATTTTAAAGGGATCCGCACGCAGGTGAATATTTTTTTTTTTTTCTAGGTGCTATCAGTCTGTCGGGAAAATAATGTGGATTCGATTTTTCATGCGATTTTCGCTGTGACAGGCTGCTTATTATTTTCCCGACATACTGATAGTACTTCGACAAGCTTGAAAAGAATCGTATTTTACGCATATACTCAGATTTCCGGCCATATCCACGAATCCGAGAAGAGAAAGAGCTTTTGCAAAATTGGATTGCCATACCCCATCGCCTTGCATAACGCCAAATCCCCCACGTCGATGCATTACTCCTACGAGTTGTTGAGGAAAATGGACTGTATCACAAACCCGAACGCCTATCACAAACGACCATATACGTTTTATGAGAATTAATAAATTAATTGCATAATATAATATATGTATATCGTATACATTACAATCAGTCCGTCAGGAAAATAATCAGTACTCTGTCGCATGGAAAATGGTGATCGCCGCCGAGAAAACGAATCGTAATCGCGGCAAAATCAAATTACTTTTCACTTCAGCGACACGATTGGCGCAACGACAGAGTGCTCATTATTTTCCCGACAGACTAATAGACCTTCCGGAAAGCCGCTGGAGTGATTTTTTGGTGTTTTTAAAATTTTCAAAATGAAAGAAAAAATCTTCAAAAAATTTTTCATCGTATAACATGTCACCACATTTTGAAAATTTAATGTTTTTTTTTTGAAAAAGCGGGATCTTAAAAGCGGAAATTTTCGAAAGAGTGACTCTCCTGAAGGCCTAGAATCGAGTTTACAAGCTTTTATGGCCATGGAAAACCCTCGTTCTGCACGGTTTTTTGGTGGGATTGGATTCGAAAAACGCTGACGATCTTGGCGGGCATGGACAGTAAGCAGCATCCGATCCAGGGATCCCTGCATTGCCGGGAGCTCCTCTTCTCGCCGGACTACCCGCCGGTCCTGGCAATCCCACCGGGCCGATAGGTCCTCTCGGGCCGGGAGCGCCGTCCTCTCCATCCGGCCCCACCACTCCGCGACGGCCCGGCCTGCCGGGCGCGCCCGGCTCACCTTTGGGGCCGGCTCGACGAATCACGGTGATTCCATCGTCGCCATCGTGGCCGGCTTCTCCTGGGTCGCCGCGCTCGCCTGTTGAGCCCGTGTCGCCAGGCGGGCCGGCGGCGCCGGGATTGCCGTTGTTTCCCGGAGGGCCTGGGACTCCGGGCTCTCCTGAAAAGATGTTTTTAGAAGTCTGTCGGGAAAATATTGAGCACAATGTCGTATCGCCAATCGTGTCGCTGAAGAGAAAAAGAGCTTTGATTTTTTCGCGACAAAATTCGTTTTCTCGGCGGCGATGCGACAGGGTGCTCATTATTTTCCCGACAGACCGATAGATGCGACAAAAAAGTCCTGGGAATTTGTCGCGGACCCCGACCGCGACAAATTCTCATGTCTGCTCGGACCGCGACATCGTACGTCGCGTTGAAGTTATCGCTGCGATAAATGGGAGTCGCGCGCGACATAGCGCAAAAAAAACGAAATTGCACTGTGCAAACTCACTTTTTCGGCTGTTGCACGGTGCAAAATGATTTTTTTCGGAGAGCGACGCAATTATCGCGCAAAATGCACGGTGCGGAGTCGCAGAAATCCCAACGTCTTTTTTCGCGAATAAAAAATATTTCAAAAATTCCTCTCAAATAAAAGCTTCTCTTAAATTAAAAAAATATTTACCCTCAGGGCCCTTCGGACCAGCAATTCCATCTTCTCCAACTGGGCCAGGTGCTCCATGTGGGCACTGAATACACGACTTCTCCGGTGGATCACAAATTTCCACAGTTGTGGTGGACAAAAAGTCTTCGCCTGGTGTGCCAGGTTCTCCCGGCCGGCCCTTTGGACCGGTGGGGCCAGGAGGACCGGCTGGTCCTGGGGCGCAATGCGGTTTCGATAGCTCACATTGACACCACGCCTGGAAAATTGAATTTTTTTGGGGGGTAAAATGTAAATTGATGGTGTCTTGACAAAATAAATTATGTATAATATGGTATAGAGCGGCTTGATGGAAGTCAAACGTCTTCTAAGAGCCTTCCGATCATAGAAAATCTTCCGTCGATTTAGATGGGTTTCCAGGGCTTTTCAAGTTTTCGTGGTGGGACCCAAATTTTAATGTATAATATGCTATAGACCGGCTTAATGGCAGTAGAATGCTTTCTAACAGCCTCCCGAAGGTGAAAAATCTCATTTCCGCCGGTTTACACAGATTTCCAGGACTTTTCAAGTTTTCGTGGTGGGACCCAAATTTTGGCAAAGATGATTTGAAACGATTAAAAATTATTGGAAGTTACGTGTAATAACCCCTAATACATAGATTTTCAAAAATTTTCAATGTTTCTCACAATATCAAGCCGAAATTTTAATTTTATATTATCCATGACCACCTACCGGCAAACCCTCGGCCTGTCGTTTTCGCCGAAACACAGACGCGAATGGGTTCTCGCGCCGCCTCGTCAGTGGGCCCAGATTAAGTTGCATACCCAACAATTCAATCCAAGCAGCGTCCGTCTCCAGCCGATACTGATTCACGCCGTCGGCCACTTCATCTCGCAACAAATCAATATTTGAGTACAATTCTGGCATAATTAGGATGCAGAGGATCAATGAGAGGACTGAGCAACTCGTTGAAATCAACGTCAGCGACTCCACTTCCACCATGGCTAAAATACAAAATATAGAAAAAAAACTTTTGGAAAAACTCGAATTTTAGTGAAAAATCCAAAAATTTCCAGGAAAAGGTCGGTCCAAAATTTTGCAAAACGAAGGATGGAGAAGTCACCGGATATTTAGCGGATTCCGGCTTTTATAACATCCTTTTTCGACAAAGAATCACCGTAAATTGGGCTTCCGAACGAGTTCTTTCGAGCGGTTTCAATTATTTTCGAGGATTTGGATAATTACCCGTTACACAATGGCGTTACACAACCGATCACGCAATTTCCACGCAAAAACTCACATGTGCTCTCCAAAAATTAAGATTTATATCTGTTTGTGATACCACACGACATGTAATTGCTTTTTCTCGAAAAGGAAGAAAAAAGATAAGAAAATGCTTTTTATCGGGTAGTGACATTTCGTTTTGAACGAATCACCAAAAAGGGGCGGGAAATTTTTTCTTCCAGTTTGGATTGACGTGCAGGCGGGAATCGGCAAATGGAGGGAGGAAAAGCACTGTAGATGACGAATACGACATTATTGCTACTAACTTTACACGAAAATTCCAATACTTTATCATTACCTTCATCATGACGGGCAAACAGACTTTATCGTTGGAAAATATTAGAAATATGAACAATATAACAACAGTGGTTATTAATAGGCAAGTTTCAGATGCAAGGGGATGAATTTGGCGTCTGGGAAGGCATCCAGTTTGGTGTAGTCGATGCACTTGTTCTTCACATGCTCCACATAATAAATCCCGACCTTGTGGACAAAGTTGAAGGCCAAAAAGTCGGTGAAATAAAAGTCGTGCGCCTTTTTCGGCCCAACCACCTTGAAAATGGAGCCGTTGAAGCCGGGGGAGCGGACGCAAAATTTGTAGGCAATCTCCACACTGCTGTGATTCTTGATCTTGTGATGGGATTTGGGTTGGCCCTGGACCAGGAGGATTTCGTTCGGTTCGACCGAGATTTTGAGCGGCGCCTCCAGGTCGACCACAACCACATCGTTGTTGTTATTGAAGTCGTCGAAGTTGAAGTAGAGGAATTCGTTGCACTTGGTGAACAAAAGTGGGAGTTCCAACTGATTTGCGAGCAAAAGACTGTCTCTGGCGTCCTCCATGGTTAGTGTTTCGATAATCTCCAGCTCGCATTGGTCCTGAAATTCGAAAATTTGAGTTCAATGTCAAGTGTAATATAAAAAATTCTCATAAATAATTTAAAGCGAACCTGAAGAGGTGGGAAATGATGTTGAAATGCAAATACAGGAAATTGCACCATATCTTTCTTGCTAGAAGCCCAATATAACAAAATTTGGTATCAAAAATTATCATGTGTAATATAACATCGTAAATGCGCAAAAACCAAAAAATCTAGTTTTTTTCAAGTACACTCTAGTCCAGTGGGCTAGCTTCTAAACGACTTCACTCAAATTAACAAACTTAAATTTCTCATTTTTCCAAACTTAGTCATGTACAATATAAAAAATGAAATGTCAAAAATTCCCACCAAACACAAGCTCAAAAGGGACGTCATGACTTTCTATAGACAATAACACACCAAATCTTCTCTAAGAATCAATAATATTGCGTAAAACACTCACCTTCAGTTCCTCCAACTCGTATCGGTGTGCAAGTTGAATAACTTTCCTCGCCAACTCGCCTCCTTTCACTGGGGTATACATGTAGACAAACTTGAGCATGGCCTCCACCGCATCAGCACCATCGTCGAGCTTGAGAACACCTTCATTCGACTCTCTCATGTCCGATTTCAGCAGCCTTTCAAAGACCACGGACTTCAGCGCCAATTGGTATTTTGCGATCTAAAATTGGAATAAAAATCAGTGAAATACAACTTACATGAAAGACTCTGCGTCCAGCTTTAATTTTGAAGTCGGCATAGTACGGATCGCCGAACAAACGGTCTTCTTTCTCGGGATTCTTGATCACCTTCTCTGAAAAATAAAACAACTACTAAAAATCAAAACAAATCGGCTAAATCCTGTGAACTTTTAATCTATATAGTAGCAAATACCTAAAAATACTCTAGAAAACCATTTCCGCCCTATAAACCTTTGAGACAAAGGATATTTTGATCTACTTTACCATGGATAACATGAGACGTCAAAACTTACCTTTAAGCGCTTTAAGCCTTCCTTCCACGTCTCTTTTACGCGAACAACAGTCCGAGGAGACGGACAGGTCCACCGACACAACAGAAGATCGCATTTTGCCCGCCATCGGTGCAAATTTACAAAAAATTGTCAAGAATTATGTCGAGCGCAACAATTGACACTTGAGCCAACTCTCTCTTTTTTACCGTTTGCTTTCAATCGGTACCTGAGGTTACTGTATTCCTGACTTTTGTAGATCAGGTCGTTAAATACAATAAAATTTTACTTTCCAAACGGTTAAAAAATCACTTTATTCATCAGGTGAGAATTAAAAAATATTTTTGTGAGTTCAAAAAATATATAAAATGTATGAAAGGGTAAAAAGCTCAGGCCTCCACTACAGGCATGAACTGTGCTTTTGATAAAAGTTCGTGGTAATTGTAACCCTGCGAAGCAATTTCGTATGAAACATAAAAAAATCCAATTTGATCTCCTCGTCTTGACAAACGGTCGTAATGTAAAGCATAAGTTACATGTGGGTGAAAGGAGTAGAATTTAGGGTTATCTAAACGATTTTCACTTTCCGGACGTAAAACGCCGCACGTCAAGATTTTGCGCTCAAAGGGTTATGTATCAACACGAAAGTTGGCATTCTGTTTCCGCTTACGGAAGTGTCCAAAAAATCCGTCTCAATGACAGTTTTTTTGGACGAGGTCAGAGGAAAGGCGAAATATTGCGCAAAATGAAGAGATTTTCTATCTCGAAACTGGCTCATTTGATTTTTTCGTTTTAGGCTCAAAAAATCCGCCTTGTTCCAGACTATGTTTCCACGAAACTTCAAATAGGGGCGAGGGAAAATCTTAGAGAAATCCTCGAAATCGCAACATTTTTTAGGCGTTGTTAGTTTAGGCTTCAAACAGATAGAAGACGACCGATTTTTTATATGAAATATATATGTTCAGGTTAAGCAGGAGCCCAGCTTCAAATTTATGTATGCAATAACCCCATTCTACCCCATCTTCATCGTGTAATCAGGCTATCTTTATCGCAAAAAATTGTCTTTGAGATCAAACAGAATGCCAAGAATTTTTCATTGCTTGAGCGCTTTTGTTTTATTTTTTCTTGACGTGCGCCGACAGTAACATCAGAATTGTTGGTAACATTGTACTCAATACCATTCTGGTGGCGACTAACCGTAAAATCCACAACTGAAATGAAATTTTAAATCACTGCAAAATTCACTTCATCCAAAAATCAACACCATACCTTCGGTCTTCGTGTTGTCGGTTTGACTGCCGTAATAGATGAATTCACAGCATTTCAAGAGCAAAAGCGGGAGTTCCAGTTGATCGGCCACTCGAAAACTCTCTCGGACATCTTCCGCCGACAATTTATCAATGATTTCCAGCTCGCATTGGTCCTAAATATCCAAAAAATCAATGTAACACAAAAATGGCCTAGTATAACATTAAAAAAGACCGAGAACTAAAAATACCGACTGAGTTCGGCCCCAGAAACTGATTAGTCTCTTTGTACACCTAATAACGAAACTTTTCAACAAGAAAACCCAATAATATTGCACAATACAAACCTTGAGTTCAGAAAGTTCATAACGATGTGCGATTTGAAGAACCTTTCTTGCCAATTGGCCTCCTTCCACCTTTTTGTACATCGAAATGTGTTTCAACATCGCTTCCACTGCCTCTGGATCGTCGGGAAGTTCCAAGACGCCTTCAGTCGCCTCCTTCATCTTTGATTCAAACATTCTTGCAAAGACCTCGGATTGCAAAGCCAATTGATGTTTTGTAGTCTAAATTTGGAATAGAAAACTATAAAATACGACTTACATAAAAGGTCTCGCTTCCGGCTTTGATTCGAAAGTCGCTGAACGTGGGATTATTGAAGAATCGATCCTCCTTCTCCGGTTCTTGTTCACCTTCGCTGTAAAACAAGATTATCAATAAAACGACTGAAAATATTGAATATTATCTATAAAACCTGTTAAAATCATCGGAGATCTCCTGGTTGTCCTATCTACATCATAATCGATCATCGGGATCGATCAAGTAAGATTGAGCAACCAATTTTCGCTAGGGTCATTATCTAACCGGGCTTGCTGTAAAGGATTACCTCTCAAAGCGCTTATTTGATACTGCACTTCACGTTTTCGTGAACAGCATTTCTTGTTCATTCTGCGGCAAGCAACTGAGCAACGCCCAAAATTGCACCAACTTTTTGGTCAAACGCAACAGTTGACAGCTCGGGTCAAGTCTTTCACTCCCTGGTTTTACAACGAAACTACAGTAATCGTGCCCTAAAGCGATTTCAAAACTCGAAACGCAAAAATTTTATCAACCTTTCAAACCCATTATATTATCCATGACGCTTTTTTAAAATTTTATTATATTAACCACAAAACAAATATTGGATATTAACAAAAACAAGTAAAACAAATATGTTGAGGTAGTTCTGAGATAACCGAGGACCAAAAAACTCTTTCCTCTAATCTTTCTTCAGCTGCAAAACTTTTGCGTTTGGATGGTCACAAAGTCGGCTATAGTCATAATTTCCGTTCGCTTCGTACTTCGCGAAAAATATGGTGCCTTCGTCGGTTATGACGGATTGACTGCGCGTTGGTTGGATGATGTAAAATTGGGAGGGGTTGTTGTTTGTCCTGTAGAGTTGGTAGACGAGCGGATAGGTGTTCTGATTCTTGACAGAAAAGCCGCTGAGGCGCGATTTCACAATGGACTGACCTCTTCTGGAGGCAGTGAGCAGAGGGGGTGCTGAAACGGGTTATAATTAAGAGTGGGTCAAACATTCGAATGAATGAAAAATAAAAAATAATATTACACTACCTTTATCCGGATCAACTGTTAATGGCGCAAAACTGGAAGACGTCGATGCTAAAATTAAAGTTAAATTAGGCTCTAAATTCCCCTTAGGGCCAGTGTAACATTAAAAATACAATATTTTTTTATTACGACACCCACTACGATAAATTTTATATTATCCTACCTTGGGTCGGAGCGACTGGCGCTGGCGCAAACCTACAAGACGTCGAAGCTGAAATTAAAGTTAAATTAGGCTCGAAAATACATGTAGGACCAGTGTAAAATTAAAAATATTATCATTTTTCATTACTTCACTCAATATGATGGATTTTATATTATCCTACCTTGACCTGGATGAACTGGCGCTGGCGCAAACCTAGAAGACGTCGAAGCTGAAATTAAGGTTAAATTAGGTTCTAAATTACTCTTAGGATCTGTGTAAAATAAAAAATATTATCTTTTTTTATTACTTCACCCACTACGATAAATTTTATATTATCCATGACATAGTTGTCTAAAACAATATTTTGCCAAGTACCCCCTGGTTTTACACCCCCACCAAAAGCTTCCATATTACTTTTCAAGCAACAAAACTTATTACTGAACCAGCAATGCGTCGAAAAACCGATCGAAAGGGCTATTTTTTCAAAAAAAAAATATATTTTCCTACCTTGAGCTGAAGCATCTGGCGCTGGCGCAAACATGGAAGCCGCGGATGCTGAAATTAAACTTAAATTAGGTGCTAAATTCCTCTTAGGACCAGTGTCAAATTGAAAATACTATCTTTTTTATTACCTAACCCAACATGATGAATTTTATATTATCCATGACATACTCGTCTAAAACGATATTTTCTCTAGCACACCTAATTTTTATCCCCTCCAAAAGCTTCAATATGGCTTTTCAGGCAATTTACCTTACGTCTTACCAAAAATTTCCAAGCTTTGTTACCATTTTCTATATTATTCATGACCACACTGCCTAAAGTAATATCTTAAAATTCCTATATCCTTTTCCAGTCGCATTATTTCAATTTATATTTTTTCTCAGTTCTACTGCATCCCATTCCTCTTCTTATTACCTATTTCTCCCTCGACCAATCAGAAAATCACTTCTTTTCAGCTTGGCCTACCTTTTACATTATTTGCCTCAACTTTCGGTTGGGGCTGTTCGACCGGCCTCGCATTGCTGGGCTTGGGTTTGGACTTGCGGCTGGTTTTCGACTTGTAGAGTCCAGCGAAAGCTGAAAGATCATCATTTTTTGACATAAACTTTTCATTTTATATCTGTAATTCTGTTACAGTAACCCATTGCGACTCCCCAATTCTCTTCAAACTCTAAACCTATACTCTGACTAGCCCATATATTATTCCCTAAAAATTTAGACCTGCTCTTCGCCAAGCGCTGTGATTTTCATCAAGCTTTTTACGAGAGAGTATACAAAATGCGGAGAGTGGTCAGACAAAAACTTCTTTTCGCTATAACTTTTTGCATTTTGCCCGGGGAAAAGCGATTTTTTACACAATTAGATAACCGATGAGCTCTTGTTAACCCAAACATTTCCAAGTCAAAAATCGCAAAAAAAAAATCCGAAATTTGTAAAAATTTTTCGTCTAAAAATGCCGGAAAATTTAGCAAATCAATAGCCAAAAATTTCCAAAATGCCCATAATCCATAAAAAAAATGAGGCCAAGTCTGTTGAAAATTAAATCCCATCAAATTTCAGGTACCTCGGAAAAAATAAATCTCAAAAAAACCCCCTAGATCTCCGAAACTTAGCAAATCAATAGCTAAAAATTCCCAATTTGCCAAAAAATGCATAAAAAATTTAGGCCAAGTTTGTCGAAAAGTAATCCTCATCAAATTTTAGGTACTCCAAAAAAATTTTTCAAAAAAAAAAATCAAAAATAAATTTCCTCCTTTCCAAACCTCTTACCTGTTTTAGGAGTTTTCGACTTCATTTGTTGGTCCTTTCTTTCCTTCCAATCCGAGTACTTTTGATATTCTTCAAATGTCATTTCGACGAGGTTCCATTTGTCAATATTTGCGTACATTTCGTCGCCCTCAATGGCGCTGGCTTCATTCTCGTCTGCGAAATCATCGATTGGCGTTGAAAAAATATTTAAAAAAAAAAAAAAAAATTCAAAAAAAAAAAAAAATTCTCCAAAATTTACCAGGAAAATTTCCCTCGTAGAATCTCAGAAATTCTTCTTCAATATCGTCCGGCGAACTGTCCAGACCCTCTTCGTCGGTTCGGAAATTCGTCGCAGGGTTATCGTACCTTTCTCTGATTTGCCGAACAAAAGGTGTGGCTTTTTCATCGTCCGAATGCTCACCTTCTGCAAAAAAAAAAAAAAAAAAAATGAAAAAAATTGCCCGTGTTTTGTACATGTTAGGCCTAAACAATGACAAAAAACCGATTTTTTCGATTTGTGACGCAAACTTTCTGTCTGTCGGAAAAATAATGAGCACTTTGTCGCATCGAAAATCGTGTCGCCGAAGTGAAAAATCAATTTTCTCCTGCCGAGACAAAATTCGTTTTCTCGACGGCGACGCGATTTTCGATGCGACAGAGTGCACATTATTTTCCCGACAGACAAAAAAATTAGCCTCACAAATCGAAGAAAAATCGGATTTTTTTGTCATCTTTTAGGCCTAACATCTACAAAATACGGAAAAATTTTTCATTTTTTTTTCAACGCTTGACCAAAAAAGTCTGACTTTTTATACCTTTTTCATCCTCCAAAACCGGTGGAATTTCTTCGGAGGCGTCTTGCTCCGAGTGGGTTTGACTTTCTTCCGTGGTGTCCGGGAAGACCAAAGCTCTCGGCCGGACTGAACAAAAAATTCAAAAAATAAAAAAATATCTAAAAACGGAAAAAATAAAAATGATCCTACCTGATTCAACTTTGGCAAACCTCACGGGGGACACTGAAATCAACATAACAAAATAAAACAAAAATAAAAAAAAATAAAAATAAAAACTAAAAAAATAATAAAAAATCTCAAAACACCGAATGTCAAATTGAAAGGCATCCTGGCCAATTTTTTCAACCAACTCCTCAGTTTTCACTTCCAATTTCCCCTCATCTTACCCTTCACTTTTTCTCCGTTGAAAGTAAAAAAATCTCCATATTCTTGATCGTCAGTCTTCTCTTCAATATTCTCCTTATCATCTCCTGGAAAATTTTAGTGAATTTCTGCTTCCAAAATCCACTAATCTTCAAAAAAAAAAAAAAAAAAAAAAAAAAGAAAAAAATCAAATTTTCATAAAAAAAAAATATATTATCCTACCCTTGACGGGCGGGGAAGGCAAATTGCACAGCGAAACATAAGGAGTTCGGTCTTCATCGACTGCTTCGAGGGTTTTATCTTGGTTCTGAGCTTGATTTTGAGAGTCCAAAACTTGATTTTCCTCGAATTTATCGGTGAGTGGTGAGGTGGGAGGAGCTAAAAAATTTCGACAAAATTACTCCGTAACCTCTTTAAAAACCCCCAAAAACATTTACTACATCTAACCATGGCTATTTTCGATCCTTATAACAAAAAAAAAACCGTCTTCAAAAAAATTTTTTGTCATCTCCAGATCTAGTATAACATCGCCCCAAAATTCGATATCCCAACAACTAACTTTCTTCCTCATCTTCATCCTCAAAGTCCGCGGCTTCGCCGGAGTCGCTCTCATCATCCTGTTTTCCATCATTCTCTGTTTTTTCTTTCAAAGAGTCATCAATATGAAGTTCTTCCATGCTTCGACACAAAATTCCTAAAAAAAATGTTCACAAGTCCTCCTATACATTATTTCACACTCGCTTGCCACTCAATCATCAAATTATAACCATTTCCCCCATAAAAAATACCTTCTCCTTCATGAATAATATAAAAATTTCACCTTCTTTTTGCTCCTCGTTCTCAATACATTCCCCGGAAAACTGTTCTTTGTCATGATCAGCATCCAATTCGGCATTTTCTTCAACTTTTTTGAGATGCTCTCTGAAACCACTGTGATTTGGTCCGTCAGATACTTCTTTGTTATCATCATTGATTTCTTCAGCGATTTTATCCTTTTCGTTTTGGTCGATTCCTCAAAAAATAGAAATAACGTCCGCAAAATTTTCCTTCCAATCATCAAAAATCGCAAAGAAATAATAACATTTTTTTCTCTACCCGTCTCTCTTCATTCTGCGTGTTCTCTCGAAAAAATATTGCGTGGCACGTCAATCCAAAATAGAAGAAAAAATTTCCCGCCCCTTTTTGGAGATTCGTTCAAAACGAAATGTCACTATCCGATAAAAAAGCATTTTCTTATCTTTTTTCTTTCTTTTCGAGAAGAAGCAATTATTTCGGGCGAGAGAAAGTGCCGATAACTTCGCGACATTTCGTCTCTCTAATTAAATCAATGAAGATGACACGAAGTTTCGAAACGGTTCAGGAAATGCGCTGGATTGACGTGCGTGGTATCTCAGCGGAAGATAAGTCTCACAGCTCAAATTTTGTGAGGATCAATGTCTGACGAATACTAGTCCGTACGCAAAGTCGCTGAAGGGATTTTTGGCGTCTGCACTGTGCGAAAAATTAGAGGTGCGAGCGACAGCCCGAAAAAGCCTATTGCACGGTGCAAAAAGCAAGAAATTGCACAGTGCAAAGTAAAATTTTGTTTTCGCACAGTGCATGTCGCCGAAATCACTCCAGCAAGTGTGCAAAAACAAAAGTTCACTTTGCACTGTGCAATTTCTTGTTTTTTGCACCGTGCAATAGGCTTTTTTGGGCTGTCACTCGCACTCTGACTTTTTTTTACACAGTGCAAACGTCAAAAATCACTTCAGCGACTTTACGAACGGACTAGTATTGGTCTGACATTGATCCCGACAAAATTTGAGCTCGTGGGACTCACCTTCCGCAAAGACGCCATGCAATAATTTTTTGATAGAACACGCAGAATGAAGAGAGACGGGTAGCGAAAAAATGCTCGTATATCTTTGCGACTTTTGCGTGGAACATTTTGCGGACCTCAATAGTAAAGATCATCTCCCTAAAAACCAAAAAAAATCAAAGAGAAAAAACTTACCTTCAACAAGCGCAGCGACCAGAAGATCTTCAGGAGAATCTAAAAAATCAATACCTTCTAATACAATTCGAACCAGTCAAAAAAAAAGGTCAAAAATAATCCTACAAGCTTGTTCATTTTCATTGCCATCCTCTTCTTCCTCAGATTCATCGTTTTCTGCCTCCTCTTCAGGACCTAATTCATCCAATCCTTGAACATTTTCGCCTCTCAAATCCTCAAAAATATCACTCTCATCTTGCGGCTCATTGATTTGTTCACCTTCCGGATTATTCAAGTCAACATAGGCTTGTCTACGGGCTAAAATCTCAACAAAAATGAACTTATCCATCATGAATAATATTTTGTTTGTCAAAACTTGAAATAACCTCCTTCCACATAAAATTTTCTTCAAATAAGTTGTCAACCGGCTTATATTAACATGTTTTGCGATTAAAAAAATCCGCGACCTTATTTATGACACCAACTATCTTATCCATCATGGATAATATAACTAAATTTTCTACTAAATAAGATTCAATTTAAAACCAAAAATAAATTTCAATGGACTTAATTCGATCAACTAAGCATCAATAAAGCAACACTAAACCATTCTATAACAAAAATTATATTATCCATCATGGTCAATATAAAATGATCCAATTCGAGCTCTCATTAAGCAAATTCTTTTAATACCGCAAATAACCCCCTCTCCCTTCTATTTCGCACAAAAATTTCATCAACCTTTTCTACCAAAATCACAACATTTTACCTTCTTCTTGAGGTAAAAATTGGATTTCAAAGTGATCATAAGCGGCAGCCAGTCCTTCCGCGTCCTGGAACGGATCCATCATGCGTCGGGCTAGAAATTTAAATTCGAATTACCAGGGAATCAAGGGGTTTCAGATTAAAATCACATATTTCTATTCAGAATAACATCAGCTTACCATGAGGTTCAAAAACTGGCTGTGGCCTCTGATTCTCTGAAATTATGAGGTCCATTACGTTTTTAAACTATTCAATATATCATATTCTAACTTATATTAGCAAATCAGCCAATAAAAATCGAGGTTCGTCGAGTTTTGAGCGAAAAGTTATATTACCCTTTTTTCTAATGCAAAAAATCAAAATTTCAGCCCTAAATACCATCCAAACAACAGATTAGATAATATTCTAGGCAATCAGCCCAAAAAACCCCAACAGCAAGGACGATTTTAGGCAGCTAGAAGCAATTATATTACCCTACCTCGAACAGGTGGCGGACCGGCTGGCGGAGCTGGACGAGCTAAAAATATTCGAGTAAAATACGCTTTAAAGTAGCGATCACACAATATTTGGCTACTTCAAACAGTTAATCCAAAGAAAATCAAAATTCAGGTAGCTCCATCAAAAAAATTATGTTCTCCTACCTTCACCTGGTTGCGGACGAGCCAATGGAGCGGGATGAACTGAAATTATGGCATTATATTAAAGCTCAGATCATACATCAACCAACCAAATCACTGTTTTATCTAAAAGCCAAAAAATTAATAGGCTAAACACTTACTTTCTGGTTCGAATACCTCGAACTCTTCAAAGTTGTAGAAAAGAAATTCGACGCATTTTGCGAACAAAATTGACAACCCATAGCTACGAGCCAACTCCAGGACGTACGGGGCATCTCTGAGTGTCAAATGATCCAACAGCTCCAATTCGCATTGCTCCTAAAAAAGAATTTTTTTATTCTAGGCATGAACAATATAGCAAAATCTTCGTAACTCAAAAATGTGATGTAATTCTGGCTCAAAATCGATTTCAAAACATTCTTTACCACCCAAAAGCTCTATTCCAAGCAAAAATACATGCAATTTTACGCTATACCTACCTTGAGTTCAATCATTTCGCCACGATGCGCAAGTTGAAGAGCTTTTGCAGCCAATTCGCATCCCTCGACCTTTTTGTACAGAAAGATGTAATCGAGCACAGCTTTCACTGCATCAGGGTCATCATGCAGCTCCAATACTCCTTGCAGGACTTCATTGCTGTTCGATTTGAATAGATCTTTAAACACCTTCGACTTCAAGGCTAATTGATACTTGACAACCTAAAAATCAAGATAAAAACGAATAGAATACAACTCACATAAAAGGTGACGCCTTGGGCCCGGATTTGGAAATCGCTAAAGGCAGGATCTCCAACCAAATCGTTCCGAATCTCTTGTCTTGCATTGACCTTATCTATAATAAAAAAAAACATCACAACTCAACAGAAAAAAGAGGCCTAATTCATCCTACACTGTTCATTGAAATTTTTTACATCATTTTGCAGCGAATCATAGCGCTTAACCAAAGATTCACGCTAGTTTTTACAATAAACTCGTCATGGATAATATCATATGTCAAATTTTGGCAAAACTTACTCCTCAAAGATTGAATCCGCTCATCTAGCAGCGGTTTACGCGCACAGGCGCTAGAACAACAGCCTGGCATTGCTATCTCGGGCAATAACACACCCAAACCTTGTTCTTCTCAACAACTTCCTGTAGAGAAACACTTGACTCGTTTCTGCATTTTGGGTCAACTCTGACCCCCCTACAGTATGACCAGGAATTCTACCAAAAAACAGCTCAAATCCACTCAGACAATATATTTATTGAAAATATGTAAAAATGGATAATTGAGAAGTTAGACAAACAGCAAAAATAGCGATATCAAACATCATAACAACATAAATTAACCAAAATCTTATCTCCTGACTTTCAAACGTAGAAATTGAGCGTTTGGGAGCAGATGAAGTCGTTGGTAGTCGATCGTAGGGTCTTTGACGTATGGTGCGTAGTAAACGAAAGCCTCATCGGACCGAAATGTAAGTTGATTTAGAGAGTGTGGGCCAAGTCGAAAAGTTTCGCCTGGGCCCAGAATTTCGAAGCCTCTGGACGAAGTCACGGATCCATAAACTTTGTAGACAATGTCGACGGAACTATGGTTAGTTCTCTATGGTCAGAAGCAACTTTTCCGTGGATCGTAGTAAGGATGACGGTGTCTGGCGTGAAGGTGAAAATAGGACCAATCGGAACTGAAAATATGCTCAAAAATAATTTCAAATGCCCTCCACGCCCTACCTGGTTCAGGTTGTTCCACAATCTCGCTTTCTACGGAATATTTCTCCAGTCCTGTGAAGTTGTGGTAGATGAGCTCGCTGCATTTCCAATACAAAACCGAGAGACCTTCTTGATACGCGATTTGCAGATTAGCATGGGCATCTTCGAACGTCAAATTATCCAGCAGCTCCAATTCACATTGATCCTAACAAATCAAAAAACATTATTTTAGGTGGTCGTTTAAAATCACCTCAAATAAATAAATTATAAGCAAAGAATTTAGTCGAAACTAAAGCCACAAATCTTATTAAGACCTATTCTTGCTCATTAAAAAAGAAACGGCCTGTTTTCAACAGCAGAAAAAATAGTTTACAAAGAAACAATAACTTTACCCATGGATAATATAAAAACTGATTGAAACCAAAAACACCGTGTTACGACTAGGATAGAAACGCATTTATAGGATTTTTCAAGTATTCGAGCATCTATAAACCTAAACTTCAACAAATAATTCTTCAATACTCACTTTGAGATCATCGATTCCGTAACGATTGGCCAGTTGCACAACCTTTGCCGCTAACTCGCTTCCCTTCACCTTCTTCTGCAAGCATATGTACTCCAGCATTGCCTCGACCACAGCAGGATCTTCATGCAGCCTCAAAACGTTATCAGCCCCATCTCTCGATCCTTCAAGAATAGTTTCCTCGAAGATCTTGGACTTGAGTCCCATTAGGTATTTTGTAACCTAAAAGTGTAAAAAAAATATGTTGAAGAATGGCTTACGTAAAAAGTTGTGTTTCCCGCTTTCACTCGGAGGTCGCTGAAGCTCGGATTTCCAAACAAATGCGTTGAAACTTCGGGAATTTGACTCACCTTGTCTAAAAAAATATTATTCACAACAAAAAACCACCTCGTAACCTGTTTATCTGTTCTTCAAGTTCTTTCTTGCACGTGGCGCAACAGTCCGGCATGGTTGCAGACTACTGGCCGACATTAATTAATTCCTGCCGAATTCGCCGAACATTTCCTTTTAGGGAGATAGTTGACACACTTGTGTCAAGTGTTGCTCTCGCAAGATTACCGAAGAAATGCGGTGGTTCTGGCCCAATTAGGTTTTGAGATACAATTAACTATCCATTTTTTCAAAACACAATGACTTTTTGTCAAAAAATTTATCTAAAACAATAAAAAATAACATAAGTATCAACATCTACCCAAAAACCTGATATTTACTCAATTTTGTCGGAAGAATCTCCTCGAAGATAAAGGATCCTGGCGTCCGGAACTTGATGAAGATCCTGGTAACCAACGACATTCGCCGGCGTGTAGTAAATCCGAGGGGAATGGGACAGCAAGATGGGGTGAGGAAAGGAGTTGCGGACCAATCGATCCTCCTCCCCGGCCTTGAGCATTTTGAAACTAGTGTAAGGCTGCAGCTTGCTGCCCGAATAAACTTGGTAATAGATGTCGATGTCGCTGATGTTTTTGATGACGTCCGTGTTCTCGTGGCCGTCGATTCTGTAGCCAGTCCCAAACATCCCAAAAACAAAAAAAAATTTAGGGCAACCTACCCTCGAGTTTGTCGTTGCCGAAGCCTTTGAAGTTGTAGTAGAGGAGAGCGGTGGCCATGAGGAAAAGATGAGACAACTGGAACTGTGAGGCGAATATGAAAGCATCTTGGGAACCTGCTACGGTCAGATTGTCCAAAAGCTCCAGTTCACATTGGTCCTAGTTAGTGGTAGTATAGATCAGAAAAAGATTTAATTTTCTGCCAACATTCAAAGGAGCATACCATAAATACTTTAGTTAACACTCTATCCCATCTAAATTTCCATAAACCGTACAAAACTTTCACTTAAAATCAAAAGAAACATTACTTTAAAAAATGACCTCATGGATAATATCAAAAATGATCAAAAGATCCAATTATCGCTAAAATTTCACTTTTAAACGGATCAGACAATATTTCTAAACTTATGAGGCTCCTGGCCAATTAAACATTCCCCAAAGATTACATCATATTCACCTTGAGTTCAGTCATTTCGTAACGATCGGCGAGTTGAACAACGTTCTTCGCCATTTCCACGCCTTTCACTCTTTTGCCCAAATAGAGGAACTTGAGCATTGCTCCGACCGCTTCAGGATCATCATCAATCTGTACAACGCCTTCGTCCACCTCTTTCATTCCGGAAACGAACATTCTGTTGAACACCTTCGACTTCAACGCCAATTGGTATTTTGTAACCTAAAATAAAAATAAAAATAAGTTATATACAACCCACATAAAAGGTCTCGTCTCCAGCTTGGATTCTGAAGTCGCTGAACGCTGGATTTCCGTAGATTTCGTTCGGAGTCTCGGGAATCTTCTCCACCTTCTCTAAAATAAAAACATAAGAGAAAACTTTAGCTCACCTCGCAGAAGCTTGATTTGATACTTCAGGTGTGCTTTGCGCTCGCACTTATACTTTTCAGCCATGTTTCATCGAGAGGATTGCGCAATTCCGCGATTTTACCGAGATCGTTCGCAGAATTACGTCAAAAGAAACACTTAACGCAATGGGTCAAGTCTTTTCCTACTCCAGAAACAACCAGGGGTGGTCAGCGGACCCTATTTTTCCGATTTTCGGCCCGCGGCCCGGCCCGTCTAATTACCGGCCCGGCCCGGCCCGTCTAGTCTTTTTCCAGGCCCGGCCCGGCCCGTGCAGGCCCGTTTATAGAGGGTTCTGCGAACTGCGCCCAAGCTTGGGATCTAAACTTAGGCAAAAAAGGCGTTGATATAGCTAGTAAAGGATCAATGTGATAGTTTTGTGGTTTTATAATGGAACTATAGACTTGTAAACGTTTTAGAACTTGAGAAAAAGCAACTATAACAACATCAATTAATTTTCCCGGCGCGAAAGCAATGAATGCCAACGGTTTGGCATTGTAATTTAGACGGGCCCGGCCCGTTTGTAATTTTCCATTTTTGAGCCCGGCCGGCCCGTCACGGGCCGGCCCGGCCCACTGACCACCCCTGGAAACAACGCGTTGCAACGTGTAAACTTCCGTTACAGCCTGAAATGAAGGTAGTCTGACTTCACATAATGACTGACGCATTGGAATTGGAATTCTTTCTTTATTTTCTTCATTTTTCCGGTCGTTGAAATGTATCCGAACAAAATTTTGCTGATTCCTTTGATCGGTAGGTGGAAAATGCAAAACTTTTCTCTTTACATTGAAGCATACATCACTAGTCGCTTTAATTAGCATTTTTTCAGGCATCATTCTACTTGTGGTCTATATTTCGGTTCCCTGGACTTCTTCCTCAATTCCTCTCAGCATAACGCAGCATGAACTGTGGCCTTTTGCTCTAGAGCGAGCATGGTCGTCCGTCTTCCGGTATGAACGACCATTGGATCCATTTCTGGCTAATCTAATGGAAAGCGGGCTGTTGAAATTGAAAGATCATCAAGTGGAATATCAGATGACCAGGCCGAGCAAGGAGAATGTTTGCGATGGAGTGGATGCGGTCGTTTATATCATGACTATGTTGACTACGGACGACACGGAACGTCGGAAAGTGATGAGAAAGTTGTTATTCGACAAGGCAAGGATTTGTGACATTTCGTTCAAAATTTGTGACATTTCGTCCAAAATTTGTGACATTTTGTTTTTTCCGTATAAATTGATGATTTATCAAGGGAATAGGCTGTAATTGCCACTGTTAGGTAGAGTGAGACCTGTTTTGTCTGTTTCTAACTATAAGAAAAAAATTGTAAGTTTTGGAGTTTGTTTTGGACAGAAAATTTATATTATCCATGATGGATAAGATGATTTTTGTCTCAACTTAATTCTACAGTATTTTTTTTGGGTCAATATTGCATAATTTGGGTCTGACATGTCTTATCAACCATTTGAGAATTTTTTTTATAATAATTGAAGTTTGTTTCAACCAACTAAAACAGTTCCGCACCGTGCAACGCAAAAAAGATCCCTGCACCGTGCGTTTGGCCCTTATTTGCCCTTATTTTTAACGCATTTCCAGGCAAATCTCCCCTCCAACCACAATGTTATTCATCGTTATGTTGTGGGCAGATACCCGGCGAACCGAACATATCAACAAAATTTGATCGACGAGATGAAAGCGCATGACGACATTATTTTTGTCAATTACGAAGAAGTGTACGGCAAGAACTACATCAAATGGCATGCAATGCACGAATGGCACATGAAACACTGCCCGCAAGCCAAGACTTTCATCAAAATCGACGATGATACCGCGATTTATTTGAAGCGCACTTTCCAATGGCTGGACCGCGATTTTGGAGGGATAATTAAAAACACGACCGAGTATTTTGTGTGCAACGCATTTTCGACTGATTCACCGCCCATTAGAGATGTCGACAGCAAATGGTAGGTTTATTTTGTTTGTCTTGGCATTACATTCGTGAGTAATGTAAATGTTATGTTAGCCATGATAGATAAGATAAATATAGTTATCAAAATGGGATTATAGTTAGTTTAATGGTTAATTTACACTCTTCTAGCTGTATTTTATCATTATTTTGTGTTTTTGCCTGATTTCGGCAGATTATTATACCTTGCAACGGAATGCCAAAAAATGGCGGGAATTTAAAAATAAGATTTTTCTTCACTCCGAAGCACTGGAAGAGATCATAAACTAGCTGGAATTTCTATTCAATTCGCAGTTTGGGCGTGTAAGGATGACCTACCGCCGTTTTGAAGAATATAGTATATTATATTATACATGATGAATAATATAAGTTTTGCTGTCTAGTTTGGAGTATGAGGTCGTTCTATAGAACATAGATTCTAGTTGAGTATGTTTTGTTGTTATTCCCCACAATTTTATGGAGTTTTGACTCGTTTAAACCACTTGCAACACAATGCCAAGAATTGCAGAATTTCTAAAATTTGAATTTTTCACAACATGAAAGGTTGCTAAATGTAGAAATTAGGATAGAAAAAGCTTTTAGACCATTAAAAAAAATTTTTTTTCAGGTTTGTCTCCTACGAACAACTTGATAAAAACTTTGTTCGATACTGCTCTGGACCCGCTGTGATTACAACGAATGAAACTGTCGCCAAACTGATAAAAACCCAGGAGAAAGTGAGGTTCGAGCCCGTTGATGACGCCTTTTACACCGGTATCGTGAGAGAAGAAGCCGGTGTTGGGCTCTATGGATTTCATGGGATTGACAATCCAGGAAACGGATGTTCAAATGATGGCCTCCCGTTCTACATTTCCAAGCATTGTAATCGCGCAGATATGCAAAAAGACTTTTTTGCGATTAAAAATAGAACTTGTAAAGGAAATAAAAGTTTATAGCTGAGGTGTAATGTAATTTGTTGATTTCAAAAAATTGGTGTGAGAATTTGTTGGAATTTGAGGTTGAATTCCGCTACTGGAGATCTTGCAAACTTTCCTGGAGGCTACAGCAGCAGTTTATTGCAGGGGTGGTCAGCGGACCCTATTTTTCCGATTTTCGGCCCGCGGCCCGGCCCGTCTAATTACCGGCCCGGCCCGTCTAGTCTTTTTCCAGGCCCGGCCCGGCCGTTTTGTGGTTCTATAATTGAACTATAGACTTGTAAACGTTTTATAATTTGAGAAACAGCAACTATAACAACATCAATTAATTTTCCCGGCGCGAAAACAATGAATGCCAACGGTTTGGCATTGTATTTTAGACGGGCCGGGCCGGAAAAAACCCCAGGCCCGCGGCCCGGCCCGGCCCGTGACGGGCCCGGCCCGTTTGTCAATTTCCATTTTTGAGGCCGGCCGGCCCGTTTGGGCCGGCCCGGGCCAGCCCGGCCCGCTGACCACCCCTGGTTTATTGATCTTTCATTGAGTGGAGAAAGAGTTGACTCAATTGAGTCAACTGTTGCTCTGCGAAAATTAAAATCGGAAAGTTTGGCAATTTTTTCGACAAATTTATCTCATTTCTGCTGTCAGAATGTCGAACAATTGTTGTTCACGTAAACTAGAAGTTGAGGACCAAATAAAGGCTTTGAGAGGTGAGTTTTACCACAAGAAATTAGTCTTTTTATTCATAATCTTGATTTGCAGAGAAGGTGAACAAGAACCCGGAGAAGGAGGATCGTTTGTTCAATAATCCCAGGTTCAGCGACTTCCAATCAAAGCAGGACCCAAGACGTTCCATGTAAGCCGTTTTTCTCGTTGCTTTATTCCCAAATTTAGGTAACAAAACATCAGTTGGCTCTCGAGTCCGAGGTCTTCGAGAGAATGTTCAATTCTGATATGAAGGAAACGATTGAGGGCGTCTTGGAGCTGCAGGATGATGCAGAAGCCGTGAAAGCGATGCTACGGTATATCTACATGTCTAAAAAAGTGAAAGGAAACAAATTGGCAAGAAAGGTTATTCATCTCGCACGTCGTTACGAAATCAATGAACTCAAGGTGAGTATTGCGTAATACGGCTGGTTTTTTTTCTGATTACAAGTTCAAGGACTTTGAAGATTTGGAACCCAAAGGTACGAAAGTCGTGAAAACGGACAGACCCAGGAAGCAACAACGACAGCTGCCATTGGTCCCGCAACGAAAACAATGCTTCCGAATCCCCAAATACGTGGAAGAGATCGTTGGAAGGAAGTCAGTTTGGCGGGAGAGAACTCACGTGTCGGTTGTATTCTGTAGTTTGGTGTTTGTGGTATTTTTGAGGATAAAGTATTGTTGAATACTTGGCTGGGGATTGATTGGAAAAGGGTCAAGAGGACCGTTGGGTATTTGTGAGGTGCTTTCGGTGATCTGTGATACCGGAAGAGCACCTATTTGGCGGCCACGCCGTCGAACACTCGTCTTCGGTTCGTGGATTGATCGCTCAAGCGTTTTGCCTCTGAGCAAACGGATTTCTTCGAGTTTTCCTCGTTGAAAGTCCGGCAATCGAACTCTCGATTGTGAATGTGTCTGAGCCGTTTTGGCAAGAATATTCCGTGTACCAAATTTCAGCCTTCTAGCTCAAACGGCTAGCGGGATGTTGAGAGATAAAGCAAGCGCATTCCGAAAAAAATTGAAAAAGTTGCGGAGATCGGTTGTGCCCCAAAAGTACAGAATGTCGTGTGACGCATTGGAATTGGAATTCTTTCTTTATTTTCTTCATTTTTCCGGTCGTTGAAATGTATCCGAACAAAATTTTGCTGATTCCTTTGATCGGTAGGTGGAAAATGCAAAACTTTTCTCTTTACATTGAAGCATACATCACTAGTCGCTTTAATTAGCATTTTTTCAGGCATCATTCTACTTGTGGTCTATATTTCGGTTCCCTGGACTTCTTCCTCAATTCCTCTCAGCATAACGCAGCATGAACTGTGGCCTTTTGCTCTAGAGCGAGCATGGTCGTCCGTCTTCCGGTATGAACGACCATTGGATCCATTTCTGGCTAATCTAATGGAAAGCGGGCTGTTGAAATTGAAAGATCATCAAGTGGAATATCAGATGACCAGGCCGAGCAAGGAGAATGTTTGCGATGGAGTGGATGCGGTCGTTTATATCATGACTATGTTGACTACGGACGACACGGAACGTCGGAAATTGATGAGAAAGTTGTTATTCGACAAGGCAAGGATTTGTGACATTTCGTTCAAAATTTGTGACATTTCGTTCAAAATTTGTGACTTTTCGTCCAAAACTTGTGACATTTTGTTTTTTTCCGTATAAATTGATGATTTATCAAGGGAATAGGCTGCAATTGCCACTGTTAGGTAGAGTGAGACCTGTTTTGTCTGTTTCTAACTATAAGAAAAAAATTGTAAGTTTTGGAGTTTGTTTTGGACAGAAAATTTATATTATCCATGATGGATAAGATGATTTTTGTCTCAACTTAATTCTACAGTATTTTTTTGGGTTAATATTGCATAATTTGGGTCTGACATGTCTTATCAACCATTTGAGAGTTTTTTTTTATAATAATTGAAGTTTGTTTAAACCAACTAAAACAGTTCCGCACCGTGCAACGCAAAAAAGATCCCTGCACCGTGCGTTTGGCCCTTATTTGCCCTTATTTTTAACGCATTTCCAGGCAAATCTCCCCTCCAACCACAATGTTATTCATCGTTATGTTGTGGGCAGATACCCGGCGAACCGAAAATATCAACAAAATTTGATCGACGAGATGAAAGCGCATGACGACATTATTTTTGTCAATTACGAAGAAGTGTACGGCAAGAACTACATCAAATGGCATGCAATGCACGAATGGCACATGAAACACTGCCCGCAAGCCAAGACTTTCATCAAAATCGACGATGATACCGCGATTTATTTGAAGCGCACTTTCCAATGGCTGGACCGCGATTTTGGAGGGATAATTAAAAACACGACCGAGTATTTTGTGTGCAACGCACTTTCGACTGATTCAGCGCCCAGTAGAGCATTACATTCGTGAGTAATATAAATGGTATGTTAGCCATGATAGATAAGATAAATATAGTTGTCAAAATGGGATTATAGTTAGTTTAATGGTTAATTTACACTCTTCTAGCTGTATTTTTTCATTATTTTGTGTTTTTGCCTGATTTCGGCAGATTATTATACCTTGCAACGGAATGCCAAAAAATGGCGGGAATTTAAAAATAAGATTTTTCTTAACTCCGAAGCACTGGAAGAGATCATAAACTAGCTGGAATTTCTATTCAATTCGCAGTTTGGGCGTGTAAGGATGACCTACCGCCGTTTTGAAGAATATAATATATTATATTATACATGATGAATAATATAAGTTTTGCTGTCTAGTTTGGAGTATGAGGTCGTTCTATGGAACATAGATTCTAGTTGAGTATGTTTTGTCGTTCTTCCCCACAATTTTATGGAGTTTTGACTCGTTTACACCACTTGAAACAGAATGCCAAGAATGGCGGAATTTCTAAAATTTGAATTTTTCACAACATGAAAGGTTGCTAAATGTAGAAGTTAGGATAGAAAAGCTTTTAGACCATTAAAAAAATTTTTTTTTTCGGGTTTGTCTCCTACGAACAACTTGATAAAAACTTTGTTCGATACTGCTCTGGACCCGCTGTGATTACAACAAATGAAACTGTCGCCAAACTGATAAAAACCCAGGAGAAAGTGAGGTTCGAGCCCGTTGATGACGCCTTTTACACCGGTATCGTGAGAGTTGAAGCCGGTGTTGGGCTCTATGGATTTCATGGGATTGACAATCCAGGAAACGGATGTTCAAATGATGGCCTCCCGTACTACATTTCCAAGCATTGTAATCGCGCAGATATGCAAAAAGAATTTTTTGCGATTAAAAATAGAACTTGTAAAGGAAATAAAACTTTATAACTGCGGTGTAATGTAATTTGTTGATATCAAGAAATTGGTGTGAGACTATGTTGGAATTTGAGGTTAAATTGAATATTCCCGCTGTTTCCCTCTATTGGCGATCTTGCAAACTTTCTAGGAGGTTGCAAAAGCAGTTTATTGACCTTTCGTTGAGTGGAGAAAGAGAGTTGACTCAATTGAGTCAACTGTTGCTCTGCGAATTTTCCCTAAAAGTTGAGCGATTTTTTCGGCAAATTGATCTCGTACGATCGTTTCTGTCAGAATGTCGAACAATTGCTGTTCGCGTAAACGGGAAGTAAAGAACCATGTAAACGCTTTGAGAGGTAAGTGTTACCATCACAAATTAATCTTTTTATTCATAATCTTGTCTTGCAGCGAGGGTGAACAAGCACACGGAGAAGGAGGATCGTTTATTCAATAATCCCAGGTTCAGCGACTTTCAAATCAAAACAGGACCCAAGACGTTCCATGTAAGCCGTTTTTCTCGTTGCCTTATTCCCAAATTTAGGTAACAAAACATCAGTTGGCTCTGAAGTCCGAGGTCTTCGAGAGAATGTTCAATTCTGATATGAAGGAGGCGAATGAAGGCGTCTTGGAGCTGCAGGATGACGCAGAATCCGTGAGGGCGATGCTCAGATATATTTACATGCACAAAAAGGTGAAAGGAAACACATTGGCGAGGAAAGTTGTTCATCTCGCACATCGTTACGAAATAAATGAACTCAAAGTGAGTATTGCGTAAAACGATTGGTTTTTTTCGTTTAGTAGCCTCGCTGTGACCTGGAGATGGGATAAAAATTTTTTTTTGGGTCAATGGTCGAAAATTCTGATCGTTGGCTGGTTTCTCATATTGCCATGGTATTTTTGTTTTACATTAATTTCTTGGTCTTTAGGATCAGTGCGAGCTGGAAATGATTGATCAATTGACAAAAGAAGGAGCCCGTGAGAGCTTGCGAGTGGCCGATAAACTGGAATTACCACTCTTGTTCGTGAAATGCAACGAAATCCTGTATTACAAGTTGAATGACTTTGAAGATTTGGAACCAAAAGGTACGAAAGTCATGAAATTAACGTTACTTTCTGCTTTTAGAGGCCATTTTAAATGTCTCCATCACACCCGTGGGTGATCGTACAACCAATGGGATTTCATCCGAGTATTTGATTGTCAACAATAGTAAATTCAAAATATGTTACGCTGTTTACCCGGCTTCATATTGCGTTGGCAAGTGGTCCTGTGCAACACTTGAACCTACGATGAGTTGGCGCGTAAAGATTCAAGCCAATGAGTTACCTTCCGAGTCCAGAAAAACGTGTGGAATTTGGTATGGAAAATATGATCATGATTCCGATTATTTAGACAAAAACTGTCGAAAGTTTTATTATTTTAGTAACCACTCGTAATCCCTTTTATTTTACTTTCTCACTCTCAAAAAATATATTTAACAAGGAAAGTACTTTTATGGGGGCTCCTACTTTTTGACGAGACATATCTCAAAAAATCAGAAAAAATGTGCTGATCAAGGATATATAAATCTTAGCTGCCCATTTTAGGTTTTTATGGGTGAAAATGCCCAAAAACCGGCTAATTTCCCTACAAAAGGCGCAGGCATTCGAAACGATAAAAAGCGCAGACGGTCTCTTCCTTCGGAAGAGAGCAGTGTGGCCGAGTGGTTAGTGCCGTAGTCCGGGAATCAAGAGGGAGGACGCCGCACGGGTTCGATTTCCCTTTTGGGCCGAATCAACTTTTTTTGAAGTTGAAGTTCGGAAAAATAAATTTTTGGGCCAAGACTGATTTATTACATCTTAGAAACTGAATAAACACCATTTTAAGCCAAAATAAAAATTGTAAACCTGTGAAAAATTAAGTGAAAAGGGGTTCATATAGGACTTTAAAGTACGCACTTCCGCTAAGCCAAAATTGGCTTTCTCCCAGCAAAGAAATTTTTCGTTGCGGGACCCGCAACCGGTGGGCGTGTCAGTAAAAATAAAAATATTTTTGGGTATTCCAATGTAAAACTGTTGTTCGAATGGAATTTTTACAAAGGTAAGTCTGTTTTTACACCTAGTTTAGCTTGAAAATGCAATAATTGTTCTTATTTGTCCAATTTTTCGATATTTTTCGCAATGTTACATGATTTTGATGCAAATCAGGGTTGGCTATGGAGAATTTTAGTTTTATGGTTGTAATTTCAGGAATAAGCGCAAAATCGTCCATCCCGACACCGGAGTCACTCCAAGGTCATGAACATCGATGTTTTTTTGAACCGATCGGTATGTTGTTTTAGATCATTATTGAATTATTTTTTTTTTAGATTTTTGGGTAAATCTTTGGACTCCCCACTGCTAAAGCCTCTCGCATCCTCCAGTTGAAGAGTTGCTCCGCTATCTCCAAGCGGAGTCCGGATGTTGTTCCGTCTGATCTTGCCCAGGCCATGAAGAATGTTCCCGAAGACACCAAGCCATCACCAAGTACTCCTCTGCCGACGAAAATGGATTGGTCTCCTAGCCCCCCTTCACATGTTGCTGATCCCAAACGGCCCTCTTTAGGGCCACATATTACACTAATTTTTTAACCTGTTTTTGATGTTTTAGGTATAAATATTTTTATTTCAATTTGTCGTATTTTAGATGGTTTGGAGCTTATAATGAAGGATTCTTGACCAGTTGTTGCTTTTTTAGTCGTATTTGCCAGGATTATCTTCTACAATCCACTAACAAGACAAATTCTTTATTCACGCTCAAGGCAGATCAAAGAAATGTGGCCCTAAAGAGGGCCGTTAGGGATCAGTAATGTGTGAAAGCAATCCATCTTCCTTGGAAGAGGTGTATTTGATGATGGTCTTGGTGTCTTCGGAAACATTGTTCATGGCCTGGGCAAGATCAGACGGAACAACATCCGGACTCCGCGTGGAGATAGTGGAGCAACTCTTCAACTGGAGGATGCGAGAGGCTTTAGCAGTGAGGAGTCCAAAGATTTACCCAAAAATCTAAAAAAAAAATAATTCAATAATGATCTAAAACAACATACCGATCGGTTCAAAAAAACATCGATGTTCATGACCTTGGAGTGACTCCGGTGTCGGGATGGACGATTTTGCGCTTATTTCTGAAATTACAACCAGAAAACTAAAATTCTCCACAGCCAACCCTGATTTGCATCAAAATCATGTAACATTGCGAAAAATATCGAAAAATTGGACAAATAAGAACAATTATTGCATTTTCAAGCTAAACTAGGTGTAAAAACAGACTTACCTTTGTAAAAATTCCATTCGAACAACAGTTTTACATTGGAATACCCAAAAATATTTTTATTTTTATTGACACGCCCACCGGTTGCGGGTCCCGCAACGAAAATTTTCTTTGCTGGGAGAAAGCCAATTTTGGCTTAGCGGAAGTGCGTACTTTAAGTCAACTTCCGATTGAGTTTTCACCTCTAAAAACCAAAAATGGGCAGCTAAGATTTATATATCCTTGATCAGCACATTTTTTCTGATTTTTTAAGATATGTCCCGTCAAAAAGTAGGAGCCCCCATAAAAGTACTTTCCTTGTAAAATTTGTTACACAATAATTGCCGAATTAATAAAAATGTATATTGTTGCATCAAAATTTATTCACATGTGGAGAATGTTATAAGTCAAGTCCATATTATTTATTTACGTTCAGTTATTTGGCTGGCTTTTGCGATTTCGAATCCGAAGTTCCGTTTTTTGCTACGAAAATGACTAAAAGTGAAGACTTGTCCCGGTGTCAAGTGTTACTTTTCAAACATTTGGGCAGGGGTGGTCAGCGGACCCTATTTTTCCGATTTTCGGCCCGCGGCCCGGCCCGTCTAATTGACCGGCCCGGCCCGGCCCGTCTAGTCTTTTTCCAGGCCCGGCCCGTGACGGGCCTGGCCCGGCCCGGCCCGGCCCGTGCAGGCCCGTCTATAGAGGGTTCTGCGAACTGCGCCCAGGCTCGGATCTAAACTGAGGCAAAAAAGGCGTTGATCTAGCTAGTAAAGGATCAATGTGATTGTTTTTTGGTTCTATAATTGAACTATAGACTTGTAAACGTTTTAGAACTTGAGAAACAGCAACTATAACAACATCAATTAATTTTCCCGGCGCGAAAACAATGAATGCCAACGGTTTGGCATTGTATTTTAGACGGGCCGGGCCGGGCCGGAAAAAACCCCAGGCCCGCGGCCCGGCCCGTGACGGGCCCGGCCCGTTTGTCAATTTCCATTTTTGAGGCCGGCCGGCCCGTTTGGGCCGGGCCGGCCCGGGCCAGCCCGGCCCGGTGACCACCCCTGCATTTGGGACAAGTTTTGTTTCACTCCATCTAGGTTCAAGTTTGCCCGCAGACAGAATGTCGAACAATTGTTGCTCAGGAAACATTGCTCTCCGTGAGTCGGTTAACCAATTGAGAGGTATGTTTACCCAAAGATTTCTGGTTGAATATCCTATTTTTTGGTGTATTTAATACCCTTTAGTTTGTTGGCTGTAAACTATAAACATTTTTGAAGTTCCATACAAAATTGATAATTTCACTTACAGCGAAGGTGAACAAGAACTTGGAGAAGGAGGATAGCTTTTTCGGCGATCCATGTTACGGCGACTTTGCGATCAAAGTTCGAGACAGGATGTTTCATGTAAGCAGTGTTTTCCCATTTCGATTTTGCAATTTAGGTATCAAAACATCAATTGGCCCTCGAGTCCAAGGTCTTTGCGGCAATGTTCAAGTCGGACATAAAAGTGGTGTGTGAGGGTGTCTTGGAACTTTGCGACGATCCAGAGGCCGTGGAAGCCATGCTCAAATACATCTACATGTACAAAAAGGTGGAAGGCAGCGAATTGGCGAGGGAGGTTGTTCAACTTGCGCATCGTTATGAAATCAGTAAGCTCAAGGTAAATAGCTATTCTCGAAAAGCTCTTTGAGATTTCATGGACTCACATCCCGATGTTATGCGTCTCAAAAATAGTTCCTTTTCAACTTGTCAAGACACTACTGTTTAGGATCAATGTGAACTGGAACTCATCGACAAACTCACGGTGAGTGATGCAATCGATGGGATACTCACAGCCGTTGAGCTGGAACTCTCACTTTTATTTTCCAAATGCAACGAGTATCTGTATCATTACTTCAAGGACTTTGATACACTTGATTCTGGCGGTAAGTTACTGCAAAAATGTATCAAGGAAACAAGGAAAGCACGACAATCCAGCGCATTTCCTGAACCGTTTCGAAACTTCGTATCGTTTTCATTGATTTAAAAGAGAGATGAAATGTCGCGAAGTTATCGGCACTTTTTCTCGCCCGAAATAATTGCTTTTTCTTGAAAAGGAAGGAAAAAGATAAGAAAATGCGTTTTATCGGATAGTGACATTTCGTTTTGAACGAATCACCAAAAAGGGGCGGGAATTTTTTTTCTTCTATTTTGGATTGACGTGGAAAGTATAATTTATATAAATATATGTCTCGGCCGGTAACTCCATACCCCATAGAAGTACTTCTAAGGAAAGTACAATTGTAAAAAACTTTATTCTTCTCCAAAATATTTTCTGTGACGAAACGCCAAATTGATTAAATCCTGGTCAGGAAATAGCATCAAATACGTTGGATTGGGTTCGAAAATGTTGCATTTCATTTCAGAGACGAAATCTGTTCTCGCCGCTAAACCACAACAATAGCTTCTGTCCCCATTGTCGTCGTCCTCTTGTCTAATCGAAAATTCCTTTTACATAAAAATTTATTACGCAATAATTAGCAATATAATAGAAATATATATAGTGTTCTACCGAGATCAACGTCTAAATTACGAGCTACCCCGGATATAGAGAATGTCATAAGTATATACGATGGATAAAAGGTTTCTCAATCTTCGAGAAATTCGAGTTATTCATGATGTGGTAAGTCATCGGCTGTACAATGGCGGACCTGATCCAGTCATAAAAAACGCGATTTTTTTAGTTGGAAAGGGAGGTATTTTGCAACATTTTTTATACTTCCTGGATGCAAAGTGATACGTTTTTTGTGACTGGATCAGGTCCCCCACTGTAAATTACCCTTTATAAGAAAGTCCAAGTGCGACCGATTTTGTTGAAACTTGGCAAAAACAACGCCTACAACATTCCACAAAATCCCTGAAAACCTGAGACCGCGTTATGCAGAATCGACCGAGTTATGAGCTTTACAAGTTTCAAAAAATCTCGTGGATTATCTCAGTTGTTTTTGCCAGTTGTGATTTAAAATTTTTAGTGATTCATATGTGTCTCTTTCATACCACATTGTCCAATTTTCACGTCAATCCGTCACACTTGGCCTTTTGTCTAATACAATATAAGTTGATGTCTACTATAATATAAAAACTGGTCTTCAAAACTTTCCAAATTGAATTTCCGCCACATTCCTCGACGGTATGTCCTTTCTTTACTGTTTAATTAGTTTTCAACGACACCGCCGAGGGTCTGAGTCGCGGAATTGGCCAATTGAACGATAAATTTGTCGAGCCAGGTCACGGATGAGGGTTTCACCGACCAGCCCTCGAGGAATCCCAAATGCCCGCCGTGTTTCATCAAGACGAACGCGTGTTTGCTGCTTTCCGAGCACACATCCCTCACTGGCTGCCACAGCTGCTGAGGGAACAGGGGATCGTCGGCGGCGTTGATAAAGACTGTTGGCACTGTGATTCGGGGGATTTTGTCGAACGACGAGGCGTCTTTGTACATGTCTTGCACTGAGTTATAGCCCTGAAAAAACAACAGGGTATTCATCAAACATAGTTTTTGCGAGGAAAATCGAGATTTTTAAAAATTTTGTCTAGTACAATATAAAAAGTGGTCCAAAATGGAGCAAACTCCAAGTATATTCACGAATTTTTGATTTTAATAGACGAAAGATAGCTTAAATAAGCTAATAAGTCAGTTAGAAACGGACTGATTAATCAAAAATTATCATTTCTAAGCTAGTGTAATATATCGAAAAATTGGTGAAAACTCAACCAAAACATTAAATTTATACCGAAATTTTTGGGCTAATGAAATCTTTGGTTGAATTATGACCTATCAAATGCATCTTTACAGTAAAACTTTAAAAAATTAGCAAAGTTCTGACCTTTTTTATCTGACGGACCTGAAGTAATATAATTTCTTCAAAAAATTGTCGAAAAAATTAAAATTTTGATGTCCAATCACATTATTCCGTCATTTTACACTCTAATTAGTATATACAAATACTATTTGCTGCCGAAAGCCACTAAATTTAAAAAATTTCTACCTAAATTAATGTCACTTTTCCCAAAAAAACCCTTCAAATCTCACCAAAATCCTCCTGGTGTAATGTTCGTCCAGCCCGAGGACCGAAGTGGCCGCAAAGAGTCGTTGCTCATCCACAATGCCCGACTTGATATGTGGCGCGACCACTGCGTCAAAATTTCTCCTCAACAACCTCTTCACATTCTCCGTGATAATGTAATTGTAGACCCGTCTGCCGCATTCCCAGTCATGGAAGAGATGGCCAGAGCGTTCGGCGTCGTATCCTTGGCACACCGACAGCCCGATTATGATTCGTTTTTTGATTTCTTCCGGCGCGCGGAACAAGTACAAAGTCGTGATATTGGCGCCCATACTGAATCCAATCTGGATGAAACGAGTCTGTGGGTAGACCTGGGCCAGAGTGTCCATCATGGCGCTGAGTTCGGCGGTGTTTCCTGAAAATTTTTTGTTAATTTTGAAAGACCTTATTTTAGTCGAATTTTTGCTTAAAATATCAATTTTTTGTCGATTTTCGACCATTTTTTTCAATTTTATTGTCGAATTTGCAATATAAAAGCTCTGGAATTTTATATTTCAACTTTTAGATCCCTAAAAATGGATCTTGAACGATTTTACATACTGTGTTGCCATGGCGCAACTGGTAACCGCTTCGCTTTATAATCCAAAGGTCCCAAGTTCGAATCCCGGTTCCATTTTTCATCTTTAAATTAATTTTAGAAAGCAAAACAGTTACTTTTGACCATAAGTCACAAATTTAACTAGCCATGAAAATCGAATTTTCGGTTAATTTACAGTATTTCACTACATAAAATTCTGATTCTTTGATTTCTAAAGATTAAACTTGTAAAGTCACGAGAAAAATGTGTAAATGCCATAGCGATTACAATTTTTTCTTCATGAATGGAGCAGAAAATCGATTAGCGATGAGGTTTTTGAATCTAAAATAATGTTTTTCTCGACAATTTTGGAGCCAATTCGACCCAAAAATTTTTTTTTGAAAACGAGAGACTGCGAAAAAAAGGGAGATAGGTAGAGAAAAAGTGTTTTTCATCGATATATCGCCAATTTCATGCAGATTTTTTTCAAAAATCTCAAAAAAAAAAAAAAAAACCATAGTTCAAAAAAAATTTCAAAAAAAAAATTTTTCTTTTTGAAATTTCGGGAATTTTCGACAAAAAAATCATGTTTTTTTTTGTAAAACTCGACCTTAAAAAAGTATTAAAAAAGTATAATCTCCATTTATTTATCATAGTAAAAAAATTTCCAAAAAAAAAAAATTTTTTTTTATTTTTCACCCCCAAAAAATACCCTTTCCATGCCCCTCCCCCAACCTACCATACGAAAACAATCGCGGCGAAGTGACCGGTATGTTGGCCAGCGCTCCAAGATGATTCAAGACCGCGCATCTGTACCCATTCTCCTGCGCGTTGTGGACGCAAGTGCGGATGTAATTCGACTCGGAATGGTTGCAAATCCCGGGGCACAGGGCCATCGTGTAGTCTTCGCCGGATGGATGGGGTTTGGTGGGCTCGAAGACGTCAAAAGAGACGGTGGTTCCGTCCGAAAGCTTCACGGTGTGGCGTTTGTCGAAGCTGCGTTTCAGCGAGGAATGGCCGAGAACGCCGTAAACGGCGGTCTGCAGATGGCCGTTACGTCCCCACAGAGTGGGAGGGTTGTATCTGGAAATGTTACAGTAGGAATACAGTAAGATTTTCAAAATTTTTTTTTTGATTTTTATAGCCACAAATTAAAAAAATCTCCAAAAATAAGGAAAAAAGTAGCAAAAATCAAAGAAATGTCTAACTGAAATAGTCTCTCAGGACCCATAGGTTACTGTAACATCTCAAAAATTTAATTTTAAACGTCGTCTGTTCGAAAATAAAAAAAAAGATTTTTTTACAAAAATTGAGGAAAAATAGCTAAATTAATATAAAAAGTTGTGTGAAATGAGGTCTGTTGTTTTCAAAATACGACTATACACTCACAGGTTACTGCAACATTCTTTAGTTATACTTTTTTCCTTTCTCTCAGCAAAAAAATCATTTTAGGACAAAAGAATTGAAAAAATTTCTTTATAAAACAGCTAACGAATAAACTAAAAATAGACTGTTTTGGATTCCAAATAGTGCATTATTATCTGTAAATTACTGTATTTTTAGAAAATCCGTAAAATCTTCCAAAAATTTTTAAAAAAACGTCAAAAATTACCTAAAATAATAAAAAAATCTCAAAAAATCCTAAAAATCGAATAAATTTCTTTTTCAAAAATTTAATTAACCCAGTAACTTCAACAAAAACCCCAAAAATCCTCACTTTTCCTTCAGAATCGGGCAATTTCTGAGGATTTGAAAGATGGACGGGCTTTTCGGGTCCTCCGTTTCCTTCGTGTAGACTCGGGGAGTGTCGGGATGCGAGAAGACTTTGAGAAATCGGATCAGAAAGAAGAACAGGAGCATTGAGCAGCCGAACACCGGGCTCGGCACCATCTCGTACAACGGATCCACCATTAATTCGAGGTCATACATCTTTATTCACCACCCGTTCTGGAAGCTGCCCGTTTGTTTGAAATTGAACTGGAAAAAATGAAAATTGAAAAAAAATCCAAAAAATTGCCACGATGAAAAACTAAAAAAAAATATTAAAAAAAAACATTTTTTCAAATGCCCTGAGGGCCCATAAATTTTTCTACGACATTTTCATTCTCACTACAGCCTAATCTACAGTACTCAACAAAAAAATCCAAAAAATCAGCGAATTCTGAAAAAAAGGTCGGGCGCGAGCTGCCAAAAACAAAATAATAAATAATACGGGTAATTTGAGTCATACTGGCTCGAGAATTTCCTCAGGGATTTAATAAAAAAAAAGGAAATCGGAATGATCGCAGGTTAAAAAAATTACACTCATTTTTTTTTATCCAACTATCATCTAAAATAATATAATTTTTGGAAGATTATATATAAAAAATCGTTGAATAATGCGTAATACGGCATTCATACACATTTGACAAACAAATTCCAACTTATTTTTTTCAAAACCCAACATTCTAAAACTAGCCAGGGCGCGAGCTGCCGACGAGGAAATGATGAAAATCCGGGGAAAATTTCCTCATAATGATTGAGAAATCCCCTGAGGCCTCTAATAACACGAGGGAACAAGAAAACAATCTCAATTCAAAAGTGTACAGTCGATTTTATCAAAGGCTTATCTAAAGTAATATAATTTTTGGTGAGCTTCTGTAAAAACATCACGTTTCTTTCCTCGTAAACCTCCGCAGAAACAAAAACAACGCAGTATCACGTTCCAGATTGCTCCAGAATTTGAATTCCGAACGGAAAAATTATCAAATTTCGCGGATTTTTTCTCCACTCCCCTCTATGGCCGGGAGAAAAGAAACTCTGTAAACAAAGGAAAAGGTGTGGGTGACACCGCGGCAACACTTTTTCTTCGGAGCATCTTTTGAACTGACCGCAAACATGACGTCATTTCCAAGTTTTCTTTTCAAAAAGCACTCGGAAAAAATTGAAAAAACGGAGGCCGAAACGTTCGAAACAAGTCGGAAGACAAGGTCTAATGGCTTCGACCTTTCCACCGGTAACGCATTAGGATGGGCTTTTCGAATTTTAGAAGTTTGAATGCGGTTCGCGGTCAGAATAAAGAGGTTTCCACATCTACCGTCTAGTGTAATATAAAAAAGTGATCGTTGAAGGGGTGAATGATAGTCTAGTCTAGTCAGCTTTATTTGATAGGCTTTTTAATTTGTAATTAGTATATTAGAAAAGTAAAATTAACTAGAAATAGGATATAAGGTATAAAAATCAAAAAAAGATATTTGATGGCTAGTGCAGTATAAAAAGTGGTCGTTGACGAGGTAAATGACAGTCTAGTCTAGTCAGATTTATTTGATAGGCTTTTTAATTTGTAATTAGTATATTAGAAAAGTAAAATTAACTAGAAATAGGATATAAGGTATAAAAATCAAAAAAACATATTTGATGGCTAGTGCAATATAAAAAGTGGTCGTTGACGAGGTAAATGACAGTCTAGTCTAGTCAGCTTTATTTTACACGCTTTTTAATTAGTAATTAGTATATTAGCAAAGTAAAATTAACTAGAAATAGGATTTTAGATATTAAAATTCAAAAAATATGTTTGATGACTAGTGCAATATAAAAAGTGGTCATTGGCAGGGTAAATGACAATCTAGTCTACTCAGCTTTATTTTATAGGCTTTTTAATTAGTAATTAGTATATTAGCAAAGTAAAATTAACTAGAAGTACGATTTTAGATATAAAAGTCAAAGAAGGATCCTTGATGACTAGTACAATATAAAAAACTCATCGTTGGCGGGGTAAATAATATTCTAGTTTAGTCAGCTTTATTTTACAGGCTTTTTAACTCGTGGTTAGCATATTAGAAAGGTAAGATCACTCAGAAAAGGGATTTCAGAGATAAAAATCAAAAAAATATCCTTGACGACTAGTGCAATATAAAAAAGTGATAAAAAGGATGGGAAATGAAGGTTTGAAAGCAAAACTACATTTCGTTTGCCTTAACAAGTCTTTAACAGTACGCTTAAATAATTTCAGCACTTTTAGAAAAGCCTAACATCCAAAAAAATCAAGCCCCATTTAATGTCTACTATAACATAACAACAGTCGGTATCCGGGAAGAACACTTGTTCGGTGGCTCAAATTCTATTTTAACCATCAAATCAAGTTTTAGTTAATACCCAAACCGAATAGAGGCGACCAATTTTTAACATTTTCAGCCAGAATCTTCCTCAAAAGTCTTCAAACCTCTAGTGTAATATAAATTTGACGTCGCACCCATGGGAAAAAGCAATTTCGTGGGAATGACTCATGCTATATCGGAATTCAAACGGCCCTTCACGTGAAAGAATGAGAAAGAACGAACAAATTGATGTTTTTATACTATTTATAATCAAAACACCCTCAAAGACCTAGTTTTTGTTGTTTGTTTATGAAAAAATGCATAATTATGCAGAAACTTGGGAAATTCCAAAATAGTTGACAAGGTATAAGACATCAAACTTCAGATAGTGTCAATATTTTGAGGAAACACGTTTGTTTTTCAATTAAAAATTGAAATTTATGACGAAAAATGACTAAAACAAGGTAATTTTTTTGTCTAGACGTTGGTAAAAGCTCTGTAAAACAAGCTACAACTGTTCTCCCATAAAGAACAACTCATTTCCGGCCCGACTTTGCAGGCTGTCGCTAAAAACTCCCCTTCAAAGATTGATTCTTTCGCATTTTACAGTAATCAATGCTCAAAAACCCGCGAAAACAAAAAACAAGCGGCGAAAAGAGGGTTGATTGCAAAGTCCAGCCCGCAGCTGACCCTGTCTTGAGCATTTTATCGGGTCTTGAAACAATCTAACTCAAACGAAATTTCTTTGGAGACCATAAACTTTGTACCCGCCACCAACAATGAAATAATGGAGTGGGGGATAAGGAGGTCTGATAGACTAAATTTTGTTGACAAATTGCGGTGGACAAAACAACTGGGGAGCAGGGTGGAGAAAAGTGGCGGGCTCTTTGATACATGTTTCGCTATCAACTTTGAAAAAATGCCTAACATGGGAAACGTCCGAACGATCGTGGGATCCACAAACGAGATCTCTGCAGAGCTCATTACAGAATTTTAAAAACGAAAAAATCTTAGTAAAGAGCTATTTCCCAATTCAGTGGGTTTTCGTGTTGCTATGGGTACTATTGGTATTGTAATTTAATTACAAACCATTTTCGGCCTTTAAAAATAGTGAAATCTCAAAAAATTCGATGTTTTAGTCAAAAATCATAATTTTTTGATGATTTTCTTTGGAAAAAGCCGTCATATTGGCATAAAATACTGACGACTTGGTCTAAAAAAGGCATATGCACTGCTGGATTACCGTAGAGCTAATTACAGCATTTTAAAAACGAAAAATTCTTAGTAAAGAGCTATTTCCCATGTTGATGTACAGGAAATGGTCCGAACGATCCGCGGAATCCGCAAATGAGACCTCGATATTCCGAAGGAGCAAGTAAAGTTTGGGAGAAATCCGTTTTCCTACTTGCCGAGTAAGTCTGTGCGACGAGAAATATCAACAGAAAGTTTTGCCCGATTTCCTCACCAATTCTCTTACTCGATGAAGTGAGGAAACCAGGAAAACTTTCTGACGATATTTCTCGTCGCACAGACTTAGTCGGCATGCAGAAAAAAGGATTTCTACAAAATTTTACTTGCTCTTTCAGAATATCGAGGTCTCATTTGCGAATCCCACGGATCGTTCGGACCATTTCTTGCACATCAACATGGAAATAGCTCTTTACTAAGATTTTTCGTTTTTAAAATGTTGTAATTGAGCCTACAGTAACCCAAATGTGTCTTTAGCCTTTTAGACCAAGTCTCCAGTATTTTTTGCGGATATTCACGGGATTTTTCAAAGAAAACCATCAAAAATTGATGATTTTTGACAAAAATATCGAATTTTCGAGATTACACTATTTTTAAAGGCCTCAAGGGAATTGTAATTAAATTACAGTACCCATAGTACCCATAGCAACACTAAAACCCAATAAATGTTTGATTTTTCAACATTTTTTTCATACTTGATACTTCACCCAAAACTTCATATTTCCCATAAAACCGTTCAAGACCCTCTTGAACCCAATTTTTTTGTCTCAATTCTTGCAGACATCACCAGATTTTTAAATTGTAGCAATAAACTCTCGATTTACGTCAAATCCATACAAAATTTTACAGAAAAATTTTCTCAAGTAAGTGGAAAATCTTGTTAAAAATAAATACACAATACGTTACAGTCTCTCCAAACCGAAAGAATACAAAATATAGAGTCTGCGGAATGTTCCAGCAAATCTCCATAGCAACTTTTTGTCGACCATATAAGCCCACGCCAGTTTAATTTGACTCCCGGTTAAACTCGGCCGTTCGGCTATTATTTATTTCCCATATGTTGTAACGAATGGAAAGGAAATGTCTGGAGGAAGCAATAAAAAGAATATTACAGGAGTTTTTTTCGGGGAGAAAATACAAAATACAGGGAATTTGAGCGTAAAATCCGAGATTTTGGTGTCTAAAATGATGTTTTACAAGGAAAGTACTTCTATGGGGTGTGGAATTACCGGTCGAGATATATATCAAAAAATTCGCAAAAATTTTCTGATTCAGAATATGTATAAATTAGCTGCCTAATTTTGGTCTCATGACATGTTTTTGTCCTCAGAAGTTTTCTCGCGACACCATGCAAGTGTCTTTTTGACCGTGTTTTTAGCAATAAAAAAATTTTGTTTTGTGCTAAACTAAATTCTGAGGCCTTGACAAGCCTTAAAATATCAAATTAGATTACAACTACACCTTAAAAGTAGTTCCAATGTAAAAAATGGGTTCTAGTGTGGCAAAAGGAATGGAACCCGTTCCCCTCGGATTCCCAATCTAGCGCTCTAACCACTCGGCCACACCGCTCTCTTCCGAAGGAAGAGACCGAGCGCGCTTTTGTTGCCGCAGATTTTTTTCCTCGAGAAAAACATTTATTGAAAAAACTCGCTGATAGACCAAAATTAGGCAGCTAATTTTTATATATTCTGAATCAGAAAATTTTTGCGAATTTTTTGATATATATCTTGACCGGTAATTCCACACCCCATAGAAGTACTTTCCTTGTTAGACAAAAATAATTTAAAAAGCTTTCAGAAAACACCACAAAGAGGGCCAAAAAGACTGCCTGACATCTAAGAAGCCATATTATGACGATTTAAAAAAAAATCGAACTTGGAAGTCAAAAAATTCAAATTCCCGCCAAGTTTGGCATTCTGTTCGAGATGTTGAAAAGGACAATTTTAGTGTCGAAACTAAATAGTCATGTTGTGGTAACCTCAAAAACACTAAATCAGCCCTATTAAGTTTGAAATTTGAGTTTTGGACAACATTTTGTATTATTCACGGCGATTTCTTAACTTTTCAAATTTTCTAATATTCTAAAGCAATATATTCCTCCTCCGAATCAATTTTTACGTAGATACAGAGTCCACATTTCATATTCTGTCCATATTCCCTCGGTTTACAAAGACTTATACCCAAAAATATCAAAAATTATATTATACATGACCTTCTCACCGATTCTCCCCCAAAACACTGTGTTGATCAGTTTATTTTGATCCCTCAACCTTCCAAAATACAGTACAGTCAATTTCACGCTCCTTAGCTTCCATAGTGATCAATTACAACCTGCCAACTCCCTAATTTTATCGAATTAAACGCTTTTGAAGCCCAAGAAATCTTCGCCCAATGCTGAATTTGCATTGCAACATCTGTTCTCATTTCGTTGCCTACCTAACGAAGCGTACGTAATAAGACTGTAATTCGCGAGTTTCTCGCAGCCCATTAAACCTGTTCTCATTGAACTTTTGGTGCCTAAAATAATGTAAAGCCAGGTGGAGGCAAAATCAAAAACCTCGCACGGCTTTCCCAAAAGTTTTACGGTGGAAAATCAGCGAGAAACGATAAGAAACATCGGCAAAAAAGTTGAAAAGAAGTAAAAAATACGGGAGAAATTTCGAGAGAAAAAGACCTGACCCGCGTCAACTCTCCCCCTTTTCCCTTTTGGCCTCAAAAAGCGAAAATTTGAATAGGAAACGAGAAAGAAGAACAAAAAAGCGGCGAGAAAACGTATGAAGAATATGTGAGGGGCTCTGGAAATTTCTGAGGGAACGGGGAGCAAAAAACTATATTATAGTAGGCAAAGGGTAAAAAAGGTCCGAAATAACGAGTTAAAAGTTCGAAAGGATATCTATGACCGATGCTAATCAGCCGAGTGTAGCGTTGGGGTTCGACATAGAAGCATTTGGAGGTTCTGGAACGGAAAAATTGAGGGGATACAGCAATATTTGTTGCAGGTGCGTAGTGTAATATAAAAGTTGGGGATAGTATGGGAAAATAAAAGTTTGAGAGGAGATTTTCGGTTTAAGGGGGTGTAATAAGCATCAGTAGTGTGTATGTAGAAAATTTGGCAACTTTGGTTAGAGAAAATAATAAAAAATTTCTAATCTCTGGTTTATATAAAAATAGGCGGTGAAGTGGATAAATTGAAGTTTGTAGTTGTGAATATGTTATAATTTGCCTTTTTAGACCATATTGAGCTATTATTAGAAGGTTGAAGTCGTGTATACACAATTGTTGACATGAAAATCGATAAGTCATCAGATATCTAGTATAATATAATAATTGGTCTTAAGATCATTAAATTAGATTCCAATGCCTCAATTTGATCAGTATGAGGTTTCATAGACCGTAATTCATTTATTTGAAAAGTTTCAGTGCTTCCAGGTAAGACGATTTACTAGAAAATTCATTAAGTCATCAGATATCAAGTGTAATATAAAAAATGGCCGTAAGGTGGTTAAATGATTTTCCGATGTCTCAATTTGATCAGTGTGTGGTTTTGTAGGCTCTATTTTGCATATTTAAAGAGTTCAAGACCTTCCAAATAAGTTCTTTTACCAGAAAATTCATTAAGTCATCAGATGTCTAGTATAATACAAAAATTGGCCATAAGGTCATCAAACGACCTTCTGATGCCTTAAGTCGCCCAGTGTAAGTTTTGTAGACTTTAATTTGCATAAATAAAAAGTTTGTATGCTTCCAAATAAGTTCTTTTACCAGAAAATTCATTAAGTCATCAGAAATCAAGTGTAATATATAAACGATTGCCAAAATTTCCAAAACACCATTTATTATATCAAAAATTGCTCCACCAGCGATGAAGAGACATAATTATTTTAAAACTTTGTAATCAAATTCGTGTAATCGCCATTTTTGACCTGTTCAAAGAGGGCTGGCAGTTCTTTATTATATTGTTTGATGAGATCGTTGACATATTCCTCGAATTCCTCCATTTCCTTCCACGAGTCCTTATTCCACACCTTGTTGGCGACTCTCTCACAGATGCCTGAGAGGCAGTATCCTCGGAACAAATATATGATCGACTCGCAAACAGAGACAACTTGTTCCAGCTTGAGTGTGCGGCAGGAGCTTTTGAACTGTTGGAAGAGGTCGGCGATGAATTCTTCGCTGAAAATTGTTTAGATTAGGGGTCATACAAGCTTATTATGAAGTTTGGGGAAAAAAATTAAAGTCATCAAAAAAATTTTTTTTTAATTTTCTAAATTTTTTTTGTCATATTTATTTACTTCAAATGTTTCCCATCTACTCTCAGTAACCCATTTATTTATCCCTGAAAATTTTAGTTAAAACTTTACAACCGCGGCGGAGATATAAAGCCATCTTTTTTTGCGAGAGAGCATACAAAACGAGGAGAGACGGTGAGACAAAAAACCTTGTTGTTATATCTTTAAATAAGCTCGGAAAACATCAATTTTCATGATGCTTCAATATTAATAAAGGCTGACATAAAAAAAAATCAAAATTTTTCCGTATAAAAAATCTCAAAATTTACCTGCAAGAACCTTTGGTTGAAGCAAGATGAAGCTTGGGGTCGGTGTCCATTCCGCAAGTGCCAATGGCTTCCGCTTCCTTTTGGCTGGACCCTTTGCAAACACCGGTCATGTAGAAGTAAGCATAGCGCAAATTAGGGTCATCAAATAAGATGTCGGTGGATTCACAGGCGTATTGGCGGACGCAGGCGATAATCTTGCCAAAAGAACTGAAATTTGCATATTTAAGAATTGGTTTTGTAAACATTTGCATATTTAAGAGTTGGTTTTATTAAAATTTGTATATTTTTTCATTTGGAAAAATAAAAAAATTTGCATAAATTAAAAAAATTTGCATAAATTGAAAAAAACTTGCATAAATTAAAGAAATTTGAATAAATTTGCATTTATGGCCAAAAAATTCCAACTATCAATTTTTTCAAAAAAATTTTTGAATTTTCGAATTTGCATATTCAAATTTTACCCATCAAAATCGACTCACTTGCAGTTCTTTTTAGCCTCAACATAATCGCCTGCAAGCGTCTTGGACGTATAACGCTCGAAGTTGGCCGTGAAGTCGTCGTAGGAGGTATTGCGGAACCACTCCGTATACCGATAAAAGCATTTGACCATCGTCAACTCGCTGTCTTGCCCGTCGTCCGCACAGACCACTGGCTCTTGGCTATGAATCAGGGTCAATCGCGTTTCTGAAGTGAAAAGCAATTTGATTTTGTCGCGACGCAATTCATTTTCTCGACATGCTCATTATTTTCCCGACAGACTGATATACTCTCGGACAAGCCTTTTTTGATATATTTAATAAAAAGCGGGGTAAAAGTTCCTTATTTTGGCCACAACTTATAACCTTGCGGAAACTGGTCGGAATTGGCCCAAATTTAGCGTGCACGCCCAATTCATCGTTGTCGATGCCCGGACAGTGGATTTAGTTAGCGAGGTACCTTCTTTTCCACGTACCACCTTACCCTTCAAAAACGGCTGCAGCCTGTGCTTTTACACTTTATCCGATGAAACATGTCCGGAACTAAACTTATTGAATCCATATGGACTAAATGAGTCGTCATAGCCTTCGTAGGTACCCTTAAAATTATAGAGCTATTATAGTAATTCAGTTCCAGCTAGGTCGAAGCGTTTTGTCCTAACTTTAGTGCCCAAGCTTGGGCGCAGTTCGCGGAGTACCTTTGTTGTGGCCAAAATAAGGAACTTTTTCCAAAAGCGGAAAAAAGTCTACGAATTTTATGAAAACAATACTGGTAACAGTACTGGAGGTCGTTGTAAACAAGTTCAACTGTAATTGTAGAATGGATTACCATTTCGTTCATTTGGTTCCGGGTTTTGCAACATAACAAAATCGGATGAGTTGAGACACGCCAAGGTTATTCCAAACAGAAACAGCCAATAAAACGGCATTTCCGAGGTGGTACAGAAAAATCGAAGGAACCGTTCAAGAACGAGACAAGGTAGAAAAATGACCAATAATCGAAAATTGAAATGGGAAATATTTTTTTTAAATCTAAATTTTTGGGAATTATGCAAATTTTTATTTAAAAAAATTATGGGATTTTATAGGATTTTTCGAAAAACGACCGAAGTTTTTTTAATAACAATTTCTTTTTTTTTAATAACAAAAACTCCGAAAAAATCGCCTATTTCTAAATTTTCACTGTTTTTGGCTTTTTCGTCATGCAAATTTTTTATGATATTTTAAAAAATTTATGCAAATTTTACATTTTTTTTAATATATGCAATTTTTTGAATATCCAAAAACTCCGAAAAAATCGCCTATTTCTGAATTTTCACTGTTTTTCCTTTTTTCGATATGCAAATTTTTTACGATATTCAAAAAAGTTTATGCAAATTTTATATTATTTTTTAAAATTATGCAATTTTTTGAATATCCACAAACTCCCAAAAAATCGTCTGTTTTTGATTTTCCACTGTTTTTTTTCTGTTTTTCGATATGCAAATTTTCCGAAAATCCCATATAGAGAATATGACGCCAACTCGTCATATTCGAAACCAGCTCCCACTCCGTCTTTGTCTTTCCCCCTTCTTTCTTTGGTCATCCGAAATTTGCATGCGAAGCCGGTTTCGTTGTGTTCGCAAGGGGGGAAAACGCGGCGCGTAATTCAGGTGTTTAAGCCAGTCCACTTGACTCGCGGCGCATTAAATTTTATTGCTGAAGACGTCCGGGCGTTGAAAGCGGAGGGGGCGCAAAAAAACAAATCCAATTTTTGTAATTTTTTCGAATCCCAAAACCGGCGGGCGATTCCGACGAAAGCGAGGCGGGGGGAGGAAGTTTATTGGGTAACGAGGGAAAGGGAAATCCGTTTTTCGCAGGGACATATGTGGCTCGAAACTTATGAATTTTCGCGCAACCAGAAAATATGTCACGATGACACGCATTTATAATGTGCCAGTGGCATAATTGGTATAAAAAACAACGTCCCGATCGTTCGGGTCGATGACAGTTCGGGTCAACACATGATCGATACATGGCTTAGGGCAGGTCGATACCCAAAAAAAAGGTTGTAGGAAATGCCTACGAGGGCTGGCAAAGCCGTTGGACGCTCAGTTGGACGCTCGGCGAAGGCTCGGTGAAGACTTGCAATATGTCCACTTTTTTTAATTTCAACTATTACTACCGTTAGTCTTCTTTGCCCTGAGTTATTATAACGTATAAAAGAACAAAATTTGCGACAAAAAACGAAGATCCGTAATTTTTTTATCGAGACACCATTGATGTGAATACATGTAAAATACCTCAAAATAAGTGATAGGTTATCCTAGGACCCGATCAATCTTATTATTTCTTCTAAACCTTCCCCTAGCCTCCCCCATGCATAACACTGCGAACCGACACGATCCATAGTATCGTTTACACGAAAAAATTTAAATTTTCTTTATATTCTCAAATTTTACAATTTTTTTCTCCTACAATTTATTCGCTGACCCAAAAAGTCGTAGCGCCTAAAAACGGCTTCAAAGATTTATTTTAGGACATTTTTTTTGTGATGATAAATAATACTTTGGGTCGCCTCGATTTGTCGTTATGTGCTTTTTCAGGTCTTGTAGCCCGGGGTCTGCGGAATTTTGAAAGCCCGCGTCAAGTTTCTTGTGTAATTTATTGAGTTTGGAAGTTTTCCTTTAAGACCGTCATTGCCGGATTTTCTTCATTCTCTGGGTACCAAGAAAAGTCTTAAAGTTGTTCGAAGAATTTGGAAATCCTTACCCAAAGTCATGCCTCCTGTAGGCCCTTCGTACAACAATTTTTTTGGCTCCCACCTCCCTCACCCGTCAAATCGATCGATTTGGCGCTGACCCGGACTGTCGCCGACCCGCAGTCATGACGCGATTTCCTTGGGTTTTCCCAAAATCCCAGACAAAAGATTACAAAACTTTTGATCCCTTATTTATGAATCCGTTTTTTTCTCACCACTTTTCCTCTTTTTTTTGCGTCTAATTTCCAATTTCTCCCCCTTAAACCCTCGCCGACAAGGTCAGAGGAGAAAGTTTAATAATCGAAATGGAATCTTTGTAGCAGCGTGAGCTCTTCTTGAACGCCGTTTTCGAAGGCAGCGGAGGGTTTTGAGCGATTTGTCTGCGAATTTCGACGAATTCCGTTTTCCTAGACACATTTTTTGGGGATTTTTTTGATTATGGAAGTGTTGAAAATCAAGAAAATTTTATTTTTTTCGGGTCAACGATACTATGGATCGCATCGGTTCATCGTTGTATGCATTGGGGAGGCTAGCAGAAGGCTTAGTTATTATTTAGAAATAATAAGATTGATCGGGTCCTCTGATAGCTTATCACCTATATGTACTCACATCAATAGCATCTAGATAAAAGTTTCGGATCATCATCGTTTTTTCTCCGAAATTTTGGTCTTTTGTATGTTTCAATAACTCAGGGTAAAGAAAACTAATGTTAAATAGCTATAGCTAAAATTAGAAAAAATTAGCATATTGCAAGTCTTCGCCGAGTCTCTGCCAAGCCTTCGCTGAGCGTCCGCCGATCATCCAAAAAATCAGACCTCGTAGGCATTTCCTACAACCTCTTTTTGGGTATCCACCTGCCCTACCCCCCGTATCAATCGATTTTGCGTTGACCCCAACTGTCGTCAACCCGAAAAGTTGGGACGTGGTCAAATATCACTCATAGTCAGTCCACAATCTCCACGAAGCCGTTTTTTTTACTTTTTTATTTTGATAAAATTCTCAGGATCATAATTTGCTAACAATGTAAGATAAGCGAGATTTTTCGCTCGCGTTTTGCAAAAACCACCGCACGTCAAATGGATGAGTCCGGTGACCGGAAAAGACTCTTCGCTATCGGTTTTTTACATTTCGTCTTGATTTCCAGAGAAAGAGAGAAAAAAGACGCGCAAAATCGTACTCTCTCGCCCCAAAAATTCCCCATTTCTTCGCCGACAAAACGTTTTTTCGCGTCTTTTTTTGGCAAATTGCCAATCCATTCACCGGACTGTTTTAGCTTATCTCAGTTTGACGTGCACCGGGCTTATTACGTTGAAAAGTGCCGAAAATTCAGTTTTTTTCCATTATTAGGAAGCATGTAAGAGAATAAAGATTATAGGTAATTATAATCTTTTCATTCGCTATTTGACAGCAGACGACGAAACTTTTTGGACAATTTGTTTCCCATGCCGTAGAAAAAGCCTTTTTAAAATTTGGCTGTATCTTCCAATATAGCCGAATCTTTTTTTCTACAAAAATATCAGACTGTCTGGAAAATAATGCGGATATTTCATAGCAAAACGCCTCATCGCCGAGAAAATGAATTGTGTTGTTACAAAATCAAATTGCTTTTCACTTCAGCAACACGATCGGCGCAGCGTCATTGTGCTCATTATTTTCCCGACAGACTAACATCATTCTGTCTGGAAAATAATCTGGATTTTTTGCAGCAAAATATCTCGCCTCGTCGTAGTCGCACACCAAAGATTCGGCTAGCCGTTACAAAGCAATGATATGCGATTTCCAAGGCACGAAAAATCCACATTATTTTCCCGACAGACTGAAATTTTTCGGACTCTCTTCATTCCCCATAATCTCTCGTTTCCAACGATCGAAAGTACATTCCAAGATACGTTTCTTTACCTTTTCTCTTCCGGTTGCGTTCGGGAAAATTATTTCTTGCGTTCTCGCGCCCATACAGAGAGAGACAAAAGGAGACCGCTCGCGGCGAAACCTCGTTTCTAGCGAACGGTTTCTGCGGTTCGTTGTTCTACGCTAACCAATGTTTGCGCTGTATGCCGAATCCATCATGATGGAGTAACTTGATTCCTTCAATTGTTTTTTAAACACACCTCATGCCGCTTTACTTTTGGCTTGCGCGGGGCGAATGCCTAATGGTGACTCTAATTTTTTTACTGGAATTGGCATAAATTTGGAGTTTTTTAAAAGTTTTTCTTTTTTTTCAGAACCAAAAATCCAATTGGCGATTTTTTATAAACGTCCGCTAGCTAGTTGAGAGGCGGTTAAAAAGTTTTTAAGTATCTACGTAAGTCCGACCTTGTAGAACGACCGAGATTTTTAGGTCTATGAAAGATTTAGCATGAAAAGTTTCATAGGGTAATCTTTTCACAAAGGACCATGCACGAGTTGGTAAAAATGTGGCCAAAAGGGGTTTTCTCTCTGGCCGCTCTCCGCATTTTGCGGACTGTCCGTTTGACAGCTTTCGAAGTAAAACACAGGTTGTTCCTGTAAGGTCTAAGGTCTCGGATATGTTTTAGAAAACGGTGTTCTAAATTTGAAACAGCTTTGACTCAATTCTGTTTGGCCTACGCACTGCAGGCTGACGCCAAGTCTTTCCCTGATGTGTCAAGTTTCTCTCTCCTGAAAATAATTATTTTTATTTTCTTCACATATTGTGCAGCCTGTTTCTCCATGAAGATGGACTGAAAAGTGGTCAAGTAAGTTATTATTAGCAAGAGGAGGTGTTCTTCTTTCATTTTATGCCAAAAATGTTGATTTTGTTACTATCTACCGTCCCTTACGTCATAATCCCATGTTTCGTCAGCAGCAACCTTTTTCTCCTACCCCAACATTCCGATCCCTCTCTTGTAACACTTTTTTGCTCATTTCCACGCGTTATCCGCCGCCTCAAATCCCAGCTGGAAATAACCGAACTCCTTTCTTACCCATCCCTCAAATATTCCACTATATAAACTCCATAACTTCCTCTTCTTCGGTATATTATAACTGCTCTGGAATTTCTTTGCGATTTGGTTTTTGCTTTGCGCGGCATCCGAAGGAAAGTATCCCCTAGTGGAATATGACGTAAATTTTCGTCGATAACTTTAGTTAGGGAGACGCTAGAAGGGATTTATTCCGTTTGGAGACGTAAAAATTTTTGGGGAAAGCGATCATAATGAGATGCTCAGACTT